GCGTGGGAAAGCAACCTTTCGGAACCCCTCACTTCCTAGTAGAGTTTTGTACATCCTGACAACCTCAGCTCCCTGGGAAAACATTACTAAGTCAACTAGGGTTTCTTGCTTACTACATATAACAAAACACTATTGGTAGAAAGCCAAACCTTTTCATAAACCTGAAACAACAACACAAACAAATCATTCTGTTAGAAATCGTGTATACAGAGATTGATAGTAATGAAACTATGAATAAAATAAATTCTCTAGTCCCTACCGTCACTGAGAAAGTAGGTTATGGCCAGAGATGTAATGCATGTTCGAACAAGTCACAAAAGCACAAGCATGTTAGACTGGAAAACAACATAGTAAATTGTTTTAATGAACTTCCTTCTTGTGCACAGAAACTTACCTGTGTAGAAGTTGTCCATCTGCCAGAGAAAGGAAAAGAGCCATGGTTAGAAACACTTATATTAACATATTACATCAACAATTCCAAGGAATAATAAGAGAATCTCTGACCTTGATATATGAATGTGGGCGAACAGGATGTGCCATGGGACCAGCATCCTGATTAAGAAAAAAAAAAAGAACAGATAATTTGGCATGAGAAGATAAAACAATACCATGAAGAGACCTCCAAGGAATACAAAATAAGGTACCTGCGGAAATTGATAGATCCGAAGCTTTGAAACATCAGCAATGCGCTTTACAGTTCGGCTTCCCATGTCAGATGAAAACTCCTGTACAGATTTCACGTATCATTAGACAAGGAAAAAATCCAATAACCATCTTCGAATAGCAAAAGGATACAATATACTTGGTCACGGAAGACAGTAAGTCCTTCCTTTAGACTGAGTTGAAACCAGTCACGGCATGTCACCCTGTTGTTACAAGTAGACTTTTAGTCATATCTCAGGCCACACACTAACAACGTTTCGTTTATTAAAATATACTGCACAAACAAGCATCTATCTTATTCAAGAAAAACAAAATTAGAAGATTCAATAAGCAAAAAATAATCAAGTTGTACTGAAGAGGCTGACCTGTTCCCTGTCCAATTGTGAAAGTACTGCACAAAGAGCACAATGACAGATGTGTTGAATTGAAAATTAAGTGAAACACCAGAACATATTTTAATAAACAACTTATGATATTATTACATACCTCATGACCAATAACACCCAAAATTGCAGCATAATCAGCATCTGTTGCAGTTTCTGGAGATGCTAGGACAAGCTTGGAATTAAAAATCTGTAAGGTAGAAGCTCATGGATTACCATCAAACTATAATATGTTTACAACTCATGACTTCTTATAAAGCAAGTTAGGGTTACATTCAAACTCTTGTTTTCCATGGCTCCCCTGAAAATCAAACAAAAAAGAATCAGTTTGAATAGTATAGACAATAAGAAAAACTAAAAGTCCCAGACGTTAAGCTCTTTGTTTTGGATTGAAGATATTAGCAAATGGAACTGATTAATACTATCAACTGTGACAGAAAACACCATTTGGTCATACATGTTAAAATCTGGAACAGCGACAATGTTGAAGAGATCCAGGTCATACTCAAGGCCGAACACCTAGTGGAAAAAGAGCACACAAATAAATAATCAGATTCAGTAACAAGTAACAACCACAGTTAATAACAATGCAAGTGCTTACATCCTCATCCCACTTCATGGCCGCCTTTAGGGAATACATGGCATGGGCAGTCTTTGGTAGATCTTCTGCAGGAGTCCAGATTTTCAGGGAAACCTGCCTACCAGAGCGTGTGGTAAATGTGTCATCTCTGCTCACTAGCTGTCCAGCCACCAAGGCAAATAGATAACAAGGTTTCTTGAATGGATCCTCCCATAAGGCATAGTGCCGACCACCCTACATTTCAATGAACAATTATGCTTTCAGCAAAGACCAAGCCAAGAAGACACTTGGTAAACAAGAAAAAAAGGCATTATTTTGCCAACCTCTATATCTCCTTGAGAAATGAGGTTTCCATTGGACAATAACACAGGATAAAGTGTCTTGTCACCTTCCACACGACAAGTGTACTTTGCCATTATATCAGGGCGATCCTGTCATCGCATAATAAATATATAATGTTAGAACATCAATTTGTACTATAAAACACCAGTCATCTTATCAACAAGTCACAATCAACCTGGTAAAATGTAATTTTGCGGAAACCTTCTGCTTCACACTGTGTGCAAAAATTCCCAGAAGACTTGTAAAGCCCCTAACAGAAGAAAACTAAAGAAGTTAGAAGATATCCATTTACATCACTGAGAGTTTAGAAAGAAAGCAAAGTAAGTTCACCTCAAGTGAAGTATTCATGTGGGGGTATATCTCAGTATCAATTTCTAAAACAAAGGAATCCTCAGCTGGAAGTGAAGGAAGAGTGAGATGACGAGAGTCCAACTGGTAATCCCCTTCCTAGCCAAAGTGTACCACATATGAAAAGAGAGACCAAGTAAATAGAAAACTGGGTCACTTATTTTTAGTTAACTGAGTTGCTTGTCTTAAAGAGAATTGTATAATATTCTACAGTATAATAAATAATATTAAGAATAACAGAGCCTACAGATACAAAGATATTCCAGGAGGTCAAGTATTGACGGATACCTTTAGAAGCTTCCCCTCAACCTTGACTGAAAGTAGCTTCAAGTCATGTCCATCCAAGACCAATGCAGCAGAAGATCCTGGCCAACATAATAATTGTTCAGATGTGATGTGAGAAAAAATGTAGCAAAAATCCATCTTGCAGCTATGCTAACAGCGTATGCTAAAGAAAACAAAACTTGAATGTTCAGCTTAAAGAAACTACTGATTTAACAAAGCAGCAATGTATTAGACTTTTGTACCTTGAACTCGAGGAGAAACCTTGATTTTAGAGCTAACAATTGTTTTATCTTCACCCAGTGAGAAGCTCAGATCCACCTAAACATATGAAGAAAGCTTCAGAGTAGGACAATAATGAGTCTAATCATATACTCAATTTCGAGTTTAAAGAAGGCTATTATACAGTTTCAAAGTAGTAATCAGGCTTAGTGTAATTCTTGAGAAATATTTCTTTTGGTGCATCCATTTTCGATTCAGCTTTATCCGGAACTGATTCAGTGGCAACAGAACAAATCAGCCTCCTGCTGTTTTGCTTATGTCTCTGAAAAAAAAAAAAAAAACAGAACATACGTTTATTTTAAATCCAGTAGTAATTAATAAATGTTGGGTATTTATCATATGGAAGGGATAGAGCACGTTACATCAACGGAATGGGGAAGAAAACAATTCTTCCTCAAACAAATGGCCTGAAACAAATAATAACAGTATCACTCTCTGTTTCAAATAGTGTTGCACTTGACAGAAGAAACAAAGAAACACAAACCTCGGAAGTAAGAAACGGTCTGTACTGAGTAAGCCTCTTTGCGGAACTACGGAGACAACTGCTTCTAACAGGAACCTGTAAGAGAGAGTTTAACATAATTAAAAAGTATAGAAGCTAACTAAGCAAAATATAACGGTTACCACAAAATAATGATACAAATAAAGCAGTGATATTAATCGAAAAGGTTTGGTAAAAGAAAACAGAAGTCATAGGGAATCAAGAACATTTTCTTATTGATACATAAGTTCTTTCCTAGGTTTGTGTACACAAACGAACTCAAAGTAAACAGTAAAAAATAAAACCGAATTCAAAGCAACAAAAACATACAAGTTTCTATCTACTACACATGTGTATCGATTAAAAAAAAAAAAAAAAAGACAGCAGAGTTAAAAGGGTAATCACAGGAGCATCAGAGAGCAAACCCAGAAGATTGACCCTCGCCAGAGACGAACTTCGACAAGGAATTATCAACCGAGCCATTTAAAAAGAACACCCAAATCCCAAAATCAATCTAACCAGAACAATAGAGGTAACAATAAAATAAAAATCAAAAACAGCTCCTTGTTGCGTCTAAATTCTCCAACCTATAAACCCTAGATGATGATGATAACTCTCTCTACTCACACTACACAGAGAGGTAAGTTAGGGCTATGGCGTTTATAAAGATGTGAGTAAAAAGGATAGAATTTAAATGAAAAAATATGGCCGAGATAATTCGATATAATAAAACACACATAAACAAAACAAAAAACCAATAATTAAACAAAATTAGAATTCGATTTCTAAATGAGATCAAATCTGGGGAAATCGATCGGAGGAAGACGAAGAAGTAAGTAATTTACCAAAGAGATCCGATGATCAGATGAGGGAAAGAGGCACAACTGAAACACTATGATGATACGAAACCTGGTACTGATTTATATAATAACCCCCGATGAAAGATATTATCTATCTAAAATATTTAATTTATTTTAATAAAAAGAGTATATTTTGGCATTTTGTATTATCCATTTTCCAATACCTTTAGCATTTCTATGCTGCTCTGCTCAGATACTTTTGTTTGAATTCGTAAATTAAATAAAGGGAAAATTCCATAAAAATTCCCCATCTAATTTTAATTTGGAAGTTTAATACCCAATGTTATTTGATTGGAAATAAAATGCATGGTTTATTAAATTTTGGTCTATTAATACATTAAGTATATGAAAATTGTCGAATCGAATAAACCGTTTAATCGGATTGACGGAATCACTAAACCGAGGTTGACGAAATTACTAATCCCTAAACATACGGGTAATTTGGGGTTATCCAAAGACTGCATTATCCTTTGCTATTATCACAAATCGAATTGGGATCGATAAACCCTAAGTTTAGTGTAATTCCATTAACCCCGGTTTAGTGATTCCGTCAATCCGATTACCGTTTGTTAAGCGGTTTCTTCGATTCGACAATTTTTATATACTTTTTGTATTAATAGACAACAAATTAATAAACCATGCATTTTGTTTCCAACCAAATAACATTAGATATTAAACTTCCAAATTAAAATTAGATGGGGAATTTTTATGGAATTTTCCCATTAAATAAACCAATAAAGCTGTGTTGTAATTTTATCATGACTCATGCAACAGGTCTATTTATTTTAAGACAAGCAAGACTTTTTTTTAAAGAGCCGAAACGTTGTAATAGAGGTCAGAACAAACATCGATGCTAATCTTACAGTCATCGAATAACCCCAAAATCAAACGCAATTTTCTCCAAGGACAAAAAATATTTAACAGATCTTCCAACAAAATAAATATTAGGTGAAACAGAATTTAAATAAAGATTCGAAGCGGTGCCGTTTCTAGTATCATTCACCGATGAACTTGCGTTTTTTAGCAGTGTTCATGTACGGTCTAATAACCCATTCGGTCTCTGCCTCGTTTTGTTCCACCGTTCCTAATTTCACCTACAAAAGAAAATGCATCACCAAGTATCAGCATTGTCATTAAGGGGCTTGATTGATTCTTTATCAAACCATTCTTAATCCAGAAAAGACGGTTTTGATTCGGTTAAGCTGAACGCATACCTGGTAGAGCCGCAACTCAAACCGAGGACCGACTTCTTTAAGCTCAATTGATTTTGGACCTCCTTCTCCTTTATCGTAGACATGGTTCCTGTATATACACACGTATATACCCACAAGAGTTTTAAAGAAAGAAACGACAAATAATCAAACATAATTTCTATCTGTTCTATATATGTACAAATGTGTTATTGCATGGTGTTTTGATCCAAGAGGAACCGAATCAGATTACCAAATACCAACCTCAGCCTTAGACCTTAGCTTTGATAGATTTACAATTCGTAAAATCTGATCAATGTGAAGAAAATTTTACCTGAATGAAATATAATCAGATTCATTAGAAAAAGTAACGATACGTCTAGCATCCACTTTTGGAGCAGGGAAGACATGTTTTAAGACGTTGGCAACTCTTTGACCCATCTGCAAACACAAGGAAATAAAATTGGAAAATGTTTTCACATTAGAAACAGACAAGCCCGTTGATTTCCCATACCAAACTGCAGTAAAGAACGCAGTTAATCAGGTCAATTGTATATACCTGAGTTGTAAAGTTGTTAAAAATGAGATGAGGATATTGCTCAGGCATTTTCCCAATGGCTTTCTTGGTGCTAATATCATGTCTTGTTACCTAAATAGAAGTTACTCTGGATTAAGTAAAAAGGCTAAACCAGGAGTTGAAAAGAAGAACGATTTGGGAAAAAGAAAAAAAAATCAGATCTTCAAAGAGTTACTTACCACATTAAGTAATCCAAAGTATGCAGTTGGCCCAAATGGGAGATGAGAGATAATGAGACCATCAGGCACACCGCGGTGCTCATGAACCAATATAACATCCGTAAAGTCATGAGAACGAGCAGTTTCAATGATCTCAGAAATGACCTGCAAATAACAAAAAGGGAGTATTTAGGTGTTATGACTCCAATACAACATAGTTTCACAAACATAGAGAGGTCTTGTGTTGAAGATAAGTGTCACTACAACTCCAGCTTAGGTTATGGTTTATATTATTCAAGCTTTGATTTTAAATTTAGATTCTGCAGAACTGGACAGACTCAACTACATTATAAATTATGAAGCTTGAATTAATATGCAGCTCATTGATAGGGATGGTGTTGCGCATAAATTAAACAATGATACTGCTACACGCAATAGTTATACGCAGGAAGCAATATGTTTTGAAGGGAGCTAATACCATTGGCCATCAATTTAACAACATCAATAAGAAACCAGAAGCAGTGACCAACTGGAAAACAAAACCAGGTAACAGAAAAGAGGAGAACAACACACGTACCTGACTACCACGATTTATTCTCTGAGAGTTAGGAAATGCAAACTTCAATTCCTGCAACAGACACCACAACATAAAAAGTCATTAATCAAAGAAAAAGCACAAATCACTAGCCAAAAAATATAACATAACCCAGGAAAAAAAAAACCAGACACCATTGTTCAGCCTCTAATGAACAACAGAAACTAAACTATACCTTTGTGAATCGGATGAGTGGAGCACTTGGATTCCTAGATGTTGTCAACAAAATCTTTGGATCATTCTCCGTAGCATTTGCATATTCATCGTCAATATGACTCCGAGGAACTATTTAAAACATGATTAGAAAAAAATAACCATCAGCTGTTCTACCACAAAACATTCATAACTCTATCTAGACAAAAGAAATACATAGTAATTTCTCAAGACGTCAAAAGGCGAATTGCTGGTTCAAACCTAAGCTTATGTATCTACTCACTCACACAAACTGATTCAATATAACAAGTACAATTTGCTCAACAGTGCCTCACCAAAACATTGAAATTAAAATGTAAACACATACAATACAACAATTAATCAAACCAATCGGAAAATTCTAGCTCCCCGTATTCTTACCAGCTGTGTTTTGGTCTTCAAGATCAATCTCTTGTCGAAGCCTCGCCTCTTCGTTTCGGAGCTCAGTAGGAATCGGCTTTCCTTCTGGTAAAACATAAAACCCAAAATTCGAAACAACGAAAAGCATCAAATCAATGAATTGTTAGAGGATTCAAGTCATCGATTGTTTGGAAAGATACGAAAAAAGAAAATCAATTTTCTAGACCTTGCAGAGCTTCTCTTATCTTCATTTTCTTCTCATATTGCACACGCTCATCACCTTCCAAGTTTTTCCTGTAGAGATACTCTTTTCTTAACCTAATGTTTCTGCGCAACATCTTGATTTTTCGTGAGTGCTTGAGAGTGGGAGAGGCTATGAACGAACTTGTTTGATGCTGGTGACGTATTAGGGTTTTAGGGAAGGGTTTCGAGGGAAACATGGAAGAAAAAGGCGACTGAAGAAGATAGCGAAAGTGTTGATAAATCAAAAAAACGGCAAGGTGTTTGTCTATAAAATTGTGAAACGGTGATGGCAAGGTATTTTGGGCCGTTGAATATTATTATTTGGGCCTTACAAAAGGCCGAAGAATTACAAAATTAGGAAAAATTTGTAAAAAAGTGCCCTCACGCAGGATCGAACTGCGGACCTTCAGTTTACAAGACTGACGCTCTACCACTGAGCTATAAGGGCATTTCTCTCTAATTTAATACTATTACTTAATTAATTTAATAACTAAATCTACATACCATTACCAAACTTAACTTTAACATTGCTTATGAAGTTGATTCAAACCATCTTACCACAATCACGAGCAGACACAACATACAAATGCACAATAACATGAAGATTAAAGAAGGATCTTCAATTATTTACATTAGACGCCATAAAAAAGGAGATAGAAAGTAAACAACCAGAGAAAGAGAGATTTTACAGTTCAATTAAAGAAGGAACCTTTAAACATTCATTGATTATTCATATACATACAAAGTCACAAACTTGAACCAGCCACATGATGCATACCAAGACCAATGAGGATTAAGGATCAAGTTTACCCGCGATTGCAACATCATCTTCGTCATCACCGTCTGAGGCATATTCTTCTTCACTCATTTCATCGTCACTAGACATGTCCTCAGCATCCTCCCTTGGCTTTGCGTATTTCTCACAATACTCTGAAACCACGCAAGAAGAAAAGAAAATGTAAGCTTTTTACTATCGCAATGAGTTTAAAAAACAAGAATCTAAGCAACTCAAAATCAGTTATAACAAGACACGAAATACCTTACCTTTAACTCTCTGTTCATAGGTAGGACGATCACGCATCATCAACGCAGCTGCTTCTCCATTCAATGGATCTGACGGATTCGGATACAGAAGAAGTTGAGGAAGAAACGTCTCGAACACATTCACCAAGTCTGAATAACTAAATCAGAATCACAATTAACATAATAGAAACTAACAAGAGTTAAAACTATCTTGTATGATCATACCGAACATCGGGCTCCAGGTCTGGTTAATAACATCTAAACAAACAGAACCTGACCTGCACAGCCACAAACAAAGAGGGCATAATAAATAATCACCCACTCAAGAATTTTAGAAGGAACATAACCATTATCCCAACATCTGCTGACTTGATAGCTGAACTCACATTTCATCGACATTCGGGTGGTATATTTTGGTAATGAAACCGATAGATGGAGATTTGTAAGGATAAGCATCAGGAAGTTCGACTCTTATCTTCCACACACCTCCCTCATAAATACCTGTCCATATCCCAACACACACAAAAGTAACCAAACTTAAAAACACCCAAGTAACAAATTCTCAAAACTTCTCAGACTATAAATGATGCAAAACCTTATAATCATCATCAGCAGCAGCAGAAACAAATCTCTATGACCTCACCTCATGATCAAAAGGTAATACAAACAAAGTTGAAATTGAAGATATACAAACGAATCAAAGCCTATATAATCATCATCAACAACAAGTAACACAGAACCAAAATCTCTATGATTTTACAATCAAAGTTCAAACTAATAAAGAGCAGATGTTCAACAAATCTGCAAGTAAGAATCAGCTAAATAAACAAATACACAGTGCGATCTTTAACAGTGAAAAAACAAGATTAAAAGGATAAATGAAGCAAAGACGAATTTGAGTTACTTACTGTCTTTGGGACCATTGAATTCGACAAAGAACTCTTGCATACCATCATTGATCATCTCCACCTTGTAGTCACTCATCATCCTAAGCTCACATCATATCATCATCATCAATCAACAACAACAACAAAAAACTCCAATCAAAATCACCAAAGAAAATTTAAATCCGATCTCGAAATCAAGAATAAATCGATTAAATAGAAGAAAACATGTTTACAGTTTCATCAAATCCATTTCTCTACGCTTGCTCGGCGAAGACATGGCTTCTCTCTTGTCGTTTTTTTCTGAATTTGTTTTTTTTTTTTTTTGGCTGTCTTGGAAAATCGAGTGGGAGATAAACCGAGAAAGAAAGAATACTATTTTATGAGTGACACATTCAATGAGAAAAAAAAAATATAAATATAAATATGTATAAAATTAATTTATAGTACAAATACAATTAATGTTTTTATATACTCTCTTTCACTTTTGATCTTTATGTTTCTAAATGGTAATTATACAACAACAAATTAAAATTTTTTACATTTATTAATATGTAATCTGGGATTTTTAACGTAAATGATACAATAGCTTAAAAAAAAAAAGTTTCTCTTAAAAATAAATTAATTTTCATTTTGTATGCAAGCCTCTCTCTAAGTAAACCTTCTCGAAAAGGTCTTGAAAACCCAAGTCGTTAAGCTTTTGTATAGAGACAACGGAAGACGCACAACAGGTGATGTGTTTGGTTTCTTGAGACTAATGAGTAAACAAACAAAACTAAACTTAAACACATTTGAAACAAAATTTGACATTAGATGTTCATTTCCCCCAAGATTCTAAGGTTCTATAGGTTTACAATTTATCATCATCCTTCTCGCCTGAACAAAAGAAAAAACAGACTCAGTTATATTAAACAAAAGAGATCTTAGACTCTTTTATTGAAGGAGAATCTTCACCTTTTACTCAAGAGAAAGCCTTAGACAAAGCGTGGAGGCTTGAGCATATAGATATCCCTCACCATCCCTTTGCCCATTTCGCCTACTGCCTTTAACAACTCCATTGGATTACTTTCTTCTTCTTCATCACGTTCTCGTTTCTGTAATCAAACATTTCATTTGTTTTGAGTTTTCCTTTCTTTCTTTTTTTTTTTCTTTGTAGCAGTAACACTGAAGATTTTCAATGAATGATGTTTTACCTTTGAATTGTGTTTGTTCCATGTTAAACCAATCGCGTCGCCTCCTATATGATCATACCACGGCTTTAACGTCCCAAACTCTTCCTGCAAACAACCGCATAAAATGAGAATCGCGAGATAGCTTCCTTTTCTTTAGATCACAAGATATTCAATAAGTATGAATGTTTATGTTTTAATCACAGCACTTGCCTGCAACCCACTCAACAAGCACTTGGTCGGCTCAAAGTCCACCATTAGCTTATTCTTAAGCTCTTCATGGCTTCTCTTCAAATCTCCAGGCAACAAAAATGGGTTAAATAATCTACTCGCTTTTCCACGTGCAACATGCTTCCCTGTTCAATAATTGGGAAAGAAAGTTAATTGATGTTTCAATGATAGAAACATAAGATACAGAGACAGAGAGAGCTATTGGGACCTTGATTTAGTTCAGATGGAAACAAAAGACGACGTGGGTAAGGTAATTTGTCTCTATGGAGAAGAATAACTGCGTCATAGTTGTGCAATGGTGTCCTGAACAGGCACTGCAACATATATGGACATAATATTAATCGATATTGATCGATATTATGTTCTTACAATTTTTAAGCTCAGTGCAATTTGTTCACAATGCAACTCACTCACCTCCCATTGAACGGAATCATTATGTTCTTCCAATATCAACTTGCTTAACACGTTTGCACTGCTTCGAGCATAAGCCCCCAACCTTTTTTGTTCCTTTAAAAAGGTAAAAATAAAAGAAAGTTATGACATGAAGAAAATAAACGGTGGTCCATGCCATGCTTAATGAACTAACCGATAAATTTGGTCTTGTTGTGGTCCATGCCTCTGATGCTTTATCATAAGGAGCAGCCAAGAACATAGCTGAACTTATGTTTTGTCTGTCCTCTTCGTAGCCTTTTCTACTTGACATAAAGTTATCCTTAAAAAAACCAGAAGGCATTTACAATTAACATAAGGCGTTTCCAACAAATTTAGCTCAACACTAGATCCATTATTAAACTTGGGACTCACATTGATCTCTTTCTCGTCATTTCTACCAAAGTCATTGTTTATGTCAACAATCAACGGGAAGAACATCCAGTCATAGTCTGCCAGTAATCGCAAAAACCTGTTACACAGTCCAGCGGAAAAAGATATGATGTTTTGATTGTTGGCGCATCATTACTTTATTGTTTTCCGTCAAACCGAAAGTATGATAGCAGGTACCTTAAAAATCCATTAATTCGGGAGCAAGGAACACCAAGTGGAAGAGGTGTGAGGAAGATATGAGCAACCAAAAGTTCAATGGCCTCTTCTGCCAGGCAACCAGAAAATAGATGCGCAGCAACCCATCTTTTTGCAAGCCTAAAGGTAGCAAAGAAGGTCTGGGTTATGAACCTTCAAAGCAAACAAAAGTAAACACATGAAGTTTATTGACTTTTACCTGGTAACTGGTGCATATGTAGGAAATCGACCTTGCAAACCATTGATCATACTTGCATGTTGACTGCGAATAAAAAGCATTTTATCGGTCGAGGAAACCTGCTTCACTGGGTCAGCTCCAACTGCAACTCAGTAGAAGTCATGGAAGTCAGCATCACATAGGCTTTCTATTAGAAATAGAGGATAGTGTTTAAGAGAAGAAAACTCACTTTCTCTCTTCACCAAACTCAGGCCTCTTTCATGCAATATTCTCAGGCGAAATGCGTAACCACCAATGAAAACATCGACATTATCTTCAGTAGCTGTGCATGGTATTCCCTTGACATTCTGAAGGCTGTCAGTATTTGCGTTTGTAAGTATTCAGATAAAAACACTGTGGCTTACTAGTACGAAGTGTTACGAACAGAAGACCCACCTCTCAGCAATTTTCAGGAGGAAGGCAGACTTTGTTTTCTCAATCGCCAAATCATCCATGGGCCAGTTACCAGAACCTTCTAGCTGAGATAGCAAAAAGAAAAAAAACAACAGGATTGTTTAGATAACTAATTAAGACAAAGTAACTTATACCAGTAACCATCTGGTATATTGATCACACCTGAATCATGACCTCCATTGCTGGAATGCAGGATGGCAGAAGTTTTTGCAGTCTTCGAGAATCAATTTTTTCGCAAGCCACTGGGTGAGGTTCAGGAGGGAACACGGATGTGGACCTGAAAGCTGCAAGTGACAAGGAATATTATATATAAGAACTACAAATACTGAAAACACCAGAACTAGTACGTTAAAGGGAAACTAACCTGAATCTAATGGCTGAACGCTAGAGACTTTGAGAGGTATGTCTTCAATCTCACGCAAGCACTTCGAGAAAATTTCAAAGACTTGAAGCAAATTTCCAGATAAAGATATTGGGTCTGAGACAAAACAGCATTTTTCCAGTAGATTGAAATTATAAGCGGACAGCACATAATGCACTGAGAAAAAGAGGAACTTTGTTTATTATGTGTTTAACAATACCTTTATCCCCATAGATTAGAGAAAAATCAAGTTGCTCCACTAATTGTACTATGTCATCGGATGATAGTGAAAGATGCCGCTTAAGGATGTACTCAACAATATGTTTCATGATAAGATGCCTGGCCCACTGCTGAGTTTCCCAAACTGAGAAGATGAATAAGGCAATATTTAGCTTGCATTAACTCAAAACTTCATAGTTAAACTCTGCCAAAAGCATGTATTGACAACACACCTGTGCTTTCCGCTATTCTTCCATCTTTGAACCTCCTTAAATCAGACTTCTCACCCCAAAACTTCCGGAATCTAAGTGCCTAGATCAATATATAGTTAGTACGACCTAATGAGACAGCACTGCTTCAGAGATTTGGGATATACCTCTATCTTGTTTTCAGCATCAGGCCCAATATCGACTGTTCTAAAAGCCTTTTCCGTGGAGCTGACAGATATGCCAATGAAAAGAGGTTCTCTGTCAAGAACTGACAAGCCCTGGTTCAAAGGCAGTTAAAGTATCAGAAAAGATTCCACTTAGCCGCCATGAAAAGTAAAATTCAGAATCTGAAAAAAGAATTACATTTTCTACATGCCAATCTTGATCCATATTGTTCCAAACAACACGAATTGATTTTGCTCTGTCACCCAGTCCTTCTAGTAGCAAGCTATGCACTTTCTGCTCATATATTCTCCAACACTCTTTGTCCAAACAAAACCCTGACATAGACAATGCTGTTTTCCCTTTTAGCTGTAACCTAATAAAACTTATATGTTAGGATAGCAAACTGAATAGGGATCAAACAAGCTCAGAAACAAAACAAAAAAAAAAAAAAAAAAAAAAAAAAAAAAACTATAATATATATGCACCTATCTTGAAACCATGGAGGTGAGAACGAACATGTGAAAAAAGATTTTCAATCTAAATTTTTTAGTCTCATAGTTCCATTCAAGATGCACGAAATGCTTTGACAAAAGTAAGAACATAACCAGCCACTTCCATCCTTGACAATACAATACATATCAATCAGTAGAAGTGAGAACCTAAGCTTACCTTATGCAGTGGTCATACTTAACAGGAAAGTCAATCTTAGTCATAAAAATCTCCTCGAATCCTCCATCTCTCAGTTTCTCCATACATTTCAGAATCAAAGAAGCCTCATCTTGGAGCTGTGCTGACCAACAAAAGAATTCCATGAAAAAGTCACACACCCAACCACAGCCTTGGATGAAATATCAGATAATCGAAATACATCAAGTTTAGAGATTTTCTCCAGCTTAAGGTACCTCCTGAAATCCAACACTGGTCATCCGGAAAGTCAAATTCACAAATGTAGATGAATCGCATATAACAACAGGGAACAACTCTCTGAACTGCATCTTCTCCTGAATTTTAAATGTTGATAATCAGTAATAACAGTATGCAGAGAACAGGACACGTTGTATGTGCACATGAAAATTTCTTCGATAGAACATACTTGCTAATACTATTTGTCAAGAAGCTCAAGTACTGTAAGAAAACTTGACTGTCATATAGACGAATAATCTAGTGACTACATATCGTTTTTCAATCAGTATCAAAACTTCCATACGTAGTTTCGTCTTATCAGAAGATGCCTTATAGTCTCATGCATGCTGTATACCACAATAATACTATGCACCATATGGATATTCTCTCTGATTGTTTCATTAGCAAACGAATCCAATAGTACCAGTGAATAGTTATAGTGATACAGAAACATAAAAATGAAAGATACAGAAACGCAAGTAAACAACGCACCTCCTTCGAGACACGAATTTCACTCTGTGTCGGCAGATATAAACCCCTCTCCCATAATTTAGAAGTGGCTGCCAAACAGGATTAACGAATTTTGGTTATCCATAATGCAGAATCAATCACTTCAAATGCAGCGAATAGACTTATAGTGCGCTACCATACCTATGAAGTCCAGTGTTACTCTGAAAATATCCAATGCCTTTAGTGCCTTGTTAATTTTGGCATGGGTTGCAAGGTAAGCTAGTATCACAGTGATTAGAAATCCATTCAAGCAATCATGAACATATATCGAGCTCCTTTGTTTAGCCCATATCTGCACAGAAACAGAGACGTTTAAGGATCCCAATATACACAGAGCAACAATACAAGCTAACAATACATACCTTCAGCAAAATCAAAGCATCTCCCAACTCCTGCCACTCAGAAAAGGTTTTTTTGAGAAACTCAGAATTTTCCTCAAGAAACATGTCCTCCAATATGCTTGAGTTGTAAGTCGGTGTGGGCTCAGGGACACCATCTTTTATAATCAGGATGGATCAGAATATTAAAAAATTTATGCTTCAATATATTTATCTAAATAGAATTCAACATTCTTGAAAGAAACCTGATTACCTGCAGTTACAGAACGGACGTTGTTTCTGCTCATACTCAACTTTGCGACATTAAACAGTGATGTTGCTGAAGGGATTATCCTTATGGAAAATCCAGGAAACTGATCAAGTTTCTTAGCTGCAAACACAGAGATTCTCAATGTAAATACTTCGTCAAGGTAAAAATTACTATTTTCTCTTAGGAAAAAACTAGAGCAGACCTGGGAAAACAACTAGGACTGGCTTCCTAGCTTCATTCTGTAAGGTTGACCATACAACCTTCTCGATGGACGAAGACGACAACAAATGCTTTTTAATAACACAAAGATATAGACATCTTTTGGCATGGTATCTATGATTCATGTAATCCTTCTCATAAAAACATTCCTGCAAGAACCCTTCTATAGTTATCACTTATTCGAAACCAACCCATAGCATTCGATTTAAAACTTACTAAATGAGCAATAAACACTTACCTTAGGCATGTGAACAAGAAGATCAACAGAAGCATCCGGCTTAGCCATGCAACGAATGGAGTAACTGCCACAAAGACTGAAACCATTTGGCTTCTTAAAACTGAAGTCCACTTTATCTGCCCCAATGTCATTAACGAAACTGGGAGCTAACTCCGAGGTAACCTAAGAAACAAAACATAATTTACAGTTCTTCAATTGTTGAAAAAAGGCTCAATTTTAAAAAATTTCCATAGAACATTAACAAAAATGCCCACAAACCTACCTTAAAATCTTCAGGGATCCCATCAATAACTTCTTTAATCGACGAAACCGAAGCATCCACAAGCTGGCTTAGAGAATCGTAATCGAAGCGAACGTCTTTTAACAAGTCACTCACTTTCAGATTACGAGAGTCTGTCACAGTATCTGCCTCCATGGTTACTGTACTGGATTCTCGATGACTAGGGTTTAAGAGAAGAAGAGCGAAGAAAGGTTTAACTTTTATATATTTTGAACGAATTGCACAAAAACTTATGTGGGCTTTATCATTAGGTACCAAAAAAACTAATATTTAACTGGGCCATCCTGACTTTACGAAACGCCCAAAGCTATACAATAAAAATTGAGCCCAAGCAATAATGCGTAATTCACGTGTTAGTAAGAATGAGAAACAGACAAATACTGCAAACCCTTAAGGCCTTAACAAAGCTACTTATTTAGCAAATGTTAAAGAAGAAACTAACTATTTAACAAAATTATAAATTTAAATTCGGTCATATTTTGTAACTTTTTACAATGCTCTTAGGCTTTTTAGAATACTTGTAAATTGTAATTAACGTTTTTTTCTATCCCTACTATAGTAAAAGAGAAGTACACAAGGGATTCGGGTCGGGTTTTTCAAAAAAATTCGGGTTAAATTTTCAATCGGATACTTGCCAAATTTTTTGTTAAATATTTTTCAAATATTTCAATAATATACACCAGATTCCTATCATTTAGGAAACTATATTAATGCTAAATAAAAATATGTCTTATAAGGAAAATTTGTTTATGAATATAAAGATGAGAGATCTCAATATTTTAAAAATATTCTAATTATTATATAAATTTCTTATATGAAAAAACAAAAAAAAATTATAATTTTTTATAAGTTTAAATATTTGATATATAGAAAAATATAATTTAAAAATATTTGGTATAACAAATATAAAAATGCATCTAAAATACATAAATAATGGTAATATAATCAATAAAAATGTTAATTAGTTTGAATTAGTTAAATGTTTCGAAAAATAAAATTTGAATATATATGGCTATAAAAACGAAAGATTTTATTAAAGATTTTATAAAAAACGAAAGATTTTATATATATTAAATCTTTATTATTATTTTTATATTTCCTAATCTTTTAAATGAAAATTTTTAATCAGAATAAAAAAATAGTATATGAAAAGAGGTTTCAAAATTATTCCAATCTTTATCAATTTGAATTACCTATAAAAAAAAGAATAATATTTTATCAATAGCATAATTAATGCAAAATTATAGAGATCCATATATATCTAGAAATGGTTATATTTGAATTTTGAAAAAAAAAAGAAATTTGACAATCATTAATATATTTCAATGACTAATACGAAATATTTTGGATACAAAAAAAAATAATTAAAATTTTAGGATAATTATTATAATTAACTAAAAATACTTTAATAACAATATTTTATCTTTGTAATTATTAATCATCGAATCACTACTAATACAAAATCAGTCATAAAAAATATATTTCATAAGTTAGTTTAAATAAATTACCTTAAATTCTGAATTTTCCTTAAAATGTTCTAAATATTTTAATATGTGAATAACAAGAATATTATGGTCTCTTATTCAATATGAAGTATATTAATATTTTTGTTTTATTTTTATAGGATACAAGTATATACAAATCTTTCAAACTCATATGTTCTTGTGTGATACATGTATATACATGATTTTCATGATTTTTCAATATCATATATTTTCATGATTTTTTTTAAAATACACGGGTTTTTGCTGATTGGTTCGTCACCACGCACATTGTGAGTATACAATTTGTTTAATAAACGTTTTTTTTATTTAGTTTATAAAATATTATATTTAATTTCCGAAAACACACTTTTCTCAAAGAATTGAAACCAAATATACATCTCGAAATAATAATTGTTGATAATAAAATGAACGAAATAATAATACATACGACAAAACACGTTAAACTAAAATAAACCTGAAAATATTCTTTCGTGCTGTAGCGCGGATCTGAACCTAGCATACGTGACAAAGTACACATCCACGATAGTACATATTCTCATACTTGCCAAATTCAACACCAACAATCCATTTTAACAGTTAAAAGTTTACGTAATTCGGAAAAAAATAAAAACCGACACTTTTCCTCCGCGCTGTAGCGCGGGTCCGGACCTAGTTTTAAGTTAAAAACAATGATTTTAGCAACTATTTGCAACTTTGCATTTTCTGTCGAATGCAAAACTGTTATTGGTTTATGATTTTGATTTCTTCAATTCTAAGTTATTTGTTTTCTACAGTTTTAAGAGCCATCAAAACTCTATTTAAATTGCAAACCAATAACATCTTCCAAATATTTTTAAACAGATTCCACGAATTTTAATCTAGTTGATTGAGTGACTCGAACACATACCAAAAACTTTTAACTGAATTCTAGAAATTTCTATTAAAGCGATGTTGTAACTTTGAGACTAACCATACTAATGTGTTAATTACTCTATCAGTTTGCACCCATAATTAGCAATAAGATTGTATTTGACAGTTGTTTATTTATTTATAAAATACTTCATAGGGTTAGCAAAGAAAGAAGAAAAAAAGACTACACTGTCTTTTGAAGCTAGCTTGTCTTTGTGGAGGAAGTTGGTAAGATACCCCCACAAACACACAAATGTAAATGGAAGAGGAAAAATATATGACATTGACTAGCTAAACAAATAAAGAAGCAAATAAAATTACAAATTGTATTTGTTTGCTTAACTGTTTTACATTTTTGTGTATTTGTTCTACATATTAGTATTCGCTAATTTGTACAAATCATTATTTAATAGACAGTAGGCGACTAAACCTACGAAGACTTAAGCAGGTAGCATTTTGACCACTTTTGCAAGAGTGCTAAAACACTTATTAATTAATTTAATAAAGTCTGCATCATTAAGTCATAATAGATCAAATCATACATACTTTATTCTTTATATTTGTACGAGCTTTATGATAGTATAAAACTCCTTCAAAATGCCAACTCCCTATTGGTTGGGAGATTAATCATTATTAAAAAGGGCATTTACAAGAAGGTAAACTATAAGATTTCTTTAACTAAAAAAATAGTTAACTTTACTTCTAAAATAGTGAGAATCAATTCCACTTTGTCTTGGCTATTTATTCGAAGTTTGTTAAAAAAAAAAATTGAATTCTCCACATATTAGTTTAACTAATTATATATAAATATTAGTATAAACATTTGTATTTGAAAACACACACAACTTAATTAAGATGTGACCCTTAAAGCAGAAGACTCTCCCAAGTGGAACAAATGAGCATATAAACAAACAATTTGCAGTAAAGAACGACCAAATTAATTCTCTTTGAGGTCATCACAATTCACATAAAGTTGTGTTTTGTCACTAATTTGCCACATAAGGCGTCTCTTCTCTTTATATATAAATAGCCATTTTCTATGTAGGTAGGTATGCCTTAAACATTTATATTCGTATACGTATACGTGTGCATATCGTATATGGATATCTAAATGCATACAATAATTAACACTCTTTTATACATTTTGGCTATTCATTGTAATATATATATATATATATAAGTACATAGCTTGGTATTCATTGTAATACTATAAAGTGTACGAAATATAATATTGATAAATGATTTAGTTATGAAATATATTCTATAGCAATTCGTGATTAAGGGAAACGAAAAGGGTACAGTTCAAGCTGTTTGGAATAAAACTGGACTCTCTGCAGAGATTCCCATCTAGCTTGGTCTGATTTTTCTTGTCGAACCTTTAACTTTTATTGTTTTTCCATCTTATGCCTATAAGATTAGAAGTTTCCGATTACTTTATATTACGATCGAGGTTATAAAATTGAAGTCTTCTCGCCCCACCCGAGTGTGGGAAAGAAAGTAGACGACAGTCATGAGAATGTTTTAACGTGTTTAATAAATATTTTACAATCCTAATACATTTAAATTAGTTACGTATATGTTGATTAGTATTTAGTAACAATTTAATGAAGATAGTGATACAAATTTTTGTATTGCTACGATACGTCAGCACGTTAAACTGTGGGTTCTCCTATTTGGATTTGACGTATAGTCTGCTATATGTCTAGCATACATGTATCAATAATCCAAAAGATACATGCAAGGTTAGTCAATGGTCATACACTCATACGTATTGAGCATATATATGTACATGAACTTCACGTGGTTGTACGTAACATGCATGTCTATATATATTCGTAAATATGAAACTTGGAAACTAAAAATGCAATGCAAGGAGATCAATGGTTATCGAGGAAGTCCAGGAAATGAGCTTCTAGGGAGTTCCAACGTGTGGAGACATACATCCAAGAAATATTACAGCCGACGAGATTAAAAAAAAAAAAAAAGAAGAAGTCATCACAAACAATTTAGAATTTTTTTTTATATGTTAAAGTTTGATTAGTTAATTAAACCCAAAATCGTACATATATGACACGAGCCCCATTCTGTATCGATTCTTGGTAAATAAACAATTGTTGTGATTGGTTTGGTCACGAATATTTAATAGTTTATATCTTTAATCCCTGTAACTTTAATGTTTATTTTATTTATTTGAATAAAAATGTTCATCATTTGATAGAAAAGTTCTCTCAAGATGTATTTCTTTTGGTATAACTTTTTGTCCAGACGTCTTCATGTGATATTGTATTATTCTTGTAAGCTGACATATATAGATTACAGAGAACCTTGCTTTAATTTGCCTCGGTTTGAATAACATAATTAACAGATATATATATATCAGCTTTTAGGAGCATCGAATGAAGAAGAGAGAAAGCAAAATTAAAGTAGTTGAGAATAGTTTCCTTTGCTTTCTCGAGAAAACTAGCCAACTAATTAACTAAAATCTCAATTATTTCAGTGAGCAACACATGAGAACAATCATTTGTAGTAATAATATTAACTGCTCGATATTATGAAAAAAAAAAATTAACCGAAAAAAAAGATGTCAGATGATGGTGGAATACTGGAATCTATAAGTCTAAATATTAGAAGTGAGATTGATGACTAACAAAAGATAATCTAGTTTGTTAAACTTTCGAAACACATTAACTATAGCATAAATAAATATCAAGAACTGTAATTTTTTACATACTTGGATTGTATCGAATTGTAAACCTATTATACTATTGATAATATATGCATACATTAGTATATATATATGTAATAATACTTTTCTTTGTTAAAATAGAAATGAATATAATACCATTAGGAAAATGACATTTCTATAGGCTGAACATGCTGCCCAACACTTCTTAAGTAAAAGCCTTTTTAGAAACTTGAAGGCTCTTTATTTGCTACTCATTATTCTTTTTATTATTTTTTTTTGTTATGGTTATTAGTATGATAATGCCTTATTGATTTGACATCACCAGACACTCACCAATACTTGGTTTAAACATATAAATTCAGAAATGAAAATGTATATAAAAATGGCAGAATCCTCTAGCCTTGGAAGTGCTAGGGTTATGAATTTTCTTGCCTCCACCACATATCAAAAGAAAAAGTACTTCTACAATATAACATAAGACCATCAACAACCTTCTCCATCTCTTCTTTTAGTTGAACTGATGATTTCGAGTATTCACTCTCAATTATGTCGCCTAGTAACTTAAATAAAAAAATATATATATATTTTTAATATAATTAGAGGGTGATACATACTTTTATTAGTAGCTTTCTCGTTGAAATAAAATTATAGCTCCAACGGTAATTTATCTAAACTTATATGACAACTCTTTTAATTTTAATTTCAAGAAGGTTCACTGTCACTTGGTTGCTTGTATCATTTTCGTTGGGAAACATAAATTTTTTTCTATCAGACAAATATTCACACGGCAACTGAAACTGTTGACCAAAGTTTTACCATGTGCTTATTATAAAACGTCAACGCATTACATAATTAGCATTGATGCACTCGAGACGGCTCAACCTCTCCATGCATTGTATTTGTAATATTTCTTAAGGTGGTCGATTTTGATAGACGCCACTTCGAGTGGAGGACAATACCAAATGCAATTTTACTACTATGAATGCAATTAACTTATTTGTTTTTACATATATGAGATGATAAACATATACAAAAGTGGCAAAAGAGAAGACAATCAAGGCATACGTGAAAAATATTCATATACATGATTTGCTAGTTGATAAGCAACTTGAGATTTCCATTTTCTCTTTTTTTTTTTTTGTGAATAAGTGTAATTTCTTAAAAGAAGCAATATGTTTGAAACTTTAAATTATATATCTACTTTACAAAAGGCATTTCAAAATATAAGTTTTTGAACATTTAAAAGATATATATAATATTACATGGAGAATAAGTATAAATCCAAGTTGATTACAATGATTTGGTTGGTAGCTTATCCGGCTTATCCCGGATACAAAATAACACATTTCTGAACACAATAACAATATATCAATTATGATTATACTTATAGCCAATAATCAATATTGAAATCATGGTGATTACATGCCATGAATCAGAACAAGCATTAAAAACTAATCCTAGATATATTTAGAGCTATGTAACGTACGTAATTATGTAAACTCTATGATAACTATATATTAACCAAACATATGTACGTATATGTAACTAAAATATATTCGAATTTGACCAATTTACATATAATATCAAGTTTTATCCATGAATGCGTCGTATTCATAGAATAATGCTGGTGTATTCTACCTTTCGTAATCAAACATAAATGTAATTCAAAAAGTAAAAATATCTCATGGATGTTCGATCATGAGAACATATTCCATGACGAGAAAGCATCATCTTTCCTTTTTGGGTAACCAATTATTTCGAAAGCAGAAACTGTAGAACTAGAATCTGCTAGTTGATCATTTTGCAACTTGTTTACACTAGCTAGGGTTTTACTTTTAATATTTCAGAGTGTAACACTAGTCACTAGAATATATATAACGGGATTAACCCTAAATTAATTGCTCTTTGGGAGTAAATATTTGGTAGCTCTTAAAATGTTTCCCATGAGTTAATTTGTAGGCTTTCTCTATCTGAAGATCTTCAACATCAATAAACTAATGATCCATCAATGTTACCTAGCTAGTAGCTATGAATTATATTCTTCATATATCGATCATCGTTTAAATGTTTCATCAGTTAATTTGTGTGATTTTAACTAGTCTCCAGCTAGTTTCAAGTTCAACAGGTGACGAGACTTAAGCATATATATAGTACGACAAAGTTATTGTACATATTATGCTATACTAAACATGACAATAGAGGATCTTGGTCGTCCATGATATATAGTAGAAAATGATGTTTTGACTACTGTCAATTATTCGGACATGTTTTAATATATATGTTTAGTAGTCCACTAATTCAGATTCATTATAAATTTAACATCAGACCAAGGAATCTTCTTACTTCGAGAGTCAAAGATTTTTCCATCCGTGATAATTATTTATTGCACCATTTATTTATTTACATATTCACTTGTAAAAGGTACATAACGCCACTATGACACTGTCACTAGGTGACTTTTATATATATTAAAATCATTATTTTAATTCTCACAATTAAAAATAAACACGTTCTGGTGCAGTAGTACTATATTCGAGTTATGAAATAATTGTATGATTATTGTTTTTGATGTATGTAATAATCAAAATATATGACACTTAACCCAATATAATTAACAAGCCGGATATTTATACCATTTTGAGACGTTTACAGTGCAAAAGATTACAGTTATGATTACTCAACTTCATGTAAATCCAACCATTAATATCACTACCATGAATTGCTTAATACGAAATGATTTGATTCTTCTGATCCATACTAACTTAATTAAAACGGTGGAAAAATATATTCAGCTCCTCCTTCTCAAATTTTAAGGCTTTCACCATAAGGAGTTTGTCATGTATTGCATTTGCAACTGAGACTGAGGCTGAGACTCCACTAAGTTCACACAAGCTTCTTCTTCCTCATGCAACCCATCCAAATTCTGCCACATTAATGTTAAGAAATGAAGTAATAATAATTAGATAATTATCTCAACGTAATCTTTCTTTAAGAAAACTTAAAGTAAGGTTTGTAATCAACTAAATATAATGACTTACCCAAAGGTCGTCGTCGTTTTCTTGTCCAGTGAAGGAAGAAGCGATCTTGGGGTTCTCCAAAACTTCGTCGTTTCTTGCAAATCTGCCACGTACTCTTGGTCTGTTGTCCGCCAACGTTTTCCGGCATGCATACTTCAATTTTGTTTTTCCAATTTTAAACAAATTATAACGGTGCAGAGGAAAAAAGAAAAAAAATCAAATTTTCAAATGTGTAATAAGCTATTATTAATTAGAACTTTAAATCATTTACGTAATGCGTTTAAGTGGAATATTGAGCCAAAAATATCGTCTAGTGAAAACTATGTAAACAAATTTGAGTATTATTTTTCTTGTTGATTTGAGTAAATATAGAGGAAATTAGGTTTTTATTTTATTTTTGAGAAGGTGATTTAAAACAAAATAAATTAAAAGTAATTGAGATTTTTGATTTGTTTTTCCTCTGTTCCTTTATTCTAAATAAAAGACATACTTATTATTATTTAACTATATTCTTAAATAATTATTACGGTATTACCTTAATGGTTTTGGTGAAGTTTCTCTGTGTTCGTTTAGCTCTATACTTTGAGATCTTTTCTTTACGTTCTTCAGAACTGTAACGCCCCACCTTCAAGCTTTGATCTTCCCCGGAAAACAGTGTCGTTGATGAACTCTCCACCGCCAAAGGACTCGAGTATGATCTCTGTCCCGTAAAATCCCTTCTCAAATTCTAAACAATTCCAAAAAATTACATTTTGATGGTTACAGTTTTTGTGTGGAATTACAGAGGATGAAATATAGCTAAAAAGTACCTGTAAATCTCCGGTGCTGTAACCTCGTCGCATGTAACCGGAGAAGAAGGAATCTTCCGGCGAGTTTAATAAATTCTGATTCTGGAAGGAATCTTCCATGATGGGAGCATCAAATTGAGTGTTAAACAAGAGCTGCTCTGTTTTGACGGCGTCGAAGCTTTCGAAAGCGGAGAAGTTGGGGAAACTGTTTGTGTGGGAGAGAGTTAAGGTTTGGAGCTGAGAGATTGGTGGAGAAGAAGAGAGGAGATGGTGACTCGTCGTCGGGGTAAAACTTTCAAAGAGATTAAAAGATTGATGATCATCCATTAATGGATTGAGGTAAGGATTGTTGCAGAAGAGATCTGTTGTTGTTGTTGTGTCGGAAGAAAACATATCTGGATCAGTACTGTGGCAGATTGAAGAAGAAGATGAAGACCCATCAAAGATGTAAAGATCAGAATCCATTGTTAGTGTAACTCCTCGTAGATTCTCAGTGAAGAAGAAGAAGAAAGAGAGCAAAAACAATTGAATATTTTTGTGTTATGTTCTGTCTTTTTTCTTTGGTCTCTGTGTAATTGAGCAAATGAAACGGTTACAGAGGACACAAGTGACACTCGTGATCTTTGTTTTGTTTTTCTGAAAACCACCAGAATCCAAAATTGGCAAAAAGAAAAAAACTTTTTATTTTCTCTCTTTTCTTATACTCACTTTCTTGTTTCAGAACCAAGACAAGACAGGTCCAGTTTATTTGGTCTGGTGGGCTAATGTTTATATAGCGGTAGCGAACAATAAAGTGGGTTTAACAAATGTGCCCTCATATTTTCTTTATGTTATGAATTGCTCTAAAAGTGTTTTTCTTTTTTATAAAAAGTCTGAGAACCCACTCACTGTATTTGCATGGCATAAGCTCAAATCTAAGAATTGTTTAACCTTTTACGTATAGTCTTATTGCTATGGAAACAGAAGCAAATAGAATATAGAGGGTGTGATTGGTAGTACGTACCTATGACGGCAGTAGAAGAAGTTTGGTCTCAAAGTAAAGGATGTGACTATGAAAAAAGTAAAAGTTACATTTGGTGATTGGTGGTGAATGTAAAAAGCTGCAAAATATATTAGAGCAACATTAACCATAGTCTCCTACAAATTTTAGAACTAAGAGCTATTTCTTAACAAATCTTAAATTTTTAACAAATTTTACCGTTTAAAAAACATACAAAAAAAAAAGAATTATGTGTAACTTTTTCTGCAATTTTCATAGTCTGTGACTCTCTTCCTATAATTTTCAAATCATTTCTAAACTAGATTTTACTATTTTTTTGATGATATATGAACCAATAAACAATAACAATGTCAATTAATTCTACCAAAAACAAAAAACAATGTCAATTAATTATTAAAAAAACCTTTGAAAATCCATCAACTACCTAATTCTACCACCGCTGAAGACCTTTGTTAGTTAAAAGTTTTTATAATAAAGTATAAACTGGGATAAACTTGAGATAAATTGTAAATTAATTAAGGTAGCAAAAATTCATCTTTTTGCAATTTATCTCAAACTTGTGAACTACCAATCATATTAAAATGATTTGACACAAAATACCTTACGGTTTCATAAAGAATATCATTTTAAATTCTACCCAACAAAAAATGTATTCTTTTAAAATATATAAAAAGTTACAATTTTTCTAAAAGGATACCTTTTGGGTGAAATCTAAAATACTATTTTGAGTCGTATGACCAAAAACAACTACAATTCCTCGTTTGGTGATTTAGAAACATTGACATGGTCCAAATTAAAGTTGTCCATTTCAAATGTGAATAATAAAATATCATGCTTTGGATTAGTTTCAACTATCATTAAAATTGTCTCGTTGTTTTCTTTAATGTAGACCCAAGACAAATTGAAGTCGATATAAGAGTTCCTCTCTTATAAAACCCATTGAATTGACATCTAAGCCTTAATCTTCTTCAATTGAAATCATAAAAATAATAGTAACTTTTGGTAATAAAAATCTACTAACATTAGATGATGTATTGTACATAGGAAGAAAATGAATATTTTTTTAATTAAATAAATCCTAGAAAATTATCTTATAGTTGAAGACTAGTAATTATGATTTTTGTTTAGAATAATATATATAGTAAAGATTACAAAATTTAAATTACGTATCATGGTGTTTAACACTATACACATTGTGATAAAATTAAACCTTTAATCAACATTTTTTTCTACAGAAGATTGTCTAATACTTAAATCAACTTGGTTTTAATATAGAGTTTAATATGCTAGAAAGAAATATACTAGTTATATATATTGTGAAAAAAAATCTTAAGTTAATCTATTTTTTGTTTTTGAAAGAGAGATAAAAATACACAAAATAACAAAAAATATCTTTAACTAATTTATAAGAAAATAATTTCCTTTTAATTAACACCTTATGGTATATTATGTAATAAAGTACTAATTTTAATCTTTAAAAAAAGTATTCCATCATTTACATAAGGTTTTACGGTATTTTGAGACTCATACGATCGTAGAAGTAGTGTATGAAATTGAAATATAATTTGATTACACTAACAAAGTATTTTAAAATTAACTACTCTAGTTTACAAAGATCATATTTTTAACCAAGTAAAAAAAAAATACAAATATCGGCATTCACCAAGATCATATTTTTTTAGCCAATCAAAAAACCCCCCCGAAGGTGTCAGAAATTTCGGATAAAATATTATTGGTCAACACAGGTCCTAATAAACATTTAGATTACTAGTCAAAGCTCTCATTTATCTAAGAAACTGGTTTGATAATTAAAAAGAGTGTGAGCGAGACGATCCAAGTCTTCAGTTTCTGCTTTCTTCAATTGAAAGGTTTGTTCGTGAAGTAGATCTGCTTCTTCTTCTTCTTTATCGATCAAAGGTACTTTCGATTTAGTCTTTGATTTAGGGATTTGCGAATCTGAATCGTCTTTTTTTTTTTTGTGGTGAAGGTGACTTGTTTTTTGAGTTTCGAAAGCAATGGCGGGGTCACAGGCTAAGCTGGAGAAGATGAAACTCCGTCAGGATTACCGGAACTTATGGCACTCCGATCTCATGGGCACTGCCACCGCCGACACTCCCTGTAAATCTCAGTCTCTCTCTCTCTTTATTATGTCTCTAGATTCACTGTTTATTCAATTGGAGAACTAATTTGCGTTTTCTGGATTTTTTTTTTTTTCGCAGATTGTTTCCTCTCATGTTTTTGGTAAGTTGTTGTTGATGTATTTGCTTTTAGGGTTTTGTATTTAGGAATCAAGCAACAGCTAGGTATTGGATGATGCAGTGACTTAGATCTCTCTAGATTGTTAGGCTATTGTTCTCTCTGTAGTAAACCAGTGTGTGATTCATGATCTGATCTTTCTAGAATGAATTAACTAAACAAGTGCTTGATAACTCTTATTTGAATGGTTTTTTATTTGTTTCTTTTGCTACATAATTTGATATGTAATACATTTTGACTTGTAGTGGACCTTGTGTTTCATACATGCTTCGGAGAAGAGCACTTTACAATGACATGTCAAGGTATGAAGTTTCTTAAGTATGTCGATATTATTTTTAATTTTCTTTCCTTTGCTAAGCTATTGTGTGTCCTTCTGTTTTGTGCAGGTATACTTGCTGTGCTGGATATATGCCTTGTAGTGGGAGATGTGGAGAAAGCAAATGTCCTCAACTTTGCCTTGCCACTGAGGTGAGACTTTTATCTTATCTGATTTTTTGGTGGAAGAAAATTGTAAAGTTTTACGTCTGTGAACTACACACGTTTTCTTTGTGTAAGAGTGTAGACATACTGAAATGGGAGTAAAGACATGAAACAGCATTTGATTTGGATATATATTTTTTTATCTTTCTTTTACACTTAGCTGTATGTTTCTAGTATATTGGTTGAAAATCTGATATATTGGGATTTTGTAAGCGTCCTCTTCTAGTAATCTTCCTGTGCTCTATAGGCTAAATATTTGAATTCCGTTGCTCAACTTATTTGACTCAGGAGATGAAATTATATTTGTGAACTTCACCAATGAGTGGGAAGTTCTTTATATTTTGGCTTGTAAAGTCTGTTTGCTATAATTAAATAGATCTCTTTATGATTTTATGAATCGGCATTTGTTTTGAAGCAACTTGTAATTGGAATTTCAGGTTTTCCTCTGCTTCGGAAACTCTGTGGCCTCCACCCGCTTTCTTCTGCAGGACGAGTTCAACATTCAGACAACACAATGCGACAATTGCATAATTGTACTCATACTCTTTTCCTTCTACTTTTATTTGTTTTACACATGAATGCATATATTTGTGAAACTATCAAATCTCATCTTGTGTGTTTCAGGGATTTATGTTCTGCCTCAGCCAAGTTGCTTGCATATTCTCTATAGTTGCTTGCATTGTTGGTAGCGATGAGCTTTCTGAGGCTTCACAGATACTCTCTTGCTGCGCTGACATGGTCTACTGCACGTATGTTCTTACTTCTTGCGATGTTTAGCTTCCCCCTCTAATTAAATAAAGTTCAGTGATTGCTAATACTTAAAGCACGGTCTTGATTTTCTTGCAGGGTCTGCGCATGTATGCAGGTACCTGAAAACGAGAACTAATCTGAGCTTCTTAAACTATCTTTCTTTTATGGTATTTATAACCAAAACCCTATCTTCTGCTTGCAGACACAACACAAGCTTGAGATGGACAAAAGAGATGGAGTGTTTGGATCTCAACCAATGGGAGTGCCGCCAGCGCAGCAGATGTCCCGTTTTGATCAACCCGCCCCTCCAGTTGGATACCCTCAGTCCTATCCACCGCCTGCCCAAGGCTACCCTCCTGTTCAAGGCTACCCTCCTGCATCTTACCCGCCTCCTGGTTATCCCCAACATTAAGAATCTTAACCAGTATTTTCATTTTCTGTGTCAAATTGTTATTGTTACTTGGTTTAGGTATGCAGACTATTATTTTGTTCAGCTTTGTCCTCGGTTATGCGATTTCTTTTGAAGCATTGTTTTTCGGTATATGTCTGTGAAGCTTTGCTATCATTAACTGGGTTTGTTGATTTTGGTATTGAAGTAAAGAACAATATATCCTTAACAAGTTTAGCTACAGAAAACGATTTATACAATTCTGTTCCACAATTACATCAAATCCGAAACCAGACAAGTACTTAAATTCACAATAACAAAATGAAATTTCCCTTATGAAAGAGAGATAAAGATATAACGATCAATGAAACCTATGACATCATTTGAAATTGCATAAATTCTTGTCCGTAACCTAGCAATAAATAGAATCAGTCATATTTTCACCTCATTAGAATAGAAGGACAAACGTTAATTCTCCTCACACCTCTCATCTTTACGAAAGCAGATTGAGGAAGCTTTTGTCCAGTCTCCCATCATATAACATATTAGTGACCAAGCCAAAGGTTGAAGCATCTCCAGCAAACCCGCAACTCCTCATTTCTTTGATGAGTTCTGCTGATGCAGCTTTGTCGCCATCTCTGAGGTGCGCTCTGATCAACGTATTATAGATACAATCATCTGGGAGAATCCCATCTTCTTTCATTTTTCTAAACAAGGCATCCCCTTTGTGCAGTAACCGTTTCCCACACAAGCCTGAGATCATGGTATTGTAGGTTACAACACAAGGCCTCACTCCTTTATGGTTGAGGCTACAAAATAAATCCCACGCTTCTCCCACCTTCCCAGCCTTGCACATCCCATCAATCATAACAGTATACACAAAAATATCAAGTTCCATTTCACTCTTTTGTAGATCCTGGAATATGACCATTGCTGTCTCTAGCTTCCCATAATTACAAAGTCCATCTAATAAGATGTTGTAAATCATAATACTGGGAGGCACACCATCATAAACCATCTGTTTGAATACCATTTGGGCATTATCACAATCCCCTGCTTGAAAAAACCCTTGGATAAGTGTGTTGTAAGTGGTGGTGTCGCCAATCAATCCTCTCTGAGCCATCTCTCGGAAGAGTTCCATTCCATCATCTACTCTCTTAGACTTGCAAAATCCATTAATGAGAGTATTGTATGTCGTTACATCTGGAATACAACTTTTGCTAAGCAAACATATCCTTGGCCTCATCTAGGTGATCATGCATGCAAAAACCATTGATCATTGAATTGTATGTGACAATATTGGGATCTAGAGACCTTTTGATCATCTCCTCATACAATTTCTCGCCTCTGGAAGCTTCCCCTCTTTCACAAACGCATCGATCAATGCATTGAAAGTAACAACATTGGGGTTGATATCCCTCCTGATCATATTGCTCAGTAGCCGAGAAGCATCACTCCATCTTCCGTAATTACAAAGGCAACTTATGAGGGAGGTGTAGGTAAAAACATCTGGTTTGATTCCTTTGGTCTCCATAGAATAGGCTGATTGATTGAGAAGAGCTCTTTCTCAATCTCAGTCTCACTCTCTCACTCTCTTGCACATCGCAAAACCCTTTCACGGAGAGATATGCAAACCGATGGAATTCTGGTTTAATACTTATTACCATTTACTAAACCGGTTTACTTTAGTAAGACCATTTTGTTGATCTCAGATTCTCAATCTGTACAGTCTTAAACCGGATTTATAAGCAAACAATAACCCACTCAAGTCAAATTCTCTAATTACTTTTGTAGAGTAGTGCAATCAGAAGAATTGTGGATTAAATTTGCGATGGCTGTAATTTTTACTCCACTTTTGGTTCTCCATGATCCATCTATGTCTTGAAAAAACTGAACTGACTTCGTTCATCAAATCTCACCTGATGAACCACCAAAAATGTTACATATAAGTGTTTGGTAACATTTTAATATTACAAAAGATTGATGGTATCAAGTTTAAAGAAGCTATATAAGCTAAGTTAAAGCAAACCAGAGTAGGATTTTTAGTTTTGTTTTTTTTTTTAGTTCAGAACCTAATTAATTGTCTTTGTACCATTACGTATATGATGTTCACTTTAACTTATTTATCGATTCTTTTTGTTCCAATTGGTGCACGAGGAACCATCGAGGATGGGCTATATATTGCTTTGGGAGTTTCCCTTTTTATATAGGCATAATAAGTAAGAATTTCTAAATAAGCTTTAGAACAATTTGGTGTGGCTGCTGTTATTTTTCTATATATATACTGTTACTACTTTATGTCTTGAAATTGGAATTGTTTTTAAAGCAAAGACTTTTTTTTACAATCAAAGGGATTATTCTGATTTGAATATAGAATTAATGTTTAGATTAAACGTCATTTGAAGTCATGATCAAAGCTTCTGTAACTTTGACAATCATTCTTGTGCTAACAAGACAACAAAGTGTTTTGCTTGCATCAACCGTGTAGATTCCCTGTGAACCAAAACTTTTTGTATGTGTGAGTTTGTTAGTATAATTTCCTAAGTGTTTTGTAACACCTTAACATTACAAAAGATTGATGGTATAACAAAAGAAGCTACATAAGCTAAATTAAAAGCGAACCAGATGAGTGATATTAAAGAAAGAGTCGTGCGTGACCTAGGTAATGCCCAACGAGAGTAGGTCTTTTATTTTTATTTTTCTTTTTACAGATTGTCGTTAATTGTCTTTTTTTTTTTAAATCTACAACTTTTAGGCCATGAATAGTGACTTTAAAAGCAGGGTGTTTTTCGTTTTGCATCGCAATACCACACATATGTTACTATTTAACCCGATTTTCTTTTTGTTAGCATTTTTTGAAAAAAAATTGTTTTTGATATCTGCATAATTAACCAACATATATAAGCATGAAACACTTTTAAAAACATAAGTTGTATTTATCTAACGGTCCAAAAACATCATAAACTGTATTTGTTCCGTAAATTTATTTTTTCTAAATATCACATTTAAACTGCACTGCATATTAAAACTGATTTTTCTGCGCAATTAAATACGCTGTCACCCTTCAGATTTTAAGAATATTGTATGTAATGTTCACTTTAACATATTTATCGATTTTTTATGTTCCAATTGGCGCACAAGGGTGGACGTGGAACCATCGAGGGTGGGCTATATTGCTTTGGAAGTTTTTATATAGGCATAATAAGTAAGAATTTTTGGTAAAGTATATAAACTAGAGCTAATGATTTTCATAGTTTCATTTCATACATACAAGCTTTTTTGTTGCCTTTACGCTTTCTAGTCAAAGTGGGTCAACCAACATCAGTTAATTAAACAACATCTCCCTCTATACTTAGAAAAATCCATTGTATAATTCCTAGCTCTACCAGTTTTCGTAATTTAAAAACATAGAATTAATCTAGAAACGAAATCGAAACATTATCAAAAATAAATGTTAGTGATATTTTGTTTTTCTGGTTTGTAAAACACATAATAATAATAAAATGGTCAAATTAATGGATTTGATTATAAGATTAGCCAGCTTTATCTATATAATTGCAATTTTTTACTCATCTTACCAATTTTTATGACAATGTGTTAATTCTTTAGTAATTAAATTTAATTTATTATTTTTGAACAATAATTTTAATTTTATTTTATGTAGTAAATAAACCGAAAGCAGAAAATGATTAGAAGCGTGTGGGCTCTCCATGTAATAGGAGCAAATAGGTAATGAAGGAAAAGAAAGAAGCACACGAACTAAGAGTAGTCACAGACAAGTCCACGTATGCCACGTGGCGACAGCATAACATACTTCAAAGTTTTTACATTCATTCACATGGGAAGCTTCCCCGCGTCACCACGCCACAGTTTATTTTACAATACACAAACCTTTGGACCTCTTTCTAAAGTTACTATACCAAACTCTTCTTTTTAAAACTCTATTATTTGTTTGGCTCTTAATTAAAGTCCTAATGATTAAGAGTTGGAGATTTGTGTTCTCTCAGCGTTTCAATTTTTGGGGTTAACAAGTTTGTATAGAACACTTCAAGTTACATGTTGACATTGTTTTAATAGAGTTTATGATGTTATAATGGTGAACGAACAAAGTATCTTATCTTCGATGACCTATGCATCATGCATGTTGGTTTTAAATTATATATATATATAAAAAGATAACATTGAGGTAAGCGCCTCCTCTTATCTTTCTTAAAAATATATATATAGTATATGATTGATGAGGTAGCTAGGTGTAATAAACAAGTGACAACCATTGAAAATATAACTTACAGAAAACGTTACTTATAATAGAAACTATGATAGTAATTTGATAGCAACATAATTTCTTGTTATTTACCTTCACAAGAAAGAACAAAAAAAGTCTTACAACTTTATAATAACTCAAAATGTAATTTCATTTTTCCAGAGAAGGGATAATACAATTTTTTTTTTTCACTAAACCTGTAACCACTATAACTATTTTTTTTTCCTTTTTAATATTTACAATCCATATCCCACCAAACCCAATTCTAGAAAGAAAAAAAAAAGGTACTAACAAAAATTTAAATTAAGTATAAAAATATTCTCTCTCCTGATATGATGAATCATAATCATCATCAACAAGTTGAGAAGAAGCTTCACTAGATTGAGAAGACCAAAGCCTTTGGTTAAACTCAAGTTGAAGATGATCAGGTATAAACTGCGTACGACAAAGCGGACACGTCATCTGATTATAACCCATCATCCAACGGTCCAAACACCCCCGATGGAATATATGTCTACAGTTCGTCAGCCGTCGGATCTCGTCCTCGTTCTCGAAATCGTATAGACACACCGCACAGCATTCGGATTCGGGTCGGTTTAGATCCGAGAATCTAACAACCGGCAACATCTCTCCGGCTAGTATCGCTGCTGACTCCGGTTTGGTCAAGGTTAGTGGTGGTGGCTCTGGCCATGATGAGGTTGAGACCGGTTCAGCTGGTTCTAAGAAGTCAGGTAGACCAATGACCTTGAACATTGTGGAGACGAGTTTACGGATCAGACCTAAGAAAGAGAGCAAGTAAAGAAAGATCTTTGGGAGAAGGAGCTCGGAGTAACCCACCGGAAAACCCATTGCCTCGCCGTTAGAGAGAGAGAGAGAGATGTAAGTGAGAGAAGAGAGAGAGAGAGAGATAGTTTGGATTGTGATGATGATAAGATGGAGAAGGGTGGGATTTATATATATATAGTTAGATGTGATTAGTTACTTAAATAATGTATTAGTGTATTTAAAAATAGTCAATAAGGTCCATTTATTTGGGTGTTTTTCTTTGGTGATTTGATTCTTTTTAATTATTGTTCTAGATGAAGGCATGATATAGCCAGGAATGTGGTGGTGATGTTTCCTAATTAGGTTTATTTAATATTGACACTAATATACCCTTTATATATATATATATATATATATATTTATTTATATAATTTATTTATTTTCCTGCATGTGTTATTATTTTTGTAGTGTCCATCTATTTTTAAAAACATCATTTTATATTTTCGTTAACATTTAACCTCTTAGCTTAAAAATAACTAAATGTAACTTCTATTATTATTATTTTTTTACCGTTTGATACTTCGATTTGTGATGTTTGTAGATTGAAGAAGAAATGAACAAACATGCGTTCATGAAAGATTAATAATTAAAAAGAGAGTTAAACTCAATGACAAATATAAACTATATACAACTTTAACATGGTAGGTATTGTACAGAAATGAATACTTATACCGTATATATATAGGCTATACGGTTAGGGTTCAATTTTTTCTACAGCGATTTTAATTATGATGTCATCGATCATAACTATTTTGAATGAAAAATATACAATAAACTTTTCAAAAAAAACGAAAGATTATTCTAGAACTTGGAAAAAGAAACGAGTTTTTGAATATGTCACTCCATGTTAATTAAGAGTTGATCGTTGCGTATAACCCAAACAAGTCAGATTCGTAAATTATTAGTAACAAAAACAGTCAGACGACACACGACAAATAATAGAGGTGAAGGCAGCTAGTTAGGTTCATTTCATTTTAGTTTTGTCTGTACCTCTAATGAACTATATCTGCTATATGCCAAACTGTAATATACACACACTTTTTTTATAGATCTATATATTTTTCATTTTTTGTTCGAGATTTATTTGTTTGCATATATTGGGAGATAGAGACCGGAGATTGACCAAGATCGACGGTCGAGATGTCAACTCTAAAATATGGAAATCGAGAAGATATTATTTTAGAAGATTATTGATAAATGTTAATATTGAGTTTCAGAAGTTTAACATTATCACAATTCACAATATATATTATTTACATTTATGTTTATCCTAAAACTCTATATAAGAAATTGTAAGTTGTATTTATTTCCAACGTGAATGTAAATTATAGAGTATCAAACTCACATCGATCTTCTATAAAATTGTACCAGGATTTTTTCATTGGCAGCTACGTTTTGATTTTTAAAAACTTGTAATTATTCAACTCAGTTTACTGGGTATACTTAATTACAGTGATAATTACGAGTAATTACAGTGATAATTATGAGTTACTATGATTTATACTTAGAATTCAAATTCAAATAAAAATTATGTTTGTATCTTGAAATGACTGGTTGAAGTTGAAGTATCGTCATCAGTCTACATATTTCGTCATGTTTTGATTATTACAAGCAATTGTGACCTCAAATTTAATTTACGTAGAAAAGTATTTATATAGCTCTTCAAATTCGTTTTTGATTCTGTTGTTCTAATACTTCTAGAATACGATATATACGATGAGGGGATCTACTTCTAGAGAGAAAGACTAAAGAGAGAGAGTGATCATGTCATATGGGAATCTGACTAAACTTGTATGAATGAGCCAAAGCACCACTGACCCACCTCACACCATCTCCATCTTCTCCTCCAACATTTCACATTCATACTCATTTTTTTCTTCTTTTGTGGCTACTATAACTATAAATATAATTGACATAATATATTATATTATATAATATTATATAAATTTATATAGATGCACCTTAGGAAACTTTGAATCCACACCACATGGTAACTGGAAAGGTGCGAGAGTATAATTCATTGAGAAGATCAAGTTAATCACAAACTCATGGAGTAATATAATTGGAAACAGGGGTTAGAGAATAATTAAATAGACTTAAGTATATTTCACTAACTGTCAGACTTTGGCGTTACTTGGGAGTAGAGATATAATTAACAGATAGGCCAGCTAAATCCAGCCATGATTAATCCTTTTTGTCTGGACAATTAACATAAACAACCAAATCAGTTTATAAGAAAACTGAAAATAATACTAAAAATTATGCTTAATGAAATAATTAAAGAGAAAATATTCTATTTTCAGATTATTTGGCTGGTTGATATGTTTATCAGGAATGACGAAAAAATGTGCTTATCAAGAATAATATTTGAAAGATAGTTTAAGCGAATTTTCTATAATGGTAATTATTACGTATAAATAAAGATTTGATTTTTAATAAGTTTATTTTTTAATTTTCAAGGGTTTATATCAATTATATTATTAAAGTTATAAGTTTTCTCCGATTAATTTTCAAACTTTGTTTTCTACTATTGTTCAAGGGTTATATCATTTTTTTTAAAATTATAAGTATATTTATGATTTCAATGTTAAAGTTTATAGAAGTATTTAAATTATCTTACTAATTTTTTTTGAATAAAAAGTTGTATATTTATGTTGGTTCTGTACGGATTACTGTAGTGGCAACATGTTTTAGCTTTAGTTATTCTTTGCAGGATTTAAACTATTTACAAGAATGGTTGCTTTTAAGTTTTTCTAAAAAGGAGAGTTAAAAAACATATTTAACTTGAAACTTGTCTGCTAATTCAAAGGAAAACTACAAAATTCATTCCAGTTTTGCATGTCAGACACTGTCGTTTTGTCAGTAAGCGACCAACTAATCACTCTCATTATTTTTTAAACCACCAGCTAAACCATAATTAGTATATACATATACTGTCATACTGTGTTTGTCTCTCAGTCAACTTTATTACTACAATACAACCAATTTTTAATCAGTTTTTGTATGTTCATACTGAACTAATTCTTAAAAACCCTAATATTTAAGCTTCTATTAATTTTTAAAATAAATTTAAGCTCTATTTTCTTTTAGAAAACGAAAAATAACACTATGTTAATGATTGGTCATGAAGACTGACTAGGACCACGAGGCCTTTTTTTTTTCTTTTTTTTTTTTCGGTATAATAAAATTACTTTTATTTTAATTTATTTATGGATCGTCTCTTTTTAACGTTTTATTTTTATACTACAAAAATATGTTTTATTATCCGTATATGTCAGACCGTACACTTTTCCTGTGTGGACACACGATATATGTTTGGCGCGGGCACTACTCAACTCAGTACTCAATACATCTAAATATTATTAGTAATTCAAAGTTTTGAATAATGAATTACAAAAAAAAATAAAAAATGCAAGAAGTACACATTACTGTACGTTATATAATCAATCGTTTTTAGAGAATCAGTTTTGTGAAGACAAACAAAAAAAGAATCAGTTCTGTATATAGATAATTTTCTATATAAAAAAAAATCAGAATGAAAACGTTTAAAGATTAGATGGAATGATAACTAATGTATTTATTCTGATAACAATTGTTTGTTTTACACAAATCTGTCGCAAGCAACACAAGTCACAAAACTAATTGAATAATATGATAAAAATATGATTGTTGTGGATGTGTTCAAAGTTCAAACACAGTCACCAATTACGTACATTCAGTTTGTATTTTTTTTTTCTTCTAATATCAAGTTAAAAAAAGATCTGAAAAGAAAGAAAAACAAAACAAAAGAGAGTTTAATTAAACTGGAATTCAAAAAAAAAGTACAAAGACAGCTAATACAAGAACTGAAGCAGCGAATCTATTGTCTCCTCCTCCTTCTCCTTCTACCAGGCAAACTAACGTGCCTTCCATTCACCTTCTTCTTTCTCCACTTTTTCGTTTTCTTTTTTTAAATTTCAATTCTTGATTAATAAATTTATACTTAATAGATATAAGATTAAATTGTTTCATGTCTAAAAAACAAAACTGCTCTATGTGTTTGATTTGTAACTCCGTTTTGGTATGAAATGTATCATTTTGACAATGATCTGTTACAAAAGTTATATCAAAAATGTTACTCAAAGCATTATTCTCAATTTTCTTTTTTAACAGCTGATTTTTCTTACATATTTGCATTATTACATGACAACTTACAGTTTTGTATTGCGTGTATTACCAATCGGATATATAACTGTACCAAGGAGTACTACCGAAACAGTAAGTAAAGAAATTATAACCAAAGAGTTTGGTTATTAAAACCAGTGAGTAAGACTTTCGTGTCATTCATTTTTATTTATTTTGTTGTCAACTATTACTACACTACATTATTTAGTGTACATTTTGTTTTGTATTAAAAGATTTCTCTATGTATATAGTTAATAATATAGGTTTGTACTAGTGGAATCGATTATTCTTAACTGGAGTGGCTATGTCTACGCAAAGTGACATATTACTTTTTATTAAATTTAAACCATATTCTTATCGCCCACCAAACATGTAAATTTTTTTAAAATATGACACTGACCATATAATCTTTTTTAAATCTGTAATGTTGGTTGTTAATTTCACCTGTGTTCTTTAGAAAAATGAAAAAGCTGCATTTCTTGTCTTCTTTTTTCACGTTACTATTTGTTCTGTCTCCAAAATCAAATTCTACACTTTTTTATATATTTTAAATCACTTGTTAATGACATAAGAAAATATATATGTAAAAAGTTTCACTTCCATACGGCCAAAACGCATGTTACATGCCTAATTGGGCCATACGTTATACGAACCCACTGGTCACATGAATAAAATTGGATCATAAACATATGGGCCAATGCTTCATTACACTCAACCTATGAAGCTATGGTCCGAAGGTTCGAAGTTACAATTCAAACTGTTATAAATCTACAAACTTCTGATTAACAAAGGTAGCCAAATCTCACAGGAGTAAAATGAATACTAACAGAATCACATATCTACAAATTCCAAGAAAACCAGAAGTATTTATATCCTTAAAATGAGTTTTAACCAGTCAAAACAAAACAAGAAGAAGAAACACTTGATTTGTTGTTATCAGGACATCATTTTCTCTGATGTATTTTCATTTATAGTTAAAGTTAGTGATCAAGAAAATATTAAAGTCAAATTATAAGCAATCATTATCAAAACACAAACATAAAATATGATTAAAATCCTAACACAAAGATTATGAGAGAGCATGGAATAAAACAAAAACTGATGATGGTGAAAGAATGAATGATGATCTCCACACAATATAATACTCCAAAATAAAAGTCGTCAGCAGAAACGTGGTTGGCTCACAATGCATTTGGGCTTTTGGCCCACACTACAAACAAAATCCGTTGAAACTTTGTACTTCTCGCTTCTCCGCGACGGCGACGATGACAAGCAACACGGTTTACTTTTTGCCTCTCCAAAAATAATACTACTCTGTTTTAGTCCAACAAATTACAAATTTTTTAGTTTCTAAAAAATTGACTAATCCACCAAAAACAATAACTAAAAACAAATTGGATCGAAGAAAACTGAAATATTATTAAAAATTAAATTAAAAGTTTGAATGGCTGTAGCGGTTGTCAAAGACAAATCTATTTTTATAATTAAGATCGCTTATATTTATCATTCATAACTTATATCTGTAATGATACAATAAAAACGACCAACTTACATACGAATAGGATTTGTTTATTAGTCCTGGGCAAAATATTCGTTAGATTCGTTTCGATTCGATATTCGTTTCGATTCGATTCAAAAAATTCAAATATCTATAAGATGTTGAACCGAAACAAATATGAAAATATAGTATTCGTAAAAACCGAAGCAAATAACAAATATTGATTTTTTAGTACCGAATATCCGCTTCGCTTCGTATATTTATATATATATATGTATAAATATAAATCATTATATAATATGTGTATTTATAGATCTGGGTATATATTTGATAGGCTTATTATTTTGGCTTGTTGGGATTTTTGCTAAATGTTGTTCTTAAGCAAATAAAACTTTATCAGAAAAATCAATATTAATTATAAAATGTGAGAATTCTATGAATGGTGGTTACATTTCCTTCATATTTTGAAAACATGTCAAATAAGAACCTCTAATATCTCATATTTTGCACTTTATATTTATGTACTAAATGTTTTTAGTTTTAAAAAAATTTAGATGGGTCGAAGCAAAGCGAAGCAAGTAATTCGCAAATATTATAAAAAATATTCGAATATTCGAAGTTCCGAATACTCAAAAATATTCGAATCGAAGCAAATAGCAAAATCAACTATTCGGTCGAGATGAAACAAACATCACAAATATCACAAATTTTCCGAATATTTGCTTCGTGCCCAGAGCTAGTGTTTATGATGGTTTGTTGTTTATCTGATATATAGAATAGATAAATTTTTATCCACTCTAATCACGTTACCATTTAATTATAAATTACAGAAATTTGAACTTTTTATAGAATCAATATGGAACCAAAAGTAAAAAGCTTTGTCGAATTGCTCACAATGAATTAAAATATTAAAGATATTAATGGGATAAATGATTAATTCGAGAAAGAAGGAGCATCTTTGTTAGTACCAAAGCTCTATAATATCCACAGCGATAACGATAAACCCATAGATATAAATCACAGAAATAATAATAAAATTTAAATTTTTTTTTTTTTTTTTTTTTTTTTTTGTCAATAATAATAAAATTTAAATAAAAACAGAAAAAAAGATCTTTCACTAAATTCTAAACGTTTGTGCATTTATCACTTCGTGGCACTGTCGAAGCCTCCTCATGAGTCATGGCATCAATTCCAATCACGAGGCTTCACTGCTACAACAACCACCTCCTTCCAATTCTCGGGTTCTCGGGTCCGGTTTAATTCCGGGTTTTGACCCGACCCTGTTTCCGTCTTCTCCTCAACGGTTATGCTTTCTTCTGCAGTGAATCATACTCATATCAAAACCACTCTCACTCGTCTGAACCCGTATTTTTGACCCGACCCGTCTCCAAGTTCGTTTTCGGATCCGAAAGGATCTACGTTCTCCGGTCATGGATTACTCTACGACTACGACGGCGTCGGCGAATGGTTACAGTTCGCCGCGTGACTCTTCTTTCCCTTCAAGTTTCACTAAGTTCAACTCCGCTTTAACGGCGGGTCTTTTAAACCCGATGTCTCCTCCGCCGCCTCCGGCGATGCTCGACAAGACACGGTCAAGTCCGACGCTGTTCGAAATGATGGCTAGCGAAGCTGATACCATTGGGAAAGTTCCGGTTCAGATCCAGAACGGCGTGCTTCCATCTCCGTCTTCTTCGTCGTCTTCATCCTCGGCGGCCGCTACGGCTGCGAGGACGACGAATGTGAGTCATCTCGTTATCTCAGCTCAGGATAAGCAAGCGCTTGCGATGCAACGGATTTCGGATCTTCTGGTGGTTCGGAGCCCCGGGAACCAGTTCAACGATCCGAATTCGAGTGATGTGAAGCTGACTCTGAGCTCTAAGGATGGGATTAGCATCACCATGTGTGTGCATAGGCAGATTCTTGTGGCTCACAGTAGGTTTTTCGCTATGAAATTGTCGGATCGATGGTCTAAGCAGCAGTTGCCGCCGTCGTCTTCTCCCTACATTGTTGAGATCTCTGATTGTGATGACGTTGAGGTGTATATCGAGACTCTGATGCTGATGTACTGCAGAGATCTAAGGAAGAAGATGATGAGACATGATGTTTCTAGGGTTCTTGGTATCTTGAAGGTATTGTGAGAAATACTCAAAACTCTCCATTTTTGAACTGTTTGTGTTGCAAATTCAGGAATCCATCGGTGTTGAAATCTCAATACTGTGATCACTCTATGTGCTTTAATTGAGTGTTGTTTTCTCAGGTTTCAGCGGCAATAGGGTTTGACGCCGGAGTGCTTTCATGTCTAGAGTACTTGGAAGCAGCACCATGGTCAGAGGATGAAGAATACAGGATTGCTTCATTGTTGTCTGAGCTACACCTTGAAAACGTTGGGGCAACAGAAGTATTGAGAAGGGTTTCTGTAGAAGCTAGCAATGGAAATAATGGGAGTAATGCTGGCAGCAATGATGAGGTGCTTTTAAATCTCTTGCATATTGTTCTTGAAGGAAAAGATGAGAAAGCAAGGCGTGACATGAAAACCCTTGTCTCCAAAATGCTTAGAGAGAACTCGTCTGGCAATGATCTTAGGAAAGAGTCATTGTACTTGGCTTGTGACGGGTGTTTGCATAAGCTTAAACGGCATTTTCTACAAGCAGCAGAGTCGGATTTGGAGAATGTAGATCAGATAGCAAGACAAGCTGATAATCTGCATTGGATTTTGGATATTTTGATAGATAGGCAAATCGCAGAGGATTTTATTGTGATGTGGGCTTCTCTTTCTGAACTATCAGAGGTCCATGGTAAGGTTCCCGTAGTTCACAGGTTTGAGATTAGCAGAGTAACAGCAAGGATCTTTGTTGGAATCGGAAAGGGACAAATTTTGACACCAAAAGAAGTGAGGTGTTTGCTGCTGAGGAATTGGTTGACACCTTTCTATGATGATTTTGGGTGGATGAGGAGAGCTTCGAAAGGGCTTGATCGGTATTTAATCGAGGACGGTTTAAGCAATACCATTCTGACTCTTCCTCTTGCTTGGCAGCAAGAGTTTTTCCTAGCTTGGTTTGATCGGTTTCTTAACTCAAATGAAGACTGTCCAAATATCCAGAGAGGGTTCGAAGTTTGGTGGAGACGGGCGTTCTGGAGACGGAAAGAACAGAGTCAAGACCCTGCTCGGCTAAGAGTCACAGCTTCAGCCACTGATAACTCTTGAGAGATCTCTGAGGTCTGTTTAACCCAGCCACTTTTGCACTGTTTCTTGAGGATCACAGAATGAGGAAGAATATTAGTCTTATTCCAAAAGAGAAGGCAATAATGAATGGAGGTGTGTAAGATTTACCGGATTTTAATACCTCGAATGCGGTTAGAATTAGTTCGATACAAGTTTTGCATGAACTTGATCGTTTTCATTTTGATGAGTCGGAGTTCCTTTTTGTACATCTCTCTAAATTTTTTCTTAATCTCCAATGTGTCTTGAGAAGAAAGGAACTTTCAAGTTAAACCCGTCTCTATGCACTCAACCTTTGGTACGGTTTTAATTCTGATTCTAATCTTGGTCGGTTTAGCACAATATAGATTACGGTCTTGTGTAGATTTTTTCTTCGTCAAAGTGAAAAACCAAGATGTCATCCATATATGACAGTTTAAGTCCGGTTATGTGATGATTTGTATACTACATATATTTGATGCTTTGGAGTTTGGAGATTTTACACAATGATATAGGGTTTCTTTGTCTCCAATAACACTACCGATAGTCTCTCCGGAAGAAATCAACAATCACTAAGGAGCTTTGTCAAAGTCTATCTAACTTTGGCTATGCTACACCGATCCTTGTTTACAAGTATATGCGTTTGATTAAACTAAAATCCCTAGTTCAGGGATTCCTGCTTATCACTTTCTATAGTAGAGTAACTGTGGATTATCTTACAATGAAGTAAATGTTATACCTCTTTGATCTTGGTTATTATCCACTTAGATGGCTGTTACAGTCAAACAAACTGCTGTTTTATGGAACTCAATACGATCTCAACCAACTGAATGTTTCCACTAAGTACAGAAGCCTTGTGGGAAGGCAAGAACGAGAAGCCATCTCGAAGTTGAACGCACTTGAGGCCCCATTTTACCATCAGGAACTCGATTAGATGATGCCCACTTACAAAAAAAAAAAAAAAAACTGAACAAATGAAATCCAAAAAATCGTCACCCTAAATCTGTTGCAGATATAGATAATAGACAACAGGGAAGAATGAAAGAATAAGAATTGTGTACCTCCTGTTATGATATGTGGTAATAAAAACTGCATCCGGAGAATTTTGGAGCAGAAATGAGACAGTCGCAAAGAGATCATCAAATGCTTAACAACAGAGAGGTCCAAGTTCAGATTTCAATTCATTCCCAAGAGAAAAAGAAAAGGCCAATACCAAAAAAAAAAAACATATGAAACTAACCACTTGAATCATAGAGTACATCCGCCCCAAGTATAATGTTAGGGCGCAGGTCGAATATCGGTGCATCCCACACTCCCCAAGTGAGACCCATCACCTGCAATGGACAACCACAAAGAGGTTATAGAAGCAACCTCTACAGAATTTCAAATGTCTATAGCAATCTAAACTCAACAAACTTCCTGAAATTATCTCGGAGACATTAAAGATATATCTACAGGGGATTTACATATAATGATCCGAGTAAATGACAGATTCAGCGGTGTTAAATTGAAGAAAGGTGAAGATAGTAAGCATTACATTACAGTTCAGCTTGTTAAGCTCACAGACTCTTCTCATATTGTCCAAAACCTGCATAATATTTGTAATACAAAATAACAAATAAACTCATATCCTCTAAACCAAATAACAAAAGATGCTGTTCAACACAAGAACTTAGATTTTCACACCTCAGGTTTAGTTGCATCATCAGTAAGAATGACATTAGCTCCAACCTTTGCAGCTACTAAACCAGGCAAGGAAGTACCAGCTCCAAGCTACAAATTCCATCAGCACAAGTCCAATAAAATGTAAGAAAGGTCAAACATTTTAAAATATATCTGCTTCATTAGCTCAAAACAAACACAGAGTACATCCACACATATCCAAATTCTGTAATCAATTCAAAATTAAGGGATTTGAGCTAAGAGTGGTTGATTTGATTAAATATTAACCTCGAGAACTGAAGAGCCATGAAATCGAGATCTGTGTTGCCAAACATACTCAGCGAGGATAACGCTACAAGGCCAAACAAACAATCCATACTCTTCCTTCATATTCTACACACAACAAAAACAAACGATGAAAAAAACAAAACGCGGAAGGAGAAGCTCGATTACAAATCGCCAATGAGAGGTTAATACCTCAATGACAGATACAGAAACTGAAGTTTCCGAATCTTCATCGCCATAGAAATCATGCTGAGAAATCGTCGTCGTCGTCGTCATCATTTAAAAAAGTTATCCCTAATTTGGGGGTTTAAACTTTTAAGAAGGAGAAAACCGAAGAAGAGATATTTGAAACTGTAATTTGTCCCACATCGGTTAGTAGAGAAGTGAGTGATATGATTAGTTGGCTATAAAAGGGGTTAGAGGAGGGATACTGAATTAATATGATCCTTCAGGCAAGTTAAAGGGGAAATGAGGAGTGGTTAATAAACTCGCTCTAATGCGAGATGAGTGTTTCACTCAGCCTGTTACGACAATTTGAGCACTCTCCTTCTTTTGTCATCTGATCCCTCTCCTGAATTTGGATTTACTTTTTCAAAAATTAAATGTTTTTTCGTCACATACATTAAAAGTTTTTAAATGTTTTTTTTTTTCATTCAAGTTTATTAGTTTCCATAAGTATTTTTCTTTGAAAATGTAGTAAATGTTCATAACCAGCCGGTTTTAGCATGACCGGATTAATTGAACTGTTGGATAGTGCTAGATTTATCGGTACGAATTAAGTCTTCAACTTTAAAAAGATAAAAATCCCTTTTTGAAGTTTCTCCTCTCAGTCTGCGTTCTGCGTTCTGCGTCATAACGCATTATATGGTATAGATTACACAAAATCTTTTTAAAAGACCGAACGATAATAATAAGTGACTTTGAAATTTCTACCCTTTCCCCACTTACGCGTTTGAGTCATATTATTTTCCGGAATTTTTATATGTAACGTTTTGTCAAACTCATTTTCTTCACCCTTCCCATTTCCTAATCTCTATAGTCTCTCATGGCACTCATTTCTTCTTCTTGTTCTTCGCGTAGCTGGAGATACAACGTCTTCCTAAGCTTCCACGGTCCAGATGTTCGAGTAACGTTTCTAAGTCACTTACGCAAGCAGTTTGAACGCAATGGAATCATAACGTTCAACGATCAAGAGATCGAGAGAAGCAAAACCATCAAACCTGCACTCACTTGGGCAATACAAGAGTCAAGAATCTCAATCGTTGTGCTTTCGCAGAATTATGCTTCGTCGAGTTGGTGTTTGAACGAGCTGGTGGATATCTTGAAGTGCGGGGAAACCGCAGGACAGATAGTGATGACTGTTTTCTACAAAGTGAATCCAACTGATGTGAGGAAACAAACAGGAGAATTTGGAAATGCTTTCACGAAAACTTGCATAGGGAAAACGGAGACGGAGATTCAGAGTTGGACCCAAGCTTTGACTTATGTCGCCAACATAGAAGGAGAACACTCACTGAACTGGTTTGCTACTACATGTTATTAGTATATATTTACTTTTTCCAGCTCTTTCCAAACCAATGATTCATAAATTACATGATAACGAAACATATCTCGATCAATGAAGAAAGAATGTCCATCATACTAACTTTGTCATTAATAATTTTTTGAGTAATTTCAAACGGTAAGCCATTGAATCTTTGATCCACTATGAAACAGGACGATATACTTCCTTTAAATGATGGATGTAATGATCTTCCTATCTTTATCTTAGGGTCAATGAAGCAGATATGATTGGGAAAATTGCCACAGATGTTTTGAACAAACTAAATGCAACACCATCAAGGGATTTTGATGTCATGGTGGGACTTGAGGCTCACCTGGAGAACATGAAGTCTTTGCTGCAGTTGGAAAATGATGGGCCTTTGATAGTTGGAATATGTGGTCCAGCAGGAATTGGTAAGACTACCATTGCCAGAGCTTTATATACCCAACTCTCTTGTGATTTTCAGCTAAGATATTTGATGGAAAATGTGAGGGGGAGTTATAGGAGTAGTGAATGTGATGATCATGGCTTAAAGTTGCGTTTACAAGAACAACTTCTTTCAAAGATTTTGGATCAAAGCGGAATGACGATATGTCACTTGAATGTGATGAACGAAAGGCTATGCAACCAAAAAGTTCTTATCATTCTTGATGATGTGGACCATCTTGAGCAATTAGAAGCTTTGGCAAAAGATATCTGCTGGTTTGGTTCTGGAAGTAGGATTATCGTGACAACGGAAGATCAAGAGCTTTTGCAGCAACATAGTATCGACAATACATACCATGTTGATTTCCCATCTAATGAAGAAGCTCTTGCAATCTTTTGTTTATCTGCTTTCAAACAAATCTCTCCACCTGACTGTTTTGTAAAGCTTGTAGAAAGAGCGGTAGAGCTTTGTAGTAATCTTCCTTTGGGTCTCCGTGTTGTGGGTTCATCCTTATTCAAGAAGAAGGAGTTTGAGTGGGAAGTTGTACTGCATAGACTAGAAACTAGTCTTGATCGAGGTATCGAGAGAATACTAAGAGTCGGGTATGAGAATCTACATGAGAAAGATCAACATCTATTTCTCTACATTGCAGTCTTCTTCAGCTCTATAAAGAGTGATCATTTGAAGGCCATGCTTGAGGACATGCATGAAAGACACGGGTGTAAAACCCTCATTGATAAATCTCTCATATATATATCTACCAACGGGAATATAACGATGCACAAGTTACTACAACAAGTGGGTAGACAAGAAATTAAAAGACAAGAGCCTTGGAAACGACACATCTTAATCGACCCCCATGAGATTTGTGATGTCCTTCAATCTAATAAAGTAAGTACTCTGTTTTCCATTAATATAAACAATTTCATCACCTTTTGTACCAGTAATCTTATATTTGAAATTTTTTTTAGGGTACTAGAACTGTGAAGGGTATATCTTTTGATATATCTGAAATCGATGAAGTGATTATAAGTGAGAGAGCTTTTAAGAGTATGCGAAATCTTCGATTCCTCAGTGTCTACAAAGCAAGATATGATGAGATTGATAGAGTGGACATACCTGAGGAGATGGAGTTTCCACCTAGTCTGAGGTTACTACATTGGGAGGCATACCCGAAGAAGAGTCTTACCTCTTCATTCAATCCAAAAAATCTGGTCGAACTGAATATGGATAGTAACAAGTTTATGAAGCTTTGGGAAGGAACTCAGGTTAGTTATTATCTTTATAGGTGTGATAAGGAATCAAAGAGTAATTAAAACTTATACAATATATGAACTATCTACTAATGTTCACTTCTATGTTGTGTGGTATTTAAATTCAGCCGCTTACAAATCTCAAGAAGATGAGTTTGGTATTGTCCAAGAACTTGAAGGTACTCCCAGATCTTTCAAATGCTACAAATCTTGAGCAATTGAATCTGTCCGGTTGCACGAGTTTGGTAGAGATTCCTTCTTCTTTTTCAAATCTTCATAAACTTGACGATTTAGCAATGATGTTCTGCGAAAACCTAGAAGTCATTCCAGCTGACATGAACTTGGCATCTATTAATTCAATCAATTTGGTAGGGTGCTCCCGATTGAGAAACATACCATTTATGTCCACAAAACGCTATGGCTCAGACACAAAACTAGAAGAAGGGAATTGGTCTCTCAAGACATCAACACAAGTCATGCGTTTCGGTCTCCATCTAAACGACTGCAAAAAACTCGAATCATTGCCAGAGTTTTCTAGTGAGTTCATGTTCATTAATGCTGACTGTTGCGAGTCGCTCAAACGGGTGCCTCACCGTTTTAACTGTAAATATGCGCATCTCAATTTCTCCTACTGCTTCAAACTGAGCCAAGAAGCAAGAAGATCAATTATCCAACGATCGTTTTACGGCCCTAGAGACTTTGTCAACGGCTATGCTTGTTTACCTGAAAGAGAATTGCCTGAAGAGTTTAATCACCGAGCCAAAGGAAACTGCTTGACCATTCGTTGCCAAGGGAACAAGCCTCTTTACGCTTTCGCCACTTTCAGGGTTTGTCTCGTGCTTTCCCCTCACCGGGAACCCCAAGAATGTACAATTCCATCAATAATGTGTCGTCGCATAAGCAAAGATGGCTTATACCCCGTTGATGACACCCAGTTTTACAACGATGCATACCCGTCTTTATCTGGACTTGCCACGGAACATCTGTTTGTATTTCTCTCTGACATGGATCAAGAAGACAAATCCCTTGAAGTGACCAGCGAGATACAGTTTGAATTCAGCTGCTCATCCCCATACATCGAGATTGTTGAATGTGGTGCCCAAATCAGGACAGAAGAAACCGTAAGAAGCAAAAAGGGCGCAAAACGTATAAATTTTCGGAGTTGCATCATCCTTTGCATCATTCTCGTAACTGTTGTGCTCATCCCATGCTTCAACCTTTCCAGTTTGTAGGAGAAGCATCAGAAGCTTGATTTGGGGACGTGGCCACCAAGATACTTGACTATTTAAGCTTTATTAATGCTATTTGACAACCGATGTTTATCCCAGCAAGTGTTTGTTATAATTGATTCGTTAGATATGGAATCCTAGGGAGAAACACATGATAGTGTAAGAAAGTAAATTTTCATTCAAGATCCAAAATGTCCCTCCCAAAATTCTAAACAATCAAACGAGTAGAAAGATGCTACAGTAAGCAATCGAAGGTTTCAAGACTCATTCGGTTCTCAAACAGAACTATTAACTTAATACCGTAGCAACAACAAGAAAAAGGCTGGACCAGCACCACAAAGCAACCAGCTCCTCGACCAAACCTCATGTCTAGCTCCTGGAACCTGCAACCCCCAAAAGATTCAATGGTTCAAGCACAAATATATAACCAAGAGTACATGTAAACAGATTCTGCTGCTTCTTTAAAGGACCAACAAAAAAATTTAAAATTTCTGAGTAATCATAGTGAAATAAGTTGGCTTGCTAACAGTATGTTCGAACTTCGAAGTAAATCAATCATTTCGAGATTCGATAACGGAAACAACTAATATGAAAAAATGATTGGGGCTAAGTGTAAGTGATTCAGAATATCTAAATACGTAGCTGCAAAAATACAAATTAAAGTAAAGCTGATTCTAATGCGAAACATATAGAAAAACAGAGAGTTGTACCTTTCAAGAGGTACTTTTAGAGATTTAAATGATTGCTGCTGGATGAGACGACAGAGGAGGAGACAGCGCGATGCCGCTAATTTGTAATGCTAAATCAAGCCTGGTGCAGTTAACTGGGCCTATCGCCTACATATAAAGGCCTTTTAGGTCCATACTAAGCCCATAAGTCTTCAGATCACATTAATAGGAGATATGGCCTAGCTTTGACAGACAACTCAGCCTGGCAAAGAAAAAAAGGGAGACACCCACCACACTCTACGACCGAAGTAAAAGTTTTGTCGGTTGGAATTTCATTGTCAGTAAATACTCAATACAAGCCAAGTAGTCAACAATACTAGTGTGTAAGAACTAAGAAAGTTGAGCTTGTTTACTCGGAAAAAAATAACACGAACGATGGATTACACTTGTAGGCCCAACAAGAGCCCATATGTTCCCTAAAAGGGCCCAACAAACAACGCTATGGATTAAACAGACGGCCACGTTATCATCATCTTTCCCAAACGCTTCTGTGTTAATTTTCCCTCATGATTATCGAAGCAAGGTGGTGACTGGTGACGATCCAAACTCTTCAGTACTCTCTTCTTCTGTTAAATCACATATATTTCTCAATCTGTATGGTTCTCACTGTTTAAAGCAAAGGAATAGCCAACTCCAACAATCTGTTCGGAGATACTCGTCTTCTTTGGAGTCACCGTGTTCGTCGTCGTCTTCTGAGGCTTGGATGGATTCAAACTCCATTTCGTCTTCAGAAGCTTCACTAGATTCAAACTCAATGTCGTCCCCAGAGGCTTCACTAGATTCAAACTCAATGTCGTCTTGGTACAATCCAAATTCATAGTCCCACTCATCCGTCAAGATCTGAGCACCACATTCAATAATGTCAAATTCTTGGAATTCGCTGCTGAATTCAAACACGATCTCCCTGTTCACATCAGATGGATCGACGATACATGGCCAGCGATGGTTAATGGAAAATATAAACAAATGTTCCCTGCGAAATTTGGGGACATCGCCTACGAAGATGGAGACCTCATTGGGGTATAAGTCACCTTTGGCTATGTGACGACACAATAGTCTTGGCGGAGAGTGACCAAGACTATATTCTTGGCGGGGAGGTGAAATCACAACGCAGACATTATATCTAGAGAGAGCATAAAGAGGATCGTTGCCATTGGAACGAATCGTCAGGCAATTTCCTTTGGCACGGTGTTCGAACTCTGCAGGGACTTGTCTTCCTGGCAAGAGCGTGATTCCTTGAGAAAAAGATTGTTGTATGATTGCTTTTCTTGCTTGTTGGTCCAGTTTGAAGCAGTTGGTGAATTCGAGGCGCCACGCAGATGGAGTAATGTTCAAAGGGGAAAATATGGTCACTAGTGAATCACAATCATCTGCGTGTAGAAATTGAAGTGAACCAGGGAGCTCTGGCAATGAAGTGAGTCTTCTGCAGCTTGATATCAGTAAGAATTGTAGCTCATGAAGGGCTTTGATGCAATCTGGAATCTTTTTAATACCAGTGTATCTTACGTCTAGGTATGTGATAGTCATGGGGAGATGTGTTAAGCTCGTGAGCTTTACACTGCGGCTTAGATTGAGAGTCTGAAGACGAGAGCAAAGCCTAACTGATGGAGGTTCATCTTCGATCGCTGTCTCTGTGATATACAGTGCTTCGATGTTTGTTGACATAACTGGAATATCTCTCAGTCTGATGCATCCGATCATAGAGACGCTTACAAGGGATACTAGGTTCATGTGAGATGGAATGATTTGTAGGTTTCTGCATTTGCTCAGCTGTAATGTCTCCAGTTTTGTAGCCTTTGAAAGATCCGGGAGTTCCTTCAAATTCTCGGACCCTAATAAATCCATCTTCTTGAGATTTCTAAGCGGCTTTATGTAGTAAAACAACACAACAACATAGAGAGATGATTAAATATCATTTCAACAAGAAGATAAAATGTGTATATATTCATATCTTTAAAGTTCTAACACTAACCAGGGTTCCTTTCCAGAGGTATTCGAACCGGCTTTCCCGCATATTGAGTTCAACAAGATATTCAGGATGAAATCTAGGAGGAAGACTCTTTCTTGGGTATGACTCCCAATGTAATAACCTTAGACGACGTGGGAATTCCATCTTCTCAGGTATGTGCATTTTATCACCTCTTGTTTGGTAGACTCTGAGGAACTGAAGATTTGGCATTCTTTTAAGAGCGCTCTGGCTGATAGATACTTCATCGATATTAGATCTATCAAATGATATTCCAGTCACAGCTCTGGTACCCTAAACCAATATTCCAAAGAATAAGTTAGCACAATATGTAGGATTTGTTTCGTCTCCACCAAATGACCATGTTTAAAGTAAGTACTAGTTAATAAAAGTCAAACAAAGAGAAAAGAAAGAGATATAATTTACTGTTTCATTCTCGAGGACATCACAAATCTCATGAGGATCCATTAAGATCTGACGTTTCCAAGGCTCTTGTTTATGAATGGTTTGTTTAGCCATTTGCTGTAGTAATTTGTGCATGACTATGTTTTCAGTGACACTGCATATGTTTATGAGAGATCGATCTACTAGGATCTTCAAACCGCGTTTGACATCCAAGTTACCGTCATCAAACATGGCTTTCACAAAATTACCATCTTCATTGTTGAAGAAGACTGCAATATGGAGAAATAGCGTTTGCTCGTTCTCATCTAAACCTTCATAGCCAACTCGTAATACGTCCTCGATATCGCGATCAAGAATAGTTTCTAACCTGCATATTACATCTTCCCATTCGTCTTCATTCTTCCCAGACAAAGATAAACCCACCACACGTAGAGCTAACGGGAGATTGCCACAAAGCTCTGTTATTCGTTTGGCAAGCACCTTAAAACCATGATGTGGAGAGGTTGGTCGAAAAGCATACATGGATAAGATCAGTAGAGCTTCTTGACTAGATGGGAAACCCAAATGGTATGTATTATTGATACCATGCTGCTGCAAAAGCTCTCGATTTTCTGTGGTAACTACAATCCTACTTCCAGGACCAAACCATGTAGTTTCATTAGCCAAAGCCTCCAACTGCTTTAGATTGTTCACATCATCAAGAATAATAAGCACCCTTTGGTCGCTTAGATTTTCTTTTATTGCACCTAAATGGCTTATCTTCATACCACTTTGGTTCAAAACCTTTGAAAGAAATTGTTCTTGTAAACGTAGTTTCAAACCGTACTCGTCAAAACCACTATGATAACTTACCCTAAGGTTGTCCACAAGACAAGCAAGTTGAAACTTATTCGAGAGTTGATTATGTAAAGCTCTAGCTAAGGTTGTCTTACCAATCCCTGCAGGACCAGATATTGCAACCATCTTGACTTCATCATTATCTAAATCTAGCAAAGACTCCATTTCTCTCAAATGTGCCTCAAGTCCCACCATCCCATCAAAATCCCTACAGGGTGTAGCATTTAGTTTATCTAAAACATCTCTTGCAATCTTCTCGATCATTATTGCTTCGTTGTCCCTAACAAAATAAATAAAGAAAAAAAAAACACTTATCTATCAAAAGAATAGTCATTAGGAAAAAACCATTAGGTATAACATCTCAAATTAGTATCTTCATAATTATTTCCTAGTTATAAAAGAAAAACACCACTTGTTCTGTTACTCTTGGGTTACCACTTAGGACATAAGAAAAACAAACTATAATTTAAATAAACAAAACACAAACCAGTTTTGCAAGTGTTCTCCAGCTATGTTGCCAACATCGTTCAAAGCTTTGCTCCATCTTAGAGCTTCCTCTGTTTTACGAGCACAAGTTTCATTAAAAGAGATCCCAAATTCTCCCGTTTGCTTCCGTACATCAGATGGATCTACTCCGTAGAAGACAGTCATCACGATCTGCCCCATATCTTTCTTGCAATTCAAAATCTCCACCAATTCGTTTAAGCACCAGCCCGAAGAAGCATAGTTCCTCGAGAGCACCACGATTGAGATCCTGGATTCCCTAATAGCTCGTGTAAGAGCTTTAGCAATGGTTTGACTTCTCTCGATCCCTTGGTCATCAAACATGGTAATCCCGTTGTAGTTAAACTGTTTGCGTAAGTGACTCAGAAATGTCTTACGGACGTCTGGCCCATGGAAGCTCGTAAAGACGCGGTAGCGCCATGTGCGAGACAAAGAAGAAGAAGAAGAAGAAGAAGCCATGAGAGTGGTTCAAAATTTCTGATTCACGTAAATGTGCGTATTAGATGTTTATTATCTTATACTGATGTGTGTTGTTGATAAGCCTTTTATGGAGTTAAAAAATTGCAAGCGGGTATAGTTGAGTTATATTAAACGAGATGGAAGTTTCGTAGCTTTTTCAACGAAATATCAAAGGAGTGCATAATTATTCCCCTTACTACGAACAAACAAGAAAAGAAAGAAAAACACACAAATAGCTTTTTAGCAATTTACAGAAAATTACAACCTTATTTGCTATAAATGGTCTAGTATGAAAACGTCGCTTGGGAGGGGCTATTGCATATCGCAGTCTGATAAGATTTGCGGACTGACACAAAACTTCTCAATTAACAATAATTCTGTTTTTTGGAGAGTCGTTGCAAATTAGTCTTCTTTAATATTAGATTGTAATTTGTGTTCATATTTGCAGAATTTTTGCATTGTATATATTAGAATCACAAAGACTTCTTTTGTTAATGGATTTTAGAGTCGCAAAGACTTTCGAAACTGATAGGAATATTCCTACTGAGCTCTCTTTTTTTTTTCATTTTATTTGAATTCACACATCAGAAAGATTTATCTTGTACTTATTTATTAAACTCACAAAGACTTTATTTAATTTGTTATAAGGATTTTAGTCACAAAGACTTGCGAAAACTTATAGGAAGTGTCCTAATGCCTTCTCACATTTGAAAGATATGGGTTTTTTCACATTCAAAGTTCTTGGAACATTAAACCAGAACAAATGATGTTTCTTGAAGTGGAGCTCCAATTCATATCCTTGGTACTTTAAAGTGGTTAAGTAATGTAGTATAATATCATAATAGGTAAGTAAAAGGCGATTCTCTCTTTCAAAAATTGATCTTGATTAATTTTGCAGAGTAAAAGGCGATTCTCTCTCTCCTGAGGCGATTGCAAAGGCGATAGTTCCTAACCCTATCTCCACCTCCGGTTGGCCTCTCGCCGCCGGTGAGAACCTTCTCTCTTAGTTCCTCTCTCTTTTCTCAAAGCTGCCTGCCTTCTCTGTCTTGCAGCGGCGTCTTCTCGGACGGCGCCCCCTGTTCCCCCCTTCCTCCTCCCCATGCTCGACCTTCGCCATGGGAAAGAGAAAGCCGCCTAAAAAGTCTCCGGCCTCAAAGTCGAAGGCTAAAAAGAAGACGCCCAGGATTGTCCCTCAGCCTGAGCATCTCTCGCCTCCCCCTGAGTCTATTCCGGTCCCAGGCTCTGTCCTCGCCGACCATGTCGTTGCGGATCTGTGTCCTCTTGCTTCCTCCTCCACCTCCGGCGACCAATTGACAGTCCCTGCGACAGTCTTGGTTGCAGACCCACCCTTGTCTGTAGTTGATTCTACTGTCGTTTTGCCAGAAGCTGATGTCCCTGTGAAAGTTGTCTCCTCAACTGAGCCAGGTGAAGTCGCGACTGAAGCAACTCCAACAAATGCTGATCTTCCGGTGGTCAGCAAGCCTACCCTAGCGTACGTCCAAGCTGCGTCAGTGGGTCCTAACCCAAACTCAGCCTCTGTGGGATCTGATACTTGGGTGAATCTTGTCAAAGGTACTGCCAAGCCACTAAAGAAGTCTGGCGGAGGATTTACTCTTGACTCTGGTGAAGCGTGTGTGAGAATTCCTAACTCTGTCATTGAGAGAAATAAGAAATCGTGGGATTGCTTCGTACTAGGTCAATTTTATTCTGACCCCCCTGCTCAAGGAACTATACACAACATCGTGAATGGTATCTGGAGCAAATACCATAGAGACATTGCTGTCACGAAGATGGAGGGTTTCGCCTTTCTATTCAGGATACCCAATGCCTCTACCCGTTCTCGCGTCTTGAGCCAATGTCTTTGGCAAATTGATGGTCAAACTATGTTTGTGGCAAAGTGGGAACCAGGAGTTACCCCAAAGAAGCCTGAACTCACTTCGGCACCTATTTGGTTGGAGCTAAGAAATGTCCCTTTGCAATTCTTCCATGAGGAAGGTCTGGGAAGAATCGCTAGTCTTGTGGGTGATCCCAAATTCTGCCATCAATCAACGATAAATAAGACCAACTTGGAGGTTGCTAAGGTGTTTACCCTCATCGACCCTCGAAAGCCGTTACCAGAAGCGGTCAATGCCCAGTTTGATTCTGGCGAGATACAAAGAGTGTTAGTCTCCAGTCCCTGGATGCCCCCAATCTGTACTCACTGCAAAGGAATAGGACACAGCTTGAGGCATTGTAAGTCTGCTCCTATAACATGCTCTGAGTGCAGCTCATCCACTCACTTATCTTCAAGCTGCCCTAAGATTAATGCTGAAGGGATGAAGAAGAAGCGGAAAAACCAGAGAATGAGATCCAAATCTCCCTCTTCCACCAAAGTGCTCTCTTTGAGCGTTGTCAAGCCAGTTGATGGTGGAGTCTGGGTAGAAAAAGCCAAAGCTAAGAGTGTAGTGGAAAAGCCAGAGAGAGGGAAGCCCGACAAGAGCCAGACGCCTTTGCCTATGCCTGTGAATTCTGCTGGTCAGACGTCTCTGACTATGTCTGTCGGTACTCAGCTGGGATCTGCTAAGTCTTTGGTCGGTGAGCACAGTAATGTGACAAAAGCCACTGAAATTCCTGCCCCTACCATCCCTTGCCTGGGTGTGGATCCTGAGGGAACTCTAGAATCAGATTACTCTGTTGATAGTGACTCTTCTGATATCTTATCTGATGAACCAGAAGAGGAGGCCTATACCAAAGTTTTGTCTAAAAGGCAGCGAAGGAACCTTCGAGGCATGAGCCTCAAAATTAAAGGTTAATAATGTGTACACAAATTTTTTGTTGGAATGTCCGCGGGTTTAATATATCTAGTCACCGTCGCGGTTTTAAAAAATGGTACAAGCTAAATAAACCACTTTTTGGAGGAATAATTGAGACGCATGTCAAGCAGCCAAAGGAGAGTAAGTTCATAAGGGACCTCTTACCTGGCTGGTCTTTTGCTGCAAACTATGAATTTTCTGTTTTGGGGAAGATTTGGGTTCTCTGGGACCCAAGTGTACAGGTGGTTATTACTTCTAAGTCTTTGCAAATGATCACCTGTCAAGTTTTATTGCCCAATAGCACGGATTGGATTGTGGTCTCCATTGTCTATGCTGCTAATGAGGAGGCGCTCAGGAAAAACCTCTGGACTGAGATTGTCGACCTGTCTCTCTCTCCGACCGTCAATGGTAAGCCATGGATTGTTCTCGGGGACTTTAATCAAATTTTGAACCCTGAAGATCACTCTCAGGCTCAGAGCCTGAATATTGGTAGAAGAATGCGTGAGTTCAGAAGCTGTTTGCTAGACTCTGAGATTGCTGACCTGGTTTTCAAGGGTAACTCTTATACTTGGTGGAATAAATGCGATACAAGGCCTGTTGCGAAGAAGCTGGACAGAGTACTAGTCAATGATAACTGGTACTCCATTTTCCCTGCTGCCTATGCTAATTTTGGTGAGCCAGACTTTTCTGATCATGCCTCTTGTGAAGTCCTAGCTCCCACTGCTCAGCCTTGCAGAAGGCCTTTCAGGTTCTTTAACTACTTGATTCGGAGTCAGAACTTTATAGAGTTAATCCAAGATCACTGGTACTCCTGCAACTTTGTGGGGTCTGCAATGTTCAGGGTTACTAAGAAATTGAAGCACCTTAAACCGCTTATTAGGAGTTTCAGCAGGGACAACTACTCAGGCATTGAAAAAAGAGTGGTTGAGGCCCACGATCATATGCTCCAGTGTCAGAGATCTACTCTTTCTGATCCTTCTACCCTTCACGCCTCTCTGGAACTTGAAGCCACCAAAAAATGGAACATCTTGAGTGCGGCTGAAGAGAGTTATTTCTGTCAAAAGTCTAGCATTACCTGGTTATTGGAAGGTGACAGTAATACTGCTTATTTTCACAAAATGGCAGACATGAGGAAGTCCCTGAACTCTATCCCTTTCCTCATTGATGAGAGTGGTCAGCGGGTTGAGTCCCATCTGCAGTGATTATTTTGAAGCTCTTCTTGGTGGCCACACTAGTGAGTACCAATTAGAGCAATCAGACATGGATCTGCTTCTCTCTTACCGTTGTTCGCCTGATCAGATCAGTGAGCTCCAGAGTCCCTTCTCTTCTCTCGATATAAAGGAAGCTTTCTTCTCTCTTCCTAGAAACAAAGCCAGTGGTCCTGATGGTTTCACGGCAGAGTTTTTCAGAGGTACCTGGTCTGTTTTAGGCCCGGAAGTTGTTGACGCGGTGCAGGAATTCTTCCGATCAGGGAAACTTCTGAAGCAATGGAACTCAACAACGCTTGTGTTGATCCCCAAGGTCACGAATGCCTCGAGAATATCTGAGTTTAGGCCTATATCTTGTCTCAATACCCTTTATAAGGTCATAGCAAGGCTGCTAACCTCTCGCCTGCAGCAGCTCCTTACTCATGTCATCTCTCCTGCACAATCAGCCTTCCTCCCGGGTAGGCTTCTTGCTGAAAATGTTCTCCTTGCTACTGAAATTGTGCATGGATACAATAGGAGGAACATAGGGGCCAGAGGAATGCTTAAAGTCGACTTAAAGAAAGCTTTTGACTCGGTCAGATGGGAATTCATTATTTCTGCTTTAAGAGCTATTGCTGTCCCTGAGAAGTTTATTAATTGGATCTTCCAGTGCATCTCCACTCCCACTTTTACTGTGTCTGTAAATGGGTCTTCAGGAGGCTTCTTCAAGAGTACCAAAGGTTTGAGGCAAGGAGATCCTCTCTCGCCTTACTTGTTTGTCTTGGCAATGGAAGTTTTCTCAAGTTTGCTAAGATCCAGATTTGATGCTGGCCACATTCACTACCATCCTAAAACAGAAGAGTTATCTATCTCTCACCTTATGTTTGCTGATGATGTGATGGTTTTCTTTGATGGGGGAAGTTCCTCCCTGCACGGCATCTCTGAGGTGCTTGATGACTTTGCTTCTTGGTCGGGTTTGGAGGTAAACAAAGACAAGACCAACCTCTATCTTGCTGGCACTGATCAGACGGAAGCGCTTGCAATTGCAGAGTATGGCTTCCCGCCGGCTACTCTCCCCGTCAGATACTTGGGGCTGCCTCTTATGAGCAGGAGGCTAAAGATTTCTGAGTATAACCCCTTGCTAGATAAGCTGGCAAAGCGCTTCAGGTCCTGGACTGTGAAGAGTCTCTCTTATGCAGGACGTGTTCAACTTATCGGATCTGTCATTACCGGACAGGTTAATTTCTGGATGTCAACGTTTGTCTTGCCTATTGGCTGTATCAAGAGAATCGAATCTATGTGTGCTCGTTTTCTTTGGTCTGGTAACATTGACTCAGGGAAAGGTGCGAAGATTTCTTGGGCAACTGTTTGTCTGCCCAAAGAAGAAGGGGGTGTGGGTCTGCGAAGATTCTCTATGTGGAACAAAACCTTATGTCTCCGTTTCATTTGGTTGTTGTTTGCTGAGAGTGCTAGCCTTTGGGCTCTCTGGCATAGAGTTCACCATATCAGAAACCAGTCCTTTTGGGCCATCGAAGCTAGCACTGGTGACCAATGGACTTGGAAAATGCTTCTTAACCTAAGACCCTTGGGAGAGAGGTTCCTAAAATCTAAGATAGGCAATGGCCATAATGCTTTCTTTTGGTTTGACTGCTGGACCCCTTTTGGCCCCTTGATTAAGTTCTTAGGAAATACTGGTCCCAGATCTCTGCGCCTACCTTTGGATGCTAAAGTGAGTGATGCTTGTTCTGAAGTTGGATGGCTTTTGCCTTCGCCAAGATCTGACAATGCGCTTCTGCTGCACTCACACCTCACAACAATCCGGTTGCCTTCCCAGGCCTCTCACGCAGACTGTTTCTTTTGGGAAGTTAATGGGACTAAGTGCTCTGGCTTTTCCTCTTCTTCTACTTGGGATGCTCTAAGGCCTAGAGAGGAGACAAAGCGCTGGACAAAATCGGTCTGGTTCAAGGGAGCTGTCCCGAAGATGGCTTTCAACATGTGGGTTACTTGCTGGAACAGGCTCCCGACAAGACAGAGGCTCCACGCCTGGGGAGTTATTCCCACAGATGAGTGTTGTTTATGTTCAAAGGAGCCTGAGTCTAGGGATCATCTCCTCATTTCTTGCGACTTTGCGGCTGTTATCTGGTCTGCTGTTTTCCGCAGATTATCCCGCCAAAGTCGCCCTTTCCTCAGCTGGGCGGAGCTCCTCTCCTGGTCTAGACACGCCTCTTCTCAGGCACCTTCTATCCTTCGAAAGCTTGCCGTCCAGGTGTCGGTCTACCACATCTGGCGCCAACGTAACAATGTTCTGCATAACAACATCAGCATCCCGCCCATGACCATCTTTAAGTTTATCGACAGAGAGGTCCGCAACATTATTTCTGGAAGAAGACATAGAAAGAGGTGGCAGCCCTTGATGCTCCTGTGGCTTGGCTAAGTTTCTTTCTCTCTTCGGCTTCGCTTAAGTCCCATTACTGTAATCTTGTTTTTATCTTTTTTGCCAAGATTGCTTTACTTTTTAGGAACTTTTTGTAACCCTAAACTTTCATTTCTAATGATATTTACAAGTTAGCAAAAAAAAAAAAAGTTTTCGAAAAAGGAAAGAAAAAAAAAATGTTGCGTAGAGAACAGAATGTTTACAAACAAACAAACCTAACAAAAATTTATGCGTTATACATAATCTTGTGGTGGCTTTTGAATTGAAGTCTCATAATACTATACTTTTGATAATACAAACCTGGCTGATTCTCTCAAAGTAAAATTATTATGCACCCAGAATTTTTTTGGATCTAAATACATCATGCTTGAGTCATTGCTTTTAGGATATGAAAAGAAAGAACATGGAGATTGAATTATCTTATTGTCTTGTATCTAATTGCAGGGGATGAAGAAAGAAGTTCAAAATCAGGCTACCTTTATTGACAGACTCAAGTATGGGGTACTGAAGTTGAGGTCAATGCATGCGCTTTCTTCGGTTTCTTTGTTAGCTTCGATGTTTATACGGTCTGAGATGAAGTGGAGAATGGACAGGTCATCAGTTCTGGATTCTACGGTCTTCTTTCTGAGACAAAGCTTCTGACTTTTTCACAAAATGGGATTGACCAAAGCAGAGGAACAGCCAACTCCAACAATCTGCATGGTCACTGTGTTTAGTGTCGTCTTCAAATACTTGGTCCAATCCAGATTCATAGCTCCCTTCGATGCTCCCGTTAGTCAAGACCTTGGCTCCACAGTCAATAACATCAAAGTGGTTGAATTTGCTACTGAATTCGAACACTATCTCTTTGCTCACTTCAGAGGGATCGATAAATGGCAAGTGAGGGTGGATGATAAATACAAATAGATGTTCTGATTGAAAGTTGATGAGAGTTCGTACGTAGAACACCTTTTCAATGGGGTCTAAGTCGCCTTGACCTATGCGGCGACGACACACTAGTTGGGGAAGCCCATACTCTGTGATTTCTGATGCCAAGTTGGGGGAAATCACAATGCAAACTACAAAGCCTGTGCCTGGACGAATGGTCAATGTATTTCCTTTGCCTTGGTGATCGAATTCCGCTGGTACTTCTATTCCCGGTAAGAGCGTTGTTCCAAGAAGTAATGATCGTTGTACAATCGCTCTTCGTGCTCGCTGGCCTAATTTGAAGCAGTTGGTGAAATTGAGCTCTGCTTTTGGCGTATTCAAAGGGCAAAATACAGTCTCCAATGATTCACAATCATCTGCTATTAGAAATCTAAGTGAACCAGGGAGTTCTGGCAATGATGCTAGTCTCCTGCAGCCAGATAGATTAAGGATATATAGCAACTGAAGAGCTTTGATGCACTCTGAAATCGTTTCAATATCAGAATCAATTAGGTCTAGCTGTTTTAAACTCATGGGGAGATGTGTTATTCTCTTGAGCTTTCCACTGCTGCTTATACTGAGACGTTCAAGACGTGTGCAAAACCTAATCGATGGAGGCAAGTCTTCAACTGCTGTCCGTGATATATACATTTGGTTGATGTTTGTTGACATAACTGGAATATTACTCAATCTTGAGCATCCTTTCATATTGACTGTTTCAAGGGATACTAAGTTCATGTGAGCTGGAATGACTTGAAGGTTTATGCAAGTACTCATCTCCAACCATTGTAGTTTATGAAGATGCGAAAAAGAGACTGGAATCTCTACCAAACTCTCGCAATAACTTAGATCCAATCTCTCCAAATTTGTAGCATATGAAAGATCTGGAAGTTCCTTCAAATGTTGAGACGCAAACAAATTCATCTTCTTGAGATGTGCAAGGGGCTGAATATGTAAGTAACCCACACAAAACACAGAGAACGAGCATCATATAAGATGAAGAGAATGAACATAGTTACTATATATAGATAGAGTACAAACACCAACCTGAGCTCCTTCCCATAGCTTCTTAAGCTGGCTACTTGGCATATAGAGCTCGACAAGATATTGAGGTCGAAATTTCGGAGGAAGACTCTTGCTTGGGTAGGCCTCCCAATGTAGTAACCTTAGACGACGCGGAAACTCTGTCTCCTCAGGTATATGCACTCTATCATTGCCATCATCTCTACTTTTAAAGACTTTCAGGAATCGAAGATTAGGCATTCTTTTAAAGGATTTCTCGTTGATAACAACTTCATCAATGCCAGAGATATCAAATGATATGCCGGACATAGCTCTAGTACCCTAAACCAACACGTGTTCCAAATAACAGAAAACCTGTTAGCACAATATGGTAGGATTTGCTTTTCTTCACCAAATTCCAAAGTTTAAATGATAAATTAATAAACAAATACAAGAGAAAGAACTTACTGTGGCATGTTCGAGGACATCATAAATCTCTGGAGCATCTATTAATATATGACGTTTCCAAGGTTCTTCTTTATGAACGGCTTGTCTACCAACTTGTTGCAGTAACTTGTGCATCACTATTTCTCCATAGTTAGATATATATATGAGAGATTTGTTTGTTAAGATTTTCAACCCGTGTGTAATGTCCAAGTTATTGTCAGCAAACATGGCTTTAACAAGGTCATTATCTTTATTGTTGAAGAAGACTGCAATATGAAGAAATAGAGATTGCTCCTTTTCATGTAAACTCTCATAACCAACTCTGAGTACTTCCTCAATATCCTGATGATGAAGAATAGCTTCTAGCCTGCGTATTACTTCTTCCCACTCTTCTTCATTCTTCCCACGTAAAGATGAACCCACCACACGAAGACCCAATGGAAGGTTACCACAAAGCTTCGTTGCTCTTTTAGCAAGCTCTACAAAACCATGACAACAAATTTTTTTTCTGAAAGCATATCTACATAAGATCTTAATAGCTTCTTCATCAGATGGGAACTCCACATGGTACATATTATCTATACCATGTTGCTGCAAAAACTCTGTGTTTTATGTGGTAACAATGATCCTACTTCCAGAACCAAACCATGTAGTTTCATTAGCTAACGCTTCTAATTGCTTTATATGGTTCACATCATCTAGAATAATGAGCACTCTCTGCTTGCATAACCTTTCTTCTATGACACCTGAATGGCGTATCCTAATACCATCCTGGTTCAAAACATTTGAAAGAAACTGTTCTTGTAAACGCAACACATCAAGATCACTATGATAGCTTCCCTTAAGGTTGTCCACAAAACAAGTAAGCTGAAACCTATTAGAGAGTTGACTTTGTAAAGCTCTAGCAATAGTAGTCTTACCAATCCCAGCAGGACCAGTGATTGCAACCAACTTAACTTCATCATTATCTAAATCTAGCAAAGAATTCACTTCTCTCAAATGAGTTTCAAGTCCAACCATGCCATCAAAATCCCCAGACGGTGTAACATTCAGTTTATCTGAAACATCTCTGGCAATCTTCTCTATCATTTTAGCTTCATTGTCCCTTACAAAGAGAAAGAATATCAATGAACCCTTACTCAACACTTATCAAAAAAAAATCATATTAATCAAAGACCAACCATTGTAAGAAGTCTTCTACAGAAATGTTGGCTACATCGTTCAAAGCTTTGCTCCAATTCTGCTAGGCCTCGTCCGTCCGACATGCACAAGTTTCATTGAAATGGATCCCGAATTCCCCGGTCTGCTTCCGCACATCAGATGGATCAACTCCGTAAAAGATGGTCATCACTATATGTCCCATAACTTTTTTGCACTTTAATATCTCCACCAATTCATCCAAACACCAGCTTGACGAAGCATATTTCTTGGAGAGAATCACTATCGAGATCCTTGATCCTCTTATAGCATTTTTGAGTGAAGGAGCGATCTCTTCGCTTCTTTCAATCCCTTGATCGTCGAACATAGTGATGCCATTGCAGTTAAACTGTTTGCGCATGTGACTGAGAAGCGTTTTACGTACATCTGGCCCGTGGAAGCTCGAGAAGACATCGAATTTGTAGTTATGAGATGGAAAAGAGGAAGGAGAAGCCATGAGAGACATGCTCAAAGTCAAAGAGTTTGAAAAGGGGTGGTCAATGACTAATGAGAAGGAGATGCGGACGAGATGCAAAAGTCAAAAGATATTTTCAAATTAATGTGTTTATCCAAAGTATATATGAAAACAAAAAAAGGGTTCTTACGTATTTACGCGTTATTATGAACGCGTCATGTTGCTTCACTATCCCTCAAAATTTGAAAAATGGAAACACCATTTTATTCAAATACAATAATCGGGAGAAATAACATGTATGATGTATTTCTTATAATTCATTCAAAAAATCATTCCCTTAATCATGCAAACTCTATTCTATCACAGTTACTTTTTTTTTTTGGTCTCGCGTCATAGGACCTACAAAATAAAAATTAGATTTAAGACAAACCAGTTTAAATAAGTCTTCATTCAAACACATTGTCACTTGTGAGTTGTGAGGGAAGAAACTTCAACTTCAAATAACTAGATATTTCTCTAATCGTTCGGTGTCGCAACTGATTCGGTAAGCTACGTGTCCGGTGCACGGAGAACTGCCTTCGCGAGACACGACACTCGCAACACGAGAATCAAATCGAGGATCAACCCCCTCCTATATCATTTAAGCTGTTACGTTTTGTCTTTCTCAGTTATTGGATCTTTTTGCCATCCGTCTAGTAGCGGTCTTCCCGGGCTCAAGGTCTAGTGCAATCTTTTAAGCAATTTACACATACAACATATGTTAAGTTCTAAGTGTTTAGTCCTTTTATATAATAAGTTTGGGGAAAATAAAACAAAGTCAAAGAAAGATTAGTGCATGTGTTTTTTTTGTTTCTTACATCCTTTTCACAATTTTAAAGATTTCGAGCAATTTGCTTCAAGTCTTTGAAATGCTCCATTTCATCTCCTTGGTATTTCAAAGTTGCAGAATTTTAAATATGTGAGTCTTGTATTATTGTGAGAGTTCGTATATGTACATGAAACTGTTAAGGGTGAACTGTTAAACATAGTGGTCGTTGCGCTTCTCACAATCTTTTGATCAACAAACATAGTAAACCGTTGCGGTTAAACTGTTGGACCATTTGTGAACTTTGCGAATTTCGAGTTGGACCGGATCGGACCAGCCTCATTGACATGCGTAGCCATGAATGTGAAACCTAATTATATTGCATAATGAAACAAAAGATTAAACGACTCTTAAGTCTTAACATGCGTCTTATTAATTGGGCTTAAATATTAAAAAGAGTAAAAAACAATTAGGCCCATTGGATAGGGAAGTAGCCACGTCACCAGCTTCGTTGCTTCCGGCTTATGTCGTCTTCTTCCCCAAACCCTGAACTAAGAGAATATGAGCGATCGAAGCAAAGGATCATTCAATTCTATTTTGCAAATCTTGTCTTCTTTCACTATTTTCTAGTTTTTAATTTTACTCAAAAGCTTCCTCGATTACCAAATTTTCTGATGATCCTCTTCCAACGCTCTGTGTTCTAATCCAGATTCGTTTTTGCTCCCTTCGCTATTTCATTCAATTTCACTACATCCATATTCGAACACTACCTCTCTCTCTCTGCTCATCATTCACTTCAAAGGTATTTTCTTCTTCAAACCAGTAAGAGTGACTACTTCAGAGTCTGATGATTCCTTGGGGTGGAGTTACTTGCTGCCTCAGCGCCGCCGCTCTTTATCTTCTCGGCCGGAGTAGTGGCAGGTTTGTTTGATTTTTTTTCCTACTTGTGATCTCCTTTGATTTCATTTTCCCAAATTGGAGAGTATCAATCAAATCCTTTCTTATTCTTTGAGAACAGGGATGCTGAAGTGCTCAAAACTGTCACTAGGGTCAATCAGCTCAAGGAGTTAGGTAATCTTCTTCTACCCATATTGCTTCATCTACTCTCTCTCAGAATGACTATTAATCCTGCCTACGGATTGCTCTGTGTTTTGTAGCTCAATTGCTAGAATTAGATAGCAAGATTCTGCCTTTCATTGTTGCGGTATCAGGAAGAGTCGGTTCTGAGACACCTATCAAATGTGAGCATAGTGGCATACGCGGTGTTATTGTTGAGGAAACGGTATGTGTGAACTGATAATTAAGGCGTGGAACCTAGTTTGTTTTAGCGTTTCATCAACTCTAGTAATTGCGTGATCTTTTCAGGCGGAACAACATTTTCTGAAACATAATGAGACGGGATCTTGGGTACAGGATAGTGCATTGATGCTATCAATGAGCAAAGAGGTTCCTTGGTTTCTGGTAAGCCAAATATAGTAGCATAGTGTTTCAAGCAGTTGTGATTGGATGTATCTTAATACCATTTCTAAATTTGTTTGCAATAGGACGATGGGACAAGTCGTGTCCATGTAATGGGAGCTCGTGGTGCGACAGGGTTTGCCTTGACTGTTGGTAGTGAAGTATTTGAAGAGTCAGGACGCTCACTTGTACGAGGAACACTTGATTATCTCCAAGGCCTTAAGGTTTTCGCTATTCTTTCCGGTTCTTTAATTTGTGGCCTCTCTATTTGCTTAAGCGGCCATTGTTTTGTTTCAGATGCTTGGAGTTAAGCGCATTGAGCGTGTTCTTCCAACTGGAATACCATTAACAGTTGTTGGTGAGGTATGTTTTAAAGTGTTTTCGATTATCTCTTTTACTTAAGGTGTAATTGTTGATAAAGATACATCGCAAACTAACTCTGTTAAGGGTCTGGGATTTGTCACTAGTGAATCTCTCTTAATTACTGTACAAGCAATATTTGCAGGAAGCTGGATCGATTTTTTTATAGAGGCATACTTCATGAGTTCAAATCTAATGTCTGTGGCTACCATGTATGATAGGCTGTCAAGGACGATATTGGAGAATTCAGAATTAAAAAACCTGACAGAGGACCTTTCTATGTCTCTCCTAAATCACTCGATCAGCTCATTTCTAATTTGGGAAAATGGTCGAGGTCTGTTTCTCTCTCTTCTCTTGTTTTGTTTTCCTAGACTCTTGTAGATAAAATGGCGATGAGCCAAACTAATAAGGGTCTACAGGTGGTACAAATATGCCTCCATGGGCTTTACTGTTTTTGGTGTGTTCCTAATTACAAAGCATGTCATTGATTCTGTTCTAGAGAGAAGACGGCGAAGACAGTTACAAAAAAGGTATGTCACAGATTTGCCTGTCTAGGAAGTGAATAACCGTCCTCACGTGAGTACTAGATCTGTTTGTTTCCGTCTTAATAATTTCCACACAAAATTAATCAGTCTGTTTTTGCAGAGTGCTTGATGCAGCTGCGAAGAGAGCTGAGCTAGAGACGGAAGGTATCCATTAGTGAATATATTTTCTGCATATAGGTTACTGGCTCTGACGACAAAACTCTTCTCATTAGGTTCAGACGGGGCACGTGAGAGCGTTTCAGATTCTACCAAGAAAGAAGATGCTGTTCCTGATCTATGTGTGATCTGCCTAGAGCAGGAGTACAATGCTGTATTTGTCCCGTAAGCATTCTCCCACTTTATTGGTTGATTCTGCTACATTTGCAACTTGCTAAAAACGTTTGTGGTTGGTACTCGCAGGTGTGGTCATATGTGCTGCTGCACTGCATGCTCCTCCCACTTGACCAGCTGTCCACTTTGCCGGAGACGAATAGATCAGGTGGTTAAGACATATCGTCACTAAACAAGAACTCAGGTCTCAGAAGCATTCTCTACTCGAGTCTTGTCTGTAAATACCGCAAGATAAAATGTTACAGTTTAGAGTCCAATATCCTCTTTTGTTTGATTTCAAGAACAAAACATCTGAATTATATATAAACCTAAGGTGCTTGCTCAGTTCACGGAACAGTACATTCGCTTTTGCTTAACCTTGTCACTGTTAATGCCTCGATTCATGGAATAGATATTTTCATCTTCGTCTTCCGATTCACTGCTGTGATTTGTGTTTTTGTGTGTTTCCTCTGTATTTAACCATATCGTAGAATGTGCATCTAGATTTGAGCAATATCTACCCCAACAAAGAAGGATTGTTGGATCATTTCTCTTGGTGTTTGCTGACACAGTTTGAAGCTACCAGCGAATTGAGGTGCGCATTTAGAGTGTAGAAAGGGCGAAATACACTCACCAAGTGAGTCGCACAGTTGTGCACATGAGCAAATAATTTATTGCATAATTTGGTGAATACATGATTCTAAGTGATTGCTCAACACAGAGATTCGTCTTACAAGATAAAGGGAACGTAGTTGATGATGGATCCATGGATTAGTGCGTTACATCTGAACTTCAGTGCTGCTATTCAAATGACAAGTTACCATTACATCTGAGCTTCTCGGACTTGAGGGTTTAAATTTGTTGTCACAAATTTGTCAGTCTGGATAAGTGAGTACAATAGAATGGTTTGTTTACCGTGGAATTATGTAGTCAGAGTGGCGATTCCTGTTTCCAGCTTTTATAGTCTCCTTCCCAAAACCAAGTTTCCCACGTTTCTCACAATATAAGAGAGATCGAAGCAGAGGAAGAGCCAACTCCAACAACCGCTGTGTTTCCTGGCGTCGACGCTGTCGTCTCCTTTCGAGTCACAATTTATTTCATCTGTACGTTCACTGTTGGGAGAGTCTTCAGACACTTTGCTGCGTGCAAACTCGTTGCTGCGGTCATCCTCATCATCGTTTTCAATCACTTGGTCGTTGATGGGTTCAAACTCATAGCTCTCATTAGTGAGACTATGAAGGCCGTCTTCAAACAAGCTCCATTCGATTGTTTTGCTGGTCAAGGTTTGGACAGCACATTCAATAATATCGAAGTCATGGAATTCGCTGCTGAATTCGAACACTATCTCTTTGCTCACTTCTGAGGGATCGATAAGTAGCAAGGCAGAGTGAAATATAAATAGATGTTCCTTTTGGCATTTGGAGATATCACCTACGTAGACCTTGTTGAGTGGGTCTAAGTCGCCTTTGACTATGCGACAACACAATACTTGCAAGTTTCTCTCTTTTCTGCTTTCATGGTTAGGTGAAATCACGAGGCAAACCTTAAATCTGGAGAAAGTAGAACGAGGAATTGTTATGGAATTTCCTTTGGCTCGGTGATCGAACTCTGCAGGTGCTTCTCTTCCTGGCAAGAGAACCCACCCATGAAAAAACGATTGTGGGATAATCGCTTGTCGTGCTTGTTGGTCCAATTTGAAGCAGTTGGTGAAACTGAATTCCGCATATGTTGTGTTGAAAGGGCAAAACACAGTCGCTAGTGATTCACAATCGCATGCTCTCAGGAGGGTGAGTGAACAAGGGAGTTCTGGCAATGATGACAGTCGTCTACAACCTGTTAGATAAAGCCTATGTAGCCTGTGAAGAGCTTTGATGCAATCTGGAATCCTCTCGATATCAGAATAGCTCAAGTCTAGTTGTGTTACGTTCATGGGGAAATGTGTTATTCCCTTGAGCTTTTCGCTGTCAGTTATAGTGAAATACAAAAGACGAGAGCAATGCCTAATTGAGGGAGGCACATCTTCAATCGATGTCTTTGATATATACAGTAGTGTGATGTTCGTTGACATAACTGGAAGTTTTTTCAATCTTGAGCATCCATCCATATAGACGTGTTTAAGGGATGCCAAGTTCATGTGAGCTGGAATCACTTCTAGGTTACTGCAGTAACTCATCCACAATTTTTCCAATTTTTGAAGTTTCGAAAAGGAGGTTGGAATCTCTACCAAACTTGTGCAAAAAGCCAGACTCAATCTCTCCAGATTTGTAGCATGTGAAAGATTTGGAAGTTCCTTCAAGTTGGAGGACCCTTCCAAATTCATCTTCTTGAGATTCTTAAGCGGCTGTATATGTGAGGAAACAACCCCAATAAGAGAAAGAGAAGAACATTATATATAACATGAACGTATAATTGTTTAAAACTTTGAAGTACAACACCAACCTGAGTTCCTTCCCATAGGTACTCGAGCTGGCTTTTCTGCATACTGAGTTCCACAAGATATTCAGGATGAAATGTAGGAGAAAGAGACTTGCTTGGATATTCTTTCCAATGTAGTAACCTTAGACGACGCGGAAACTCCATCTCCTCAGGTACATGCATTGTATCATTCCCATCACATTTACTTTTATAAATTTTGGAATCGAAGATTAGGCATTCTTTTAAAAGCTTTCTTGCTTACAAACAGTTCGTCGATTCCTGATATGTCAAATGATATGCCGAACAAAGTTCTAGTACCCTAAACCAATATGAAAATATAGTGTTAGCACGATAGGTAAGATTTGCAAAACATATTTGAAAAGAAAGAAAAAAAATTTACTGTTTCATTTTCGAGGACATCACAAATAGCATGAGCATCTATTAGGATATGGCGTTTCCAAGGTTCTTGTTTGTGAATGGCTTTTCTAACCATTTGCCGTAGTAATTTGTGCATCATTATATTCCCAGTGAAATAACATATATTTACCAGAGATCTATTGACTAGAATCTTCAGACCCCATTTGACATCCAATTTATCATCATCAAACATAGCTTTCACAAGATCACAATGTTTGTTGTTGAAGAAGACTGCAATGTGGAGAAATAGTGTTTGCTCGTTCTCATCCAAATTTTCATACCCGACTCTTAACACATCCTCAATATCTCGATCAAGACTAGTTTCTAGCTTGTTCATTACATCTTCCCAGTTTTCCTCTTTCTCTCCACGTAAAGATGAACCAACCACACGTAGACCCAACGGAAGCTTACCACAATGTTTTACTATCCTTTCAGCTAGAACTCTAAAACCATAATGTGGAGAGGTTTTTCTAAAAGTGTAGCTACATAATATTTCAAGAGCTTCTTCGTAAGATGGAAACTCCACATGGTACACATTGTTGATACCATGTTGCTGCAAGAGCTCTTTGTTTTCTGTGGTTACTACGATCCTACTTCCAGGACCAAACCATGTAGTTTCATTTGCCAACGCCTCTAATTGCTTTACATTGTTCACATCATCAAGAATGATAAGCACTTTCTGGTCACATAGATTTTCTTTTATTGCACCTAAATGGCATATCCTCATACCACTTTGGTTCAAAACCTTTGAAAGAAACTCTTCTTGTAAACGCAGCTTCAAACCATACTCATCAAACCCACTATGATAGCTTTCTCGAAGGTTGTCCACAAAACAAGTAAGATGAAACCTGTTAGAGAATAGACTATGTAAAGCTCTGGCAATTGTAGTCTTACCAATCCCTGCAGGACCATAGATAGCAACCATCATAACTCCATCATAATCTAAATCTAGCAAAGACTGCATATCGCTCAAATGAGCCTTAAGTCCAACCATGCTGTCAAAATCCCTAGACGGTGTCACATTCAGCTTATCTAAAACATCTTTTGCAATCTTCTCAATCATTAGCGCTTCATTGTCCCTAACAAAAAAAAAAAAGAAAAAAAAAAGGAAAATATCATTGTTTCCGATCAAATAGTCATGAGAAAAGAAGGAAAAAACAAACAGGGAGATAATAATCATTTAATTGTTTCTAGTTAGTATGTACTGCTAATGGGATCCTAGTATCCTACCTCGGTGAGCAACCAATATTCGTATACCTAAAAGAGTTCAGTATTATTCATTCAACAAAAAACCTTTCCTTAATCAATTTACTTCTATAAATCACAATCAACCACTACTTGCTTTTTTTTTTTTTTTTTCTCTTGGGTTACCACAATAAAAATGAACCTACATAGTACGTGGATAATTAGTTAAGTTATATACAAACCAGTTTAGTAAGTGTTCTCCGGCTATGTTGCCCACATAGTTTAAAGCATGGCTCCAATTTTGCCTCTCCTCCTCTGTTCTATAAGCACAAGTTGTATCGAAAACTTTCCCAAATTCTCCAGTCTGTTTGCGCACATCAGATGGATCAACGCCGTAGAAGACAGTCATCACTATTTGTCCGATATATTCCTTGAACTTCAAAATCTCCAACAACTCATCCAAACACCAGCTGGAAGAAGCATAGTTCTGTGAGAGCACCACGATGGAGATCCTCGAGTCTCTGATTGCTTCCGTTAGTGCAGCAGCAATTATTTGGCTTCTCTGGATCCCTTGATCATCGAACATGGTAATCGAATTGCAGAAAAACTGTTTGCGTAAATGACTAACAAATGTTTTACGGACGTCTGGTCCGTGGAAGCTCATGAAGACGCGGTACCTCCAGGTGCGAGGCGAGGAAGAAGAAGCCATGAGATAGACTGATAGAATAACAAGAAAATTTCAAGATCAGATATACAAGAATAAAAATCTCTGGATGACTCAGATTTATGTGTAGGAGAAAATGGGAAGAAAAGAAAAAAAAAGCATATTCATTATTCATCGTTGACTTTTCTTTTGAAAGAGATGAATTTCGTCGCTTTTTCAGTTCTTTGGTATGTAAAGGACAATTCTAAACATGTGAATTTACCTATAAAAGAGAGAGAACTCATCCTTCATTTTGCGTGACATATAATGTTTTTCTTTGTACAAAAATGTGTTATACAAAGTTGTATGAATCATATCATATACGATAAAAATTGTATATTCTCGTAATATATATGTTCCTGTCAGAAGACTGGCACGGCATACTACTATTTTTGATAATATTTAACTATCCTCACTACCCGCTTGAATAGTTTGAACTCCCATGTGGAAAGATGTTGAAAAAATGGTTAACAGATCACCCAAGGTTCTCTGCAAAGCCATAATATAGATATAGGAATGTATCCCATTCATTCAACTAAACGGAAACATGTTTTACGGTGAACAAAGTCCTTGAGTTCTTTTTTTTTTGTTTATGTCAAATCATCCACATGAAGCTCATTGCTTTCAAACGAGTAAATTTTAAAATCTACCAAAACAACACCTAGTCTTTCAAAATTTCGTGACTTCCAAACCTACAATTTTAAACCAGCCAGCATGTCCTTCTCAGCCTATTACACATCATTAGTCCTGGTTTTTTCGCTGTAGGACGAACATGCATAAACATTATAGCATGAATGTAGAGATGGACAAGATTGAGTTTCACTCCATATGAATCATAGTTGTAATGAAACGACATTGTCAACGAACGTTTGGTGAATGCATGCAAAGTATTTCCTTGCAACATGGAGAAGTAGTGCTTGGTTTTTTCTTCTTATATATTTCATAAAGTTAATTAAGGATAAAAAAAATTGTCCAAAAAAAATATATTTTAAACTATGAGTTAACATATATATACCACATATACATTCACACCATATCCTCATCAACGATTGGGAACACTCGTTATAACAAGATCTTTAAAGTAAGAAGGAACAAAAAAAAAAAAAAAAAAAAACTCAGAAAACAGACTCTACGAAAGTAAAAATAAAAACCTAAAGAACAAACTTATAAACAAATTAGCGTAAATTTCTGTGATGCGATAAACATTAATTTAAAATGAAGATGGAAATGATGAAGATAAGGCAGATGATCCCAAGGTCATTGATGGATCTTGGTTTCCAACAAGAGATGATGAACCATCCACGTTTATGTTAAGGCTGTCCCAGAAGAAAAAATTAGAGCATTGTTGTGAATCTACCCATTGATCATAGCTTAGGTCTTGCCTCTTTAAACATTCAAAGGTTGATGCCATATATCCATCTTGGACGTTACTATTTTCAATAGGGACAATGTTGTCCATATTATCCTCTATCAGCGCCGGTAGATTATAACTTATAGTTGTCTCCATATTCGAATTGGTTGAGTTACTGAACAAATGGGACGCCATTGTAGGAACTTGAAACGGCTCTCGTTGTTCTTGTTGAGGGAGATTCATATCCCATTCTTCTGTGTTAGTCGTTACAAATGCTTGCTCGCAAAGGTTTCCACTTCCTCTTTGCGTGGCATGATCATTGCTCTTGTTGTTATTGTTTGTGATGGTGTTTTGGGAGAACATTCCTTCTAGGATAGGAAGTGCTGTGTCTACCATGAAGAGGGGAGTTTTATGGGAGAAAAGGGCTGTTTCTTGAATTTTTATATTATTTTCTTGATCATTGTTGGCGAAGTTTAACTGGTTTGGAGAATCTGTGAAACCATCAAAATGTAGGTTATCAACAGTGGATGCAGGATTGGTGGTAGTGGCAATAGCTGTATCGTCCAAGTTCAACGTCACTGTAGTTATTGACGGTTGATGACGATTGTAGTGGTGGTGTGGTTTTCGTATCTTTTTCTTGATCCATGAATTCCAATAGTTTTTAATCTCGTTGTCCGTTCTCCCGGGTAGATGACTAGCTATATGAGCCCACCTGAAAAATATAAAAATAAATTGTATATAATAAGATAATATGTATGTATGTATCCGTATTTTTGCGAATGTTCGATTAAGTAACTTAAAGTGTACTACTTGATAGCTCGAGCAAGTAGACAAAAGTACCACAAGATTAATGAAACTACACGTTAAAGATTCTTTAGTCATCGGCAGTAGGCTAGTCGTTGCTTCGAACCGTGGCCAAACTAAACATATAATAATTTAATCTATATATCATATGATAAATTGAATGATAAGTATAAAATGTAGTTTATAGATAGTATGTATACCCCAGCCCAACAAACTTATTACTAAAAGTGGTATCAGTATCCTCAAAAGAATTTCAATAATAATGCCCTATAATAGTAATACATGTTGAATTTATATATCTATCGATACAAAAAAAAATTAAAGTTCAATTAGCTAATTTAAATGGAAAAATGGAAACCTGTTTCCCACAACTCCATGAAGGCTTATGATCAATTTCTCCTCTTCAGGAGAGAACCTTCCTCTTCTGATATCAGGCCGAAGATAGTTTATCCATCGCAATCTACAACTTTTTCCACATCTTTGAAGCCCTAAATTTTATCAAACATGCATTTTAATTAAATGTTACATTGAATCTATAATTGTGATAGGAGAAACTATACAAGTTTTAAAACTAATCAAGTAGTAGTACCTGCTTTTTCAGGGACTTCACTCCAACATCCATAGCCATGAGTTGTGATATATCGAATAAGCTTCTCATCTTCTTCCGGCGACCAAAGCCCTCTCTTCACCTTTTGCTGGTTGCAGCATGAGTGATGACCCATGATCAGTACTTAGTAGCGCTAGCTCCTTCAAATTAACTTAAGTAATAGTGAACCACTTACGTACGTACTCGCAATAATTAGCTTAAATTAAATTATATATATTAGGTTTTTTACTCTCTTGCTTTCTTGGGTTGTGTTTCTTGAGAGAGTTTGTAGCTATAGAAGAGAGAAGAAGCAAAGGAGATCGAGTTTTTAAAAAGGGGAGAGATCAGGAGGAGACAAAGGTCGGGTCGGGTCGGAGACCCAAGGGGGGGGTAGGGCCTGAGATATTTCGTGGTTGATCTAACCTTAAAACGACGTCTCATCTGACTTTTCTATTTTCATGTGTAATTACTCGTTGTACGTAGAGAGCTTTTGGTTGTAGTATTATTACGTTAAGCCCTTATCCCAACTTTTTACATGTTTTTCTCTTCACGTACCCTTCTGTCTCCCGCCAACGTTCCTCTTCTCTTTTTCTTACTATCATAATATTCTTTAAAACCAAATGATTCTTAAAACGAAAACTAGATTTTGATACGTAGAACTAATACATCTTTCTCATCAGTAATCATGCATTATGCACCGCTTTAACCTCTATTAGTTATATCTCTCTAGCTCTATTAATTACTCTGAATAAATGCTAATACTTTTAGAAGTACTTTTTTTTCTTTGACGACTGCAAACCAAAGGAAGATGATGAAGCCATATTTAAAATGATATCCTTCCTTCATTATAATATTTGCCAAAGCCCTATCTTTCTTTTTTTTAGTAAAAGTAATTCAATGATTCCGAAGCCCTATCTAATATGAATTTTATGTGTCTTTTAGAAAATTTAATTTTTTTTTTAAAAAACGACTTTAAATGATGGATTGATTATAATTCTGTTAAGAACAACGGAACAATCATAATTTCTAGTAAAAGAGAGATAGAACTTGTGGATTCTATATATATCGACACGTATTATATTAGTACACACAAGAAGTGTATTTGAAGCTGATAAATTATTGTTTTCCACGACATGAAACAATAGATTAAGTCATGTAGCCAAATCATAGTGACTTTGAGATTTAAATATACTAAATAAATAAATAAAATCTAAAAATAATAATTGTATATTAATGTACGTCAAATATAAGAATTGTATATTAATGTACGTCCAATACCGAAGCTCTTTTTCAAAGGATTATATGGAATAAAAATAAAAAATCATCACAAGTTTCATTTACAAGGCTTTGATTTAGTTAGGAGACATATCGGAACCTTGCCGAAAATGAAATCGCTTCGTTTGTAAATTTTCTCTTTTTCATTTATTTATTTCTGTATCGATAACTTGTAAAGATAGTCATGCAAATTGAAATACTATATAATAAATATATATTATATTATAAATTGTAATGATATATGTCACATCAGGTTTGTTCTTTTTGACGGCAGCAGGACATTGTTCGTTCGTTCTAACAAAGTAATATATATTTTTACACAATCTCGTATACTTTCCAATGTATATGAAAAGGTATCACATCACATTTAGCTTACATAGCTTATAATACTAGTTCTGTGTTTGTTATTCAATGTACTAAATAAATATCTTATATATCATCGTAATTTAGCATGCTCAAAACTCTTATGATTACAATAAGGGTCCCTAACAAGTAACAATATGGATAAACGAAATTACCAAATTTTGTTTTCAAATATAATACTTATAGTAAGTAAAGACAAAATGCTTACGTAAAACGTATAAAGTACTATACAGAATACATACATGATACATACATATGTTCCATCACATACATAAGATGAGAGGTCTTTTATAAACTTGGTTAATTAAACCTTCGGTTATACAAAATGTCCAAAACACTCGATCGCAGTCGCCGCACATCACTACTGTTCCATTACATTTGTTTAATTTTGTTTAATTTTCATTTATAGTCCTTTCCGGTCATTCGAGAGAATTTACTCGATATTCTTACTTCTTAGTTAACTAAAGAAAGTCTAAAATCAATTTACCAAAAAAAAAGAAAGTCTAAAATCATAGTTAATTAGCCAACAATCTTTATTCTTTAGTGTCTGGTTAATTGTAATTAGGCTAATATTAGTTCACTGCGAAAAGTTCAAAACTTTCACTATACTTCACTAAATCATTGTTTCATTATTTTTGTTGTGTGTTTCTTTTCTCATTTCATTATTCCGTCTGCCGTCCTACTCATTCTATACAGTTTATGTTGTTTTTGATATATACTCAATTAATAAGAAATTTTTTTTTGCCTAGATAATACCATTATGATACTAAAAGATAACAATATATAATATTAACTTAAATATTTTATTATTTTATCTATGCTTATATTTCATTACTATTTCATATTTCAGTTAGGACTAGAGTCTAGAGTATTATTAGGTTTTAAAGGTTGTGACTTGTGAGTAGCTTATGGTTAATTGTACCTTTCATGTTTATGGTTTTGTGGATTTTAGGACTTTATTAATAAGGTTTTGAGATTATTTTTTCACTACATTTCCTTTATATTTGATATTTGTATTGATGTTTTAACGATCTTTAATAAAACTATTTCTTTTAGTTTATACTCGAAGTATATATCAAGTATCAATTACAAAACCAGGATGATGTATATATACGTTAACTCTCTCGCTATACAAAAATTATATACAAATATGTATGAGAAGACCCCATGTACGTACGTACGCACGTAGATGAAACCGATACAAAAGTGGGACCGTTGGATAAAAGCAAATCAATTACCAAACATCGATGTGAATTTGATCACATAGAAATGCGACTTTTGCTTCTATATATCGCAATCTTTTTCTCTCATCTATATTTTCCTCTTTTCAAAAATTTTTAGAGACAAAAACAAAAAAGATAAAAAAAAAAACCCTTAACACTGCAAACATTCTATTTTAGGCATTGATGTATTCAAGTGATCATATAAGTTGTAGGAATGTAATACTAGTGAAATAGAAACGCCTATATATTTGTGAATTAAGTAAAAGAACATTTATTGGCACTCACTGAAATTTATATTAAAAAATAATAATATGATTAATTGTTAATAGTGATGATATAATCCAAGTTAAGCATAGTTTTAGTTTTCTATCGTTGAAATCATTAAGGGCTTACCTTTAAGGAGGAGCAATATTGGAATGACCCTTATTGGTTTGGGTCCACGATATTTGTTTTGATCGTAATTATATAATTTTTGAAAACGAGGTAATGTTTTTGTTAACACAAAATAATATGTTTCTGGTGATTAAACTAGTGATGCTAATGAAGCAACTGTCTTAATTAACTAAACAAGTCTTTCAAGGGATGGTTGGCCGAGAAAATAAAATAATCATTAGATTAAGATGTCTCTACCATACATAATTCAGTTCTCTCCTTTATGATCACACTCCCTTTTAAAGAACTCTTCAAGTTGATGTAGCTAGCGTAGGATATATACTAAGATCACATTTCTCAAATTTGTTTATTAGATTTTATTTTATTTTATTTTAATTAGATTTATACTAATAGTACTTTTAAAGCTCTTTTATAAACAAAAACAACAAAACTTAAAACCTTTTATTCTTAAGTTTTTTTTTTGTTCCTTTTTGGTCGATAGCCGTTGAACGGTTTTAGTTTCCTGAAATATTTGAAACGAGACTCATATAGTATCAACGTGCGAGTCTGCGTTTAATAGAGTATATATATATAGTCAAGTTGTTGAAAAAACACCTACAGTTTTTACAAAGAGACCTCGTTTGAACCCTATTGAACTAAAGTTAGTTATTTCGCGCAGTGTAAAACGAAATAAAAACTTGTTTTTACAAATCTGACCTCTCGTATATATTATAGTAACATGTATTTTGAGATTACGCACGTTGGTTTCTATGTAATCATAGATATAAATTTACAAAATATAGACAGGCCGGCTAACTTAAAATAATGAGCAAATTGAACAAAAACAAAACGTGATCGTCGTGGTTTTGGCGGTAGCTATTTTGGATTTAATTAATTATGTAGTTTTTGAAACTTTATGATGACTTTTTTTTTGTCTATTCATGACTAATAACCCTCTCAGAATCTTCATAAGGACGATCCTTTTTTTTTTCTTTGTTTTCATAATTGCTTCGTTTCTATTTTGCTATGAATATTTCTCAATCTAAAACACATATTTGGCATAAACTTGCTTGATTAGTTAAACCCCTATGGCCCTATAAACAAACCTTAAAGATATATTAATTCATAAGAAATAGAGATATTGACAACATATCTGTTCGTCTTTTAGGTAATAATAATAGACACTCACTCAAAAGATATATCGTTTGTGGTTCATATCACATGACAATATCATTATTAATAGTTGGTATAATTTCCCAAAATTATCTCTATATATTCCAATTAGCAACTGCTTTTAAATAAAAATAAACCCTGTCGTAGGGGGATTAGGGTTTTTAAAAATGTCGAAAACGGAGACAAATTTATAAATATGCATGCTTAATTTGTAAAGAAGCAAAACGTAAGATATGGATATACAGTAGTAACATGAAGGCAAATGACATGCAGAGTGCTTTGGGGATTTGAATGCTTGTTATTTGTTAATGAGCCCAATTTTTTTTTTCCCGATCAAATGTGTAGTTATGAAATATTTTCCTCGCAAAGTCCACCAAGCCCATATTAGATTTTCTCCAAACACCATGCATGTATAAAGATAACTTCCATTACACATTCACAATAAAAATAAGATGCTACACCAAAAAAAACTCCATCTTACTTATAAAGCAAACATGAATCTAACTCATTCCAACTCAACTCAATTATAACATAAACTTAAAATCAATAATCTCAAAATTTGATTATCTTAATTGTGAGCTGAACGAGATATTTAATTTAGTCGTCGTTTAAATAATTCAAAAATTGGTATTTTAGATTTAGAACGTCTATCAAACGAATTATGAGAACTCCGCGGACGAAGGCAAAACGTGATAATACATACTCTATTTATAAGTGTTTTATGTTTATATAAACAATTGATCAATTTTGTTTATGAACACAAGCAATGTTTACTACAAACATATAATGAGTATTATTATTCTAGTTTTTTTTAGTGTACTAGATTAATTTCCAAATCTTAAAGATTAACGTGAAAGTTGTAATCTATTAGGTTTAGTGGACTCTGAAATTTTATAATTAGGCTTACCCTCTTTTATGGTAAATGAAATCTGTGACAAATGACAATCATATATGTACATATTCTCGCATGTTCTTGAAATATGCCATAAACTTTATTCAAGGAAACTTTAAAATCTTGAAATATTTTCAGTAGAAAATAACACGGAAACAATATATATCAGAATGTGTTATTGGAATTTCAAATAATTCTTATCACAGTTTACATTTACCAAAAAAAGGAGTGAACTTAAATAACGAATTTCTAAATATATATATGTTTTGTTTGAAAATCTAATGTGAATGTCACACGACTCACGTACAATATGATAAAAACAAAACAAATATAAAAAAAAGGAGATAACTGCGCACGAAGAACGGGTCTCAAAGCTCTCCGACAAGACATGCGCACCACAATTTTATTTAGTCTCCGTATATATATCCTCCATTCCCAAAACCTTCCCAATCTTCTTCTTCTTTCTCAACCTCATTCAAACAGATCATGAGACCTGCTCAGGACAACCAAGGCTCGTTCCTTGGCCGTATCAGTATCCGTCGCAACCAGTTCGTCGACGTCAACAACGAACAAGAACAAGAAGATCTCGAGCTTTTCCAAAAACACATCGCCGATCGTTTCACCGATCTTCTCTCTCCTACTCCTCCTCAGCAACCTCCACCGTCCGATGAAACGAACACCGTTGCTCCCGTAGCCGCCACGGAGCAGATTATGTCCGTGACTTGGCTTCGTAAGCTTATGGATGTTTTCCTCTGTTGCGAAGCTGAATTCAAAGCTATTCTCTTAATGGGCCGTGACCCGACCCAGATTTCTAAACCGCCTTTTGATCGGTTGGTTCCTGAAATGTTAGACCGGTCTATTAAAGCGCTTGATATTTGTACCGCCGTTGTTAACGGAATCGATTCCGTTAGACATTACCAGCGTTTAGCTGAGATTGCTGTTACGGCTTTGGAGCAACGTCCGTTAGGTGACGGCAACGTGAGGCGAGCGAAACGCGCGTTGGCGAATCTCCTCGTCGCGTTGAGTCTCGAGGATAAAGAGAATGTTAGCGGCGGAGGTGGAGGCGGCGGTGGTGGGAATAAAACGACGGAGAGATCGTGGTCGTTTGGTCGTCGTAGCGGTGGATCATCGGCGGCGAGTAAAGGAGGAGCGACGATTGGTCAGCTTAAATCGTCGTCGTGGGCGGTTGGAAGGAATTGGTCGGCGGCGAAGCAGATTCACGCGATGACGGCGAATCTAACGCCGCCACGTGGTAACGAAGCGGCGGGATTGCCTCAGCCGATGTTTATAATGAGTACGGTGATGGTGTTCGTAATGTGGGTGTTAACGGCGGCGGTTCCGTGTCAGGAGAGATCAGGATTAGCGAATCATTTACCTGTGCCGCCGAAACATTTGAATTGGGCGCAGAGTTTGATCGGAATCCATGAGAAGATCGGAGATGAGTGGAAGAAGAAAGAGAAGAAAGGATCTGCTGGATTAATGGAGGAGATGACGAGGATGGAGAAGCTTGGCCACTCGTTGATGGAATTCGCAGATGGATTTCATTATCCGGCAGAGAAAGATGCTGCTGAATCTGCGGCGGCGCAAGTGGCGGAGATGGCGGAGATTTGCCGGAGAATGGAGGAAGAGCTTGTACCGTTACAGCAACAGATCAGAGAGGTTTTTCACAGGATCGTGAGGAGTCGTGCGGAGATTTTGGAGGTGTTGGAGCAAGCCGGGAAAATTTCGGCGCCAGTTGTGTAAAAGTTTTGAATAATTGGGGATTAATTTCGGAATTTTGTAATTCTTTGGGGCTTAATAGGATATTTTATTTTCGTGGTTTTGTTTATTGTCGTTTTTCTACTTATTGTTGGGCTTTTAGAACTCTGAACGGGCCCATATCAAATTTCTTCCCTCCTTCTTATTATACTTTTCCATTTCTTTTTTTGTTAAATTAATGTATAATATCCAAAAACAAAACATGGAAATTATTATCGGATTCGCGCTACATTTGTGAAGAAATATTTATGATTCATAACTAATTAGTTATTAGCTATACATTTTTTATTCCATTATACTGTAGTCAATTATAATGAATCGTTTATTTTTATAATAAATTTAGATTAAATAAAGAAAAAAATACAAATAATCGAGTAAATAGTATTATAATGAGTTTGATATAATAAACAAAGAGCGAAAATTTGAGAACATTTAAGTATCAATGTATCATCATGAGTTTAGATAAAAGAAAAGAAGAATAAAAATGTTGAGTAAATGATAATAATGTTTTATAATAAATACATATAAATATTGTATAGGTAATTAAGCTTGTGCTTTTCTTATAAAATGATCAAATTTTTTTTTTTGGTAAACATAAAATGATCAATATTTATAAGGTGATTCTATGTTTGTGAATTTTTTGAGTTTTTTTCTTTGGATTATATATAGTCGAACCAATATCATCTAAAATTTTATTTTTGAAACCAAATTGTACATAATAATTTAATGATTATCTTAAAACAAAACTTCATATAATAAAATTACAATATGATATCCAAATAAGTAATATAATTTTCAAAATTCAAATTCACGTAATGTAAATATGATAATTGAAAAGATTTTAAAATGGTAGCACGTAAAATATCCGAAGCAGAAAATTTATATATGTTTATATCGTATAAAAATAGAATGTCTAATGTTGAACAATTAAAACTGGGTTTACAGAAGTTTTTGGTTCACCGTTGTCGAATTTGATGTGGTTGTTTAAACTTTGTGATTTATTTGATTGGTTATAACATTTTATTGGTTACAGTTTACAAATGGGGACAAATGAATCAAAAAAGCAAGCAACAAGACAAAGTCAGCTCCATTCCATGCTTCACTAAACCCATCTTTTACAATAATCATCTCTCTCTCTCACTCTTTTCACAATAGTTTTCAAACGAGGCATTGCCCTTTAGCTTTGTTCTAGAGCCAAACACTACAGAGAGACTCTCACACTTGTTTCAATTAATTAAATCTGATATTTTGGCTCTTCCTATAAACTAATGTCTCCAGGTCCCTTCTTCTTATCTCATCTCTCACTCGCACCATCTTCTTCCTCGATTTTTCAAACCCCTAGATCGAATCTTATCTCTCTTTTAATCCTTGTGTTGTTACAGTTCGTAGAGTCATGGCGTTAGCATCCACCACGTTGCCGACGAAGTCTGGACTGTCTCTTTGGTGTCCGTCTTCTCCGTCTCTCGCTCGTCGCTTTCCCGCTCGTTTCTCTCCGATCGGTTCTAGAATCGCTTCCAGAGGCCTCGTCACTGCTTCGTTCGCTAACGAGAATCGCGAGTTAGTTTGTATATATGATTCTTCCTTATTTTGATTCTTGCGTAGATTGATTATGACTGCGAATTGAGATTTGGTTTGCGTGATTTTGTTAGGTTTGTGATTGTTGGTGGAGGAAATGCTGCTGGTTATGCTGCTAGGACTTTTGTTGAAAATGGAATGGCTGATGGTCGCCTCTGCATTGTGACCAAAGAGGTGATTCAAATCGATCTTTGAGTGTTTTCTTCATCACTATCGCTCATGCTTATACTCTGTTGGATTTATAGTTGGTTGTTTATGTTGGTGTTGTTGTTAGGCTTACGCACCTTATGAGAGACCGGCTTTGACAAAAGCTTACTTGTTCCCACCAGAGAAGAAGCCAGCTCGTTTACCAGTAAGCTTTACCTACTACTTCAACGTTTAATTTGAACAATTTGAGTTGTTCTATTAGTCTTAATTTTGGCTACACGAACATTTGTGGATTGGGTTCTAGTAGGTTTTGAATAAAGTTAGTTAGGAGTGTTTATAATTTGTTGATTTGAATGGTTAGTGTGTTCTGTTTATATTGAGGGTGGTGAATGAATATGCAGGGATTTCATACTTGTGTTGGAGGTGGTGGAGAAAGACAGACACCAGACTGGTATAAGGAGAAAGGAATTGAGGTAATTCTCTACTTCTGATACATAGTTTTGTTTTTTCCGAAATATATGAATGGAAGCTAAGTGTCTTTAGTTTGATTCACTGTCCAGCTTGGAATGAACATCCGTGAATTTGTGATCTTTTCCTGTGTCTTATTGATGCGTTTTGTTTGAACAGGTAATATATGAAGATCCAGTGACTGGAGCTGATTTTGGAAAGCAAACCCTCACAACAGACACTGGGAAGCAGTTAAAATATGGATCCCTAATTATCGCTACAGGGTGTACAGCCTCAAGGTGAGTAAGAGTCGCATTATATTCGTAATGGATTGATAAAAAACGTCAGAGAAACCAGGCCTCCTCAACCATGTCTCTTAACACTTTTGAATTTTTATGGCAGGTTCCCAGATAAAATTGGTGGGAACTTGCCAGGGGTTCACTATATTCGGGAGGTTGCAGATGCTGATTCGTTAATATCATCTCTGGTAAGCTAAAGGCATTCTTACCAGTTTATGTCATCTTAATGCAATGTTGTACTATGCGCCATCAGGAAACTTTAAATTCCCTTGGAGAAAAATTAACCTTCCAATATATGATACAGGGAAAGGCAAAGAAAGTTGTCATTGTGGGTGGTGGCTACATTGGCATGGAGGTTGCTGCGGCAGCTGTTGCGTGGAATCTAGATACAACAGTTATTATCCCTTTGACTTTAATCTTTAAATCCCTTTGACTTTAATCTTTAAATTGTGCTAGTAATGAAGATAAAAAATCCTTAAAACGTTCATATAATATGCAAAACCGACATACTAATTTACAGCTCCTTTTGGGCTTCCCCTGTGGAACAATAGATTGTGTTCCCTGAAGATCAGCTTTTGCAAAGACTGTTCACTCCATCACTTGCTCAGAAATATGAAGAACTATACCGTCAAAATGGGGTTAAGTTTGTCAAGGTAAGATATCAACCCACATCAATGCATTAGCGTCTTAGACTGAAGCCTTTGCTTTCCTGCGAACCTAAGAATTTCAAAAAGCACAGTGAGTAAACTTAAATTTCTCATTCTTTCGAACAGGGTGCTTCGATAAATAACTTGGAAGCCGGTTCGGATGGGCGTGTATCAGCTGTTAAGCTTGCTGATGGGTCTACAATTGAGGCAGACACGGTATAGTTGTAGTTTAGCTTCACTTTTTCCTTCCTCAACTGATGCCACTTGGACAACTTTGATCAAATGGAAATAGTGAAAAGTCAATACAATGCTGAATTTTGTACAACCCGCGTATCCTTACTTTACAGGTTGTAATCGGGATTGGAGCTAAGCCTTCTATTGGCCCCTTTGAAACTTTGGCCATGAACAAAAATATTGGAGGAATTCAGGTATTACTTACTAAACATCTGGATTCAGTTTTCAAGATCAATCGGTTTTCAAAGTTTGAACTTCACTAGAAACTACATCAGTATGACCGTACAATTAAAATTTTGATAAGCGCTCATCTTCAACCACAGGTCGATGGCTTATTCCGGACAAGTACCCCTGGAATTTTTGCTATTGGAGATGTCGCAGCCTTCCCTTTGAAGGTACTTTGCTGCCAGACAAAACATGTTAAGCCACCAATCTCATGACCTGTAAACTCATAATGTGAGTTTCTGATGAACAGATATATGATCGAATGACTCGTGTTGAACATGTTGATCACGCCCGCCGTTCCGCACAACACTGTGTGAAATCGCTTCTTACGGCTCACACTGACATGTAAGCTTCTTCAACCTTGCATGACCTGTAGATTTTCTGTCTATCTCTTAACAGATTATCACTTATTAGTTCCTTTCTTCCTCAAAACGTTGCAGGTATGATTATCTTCCATACTTCTACTCAAGAGTATTCGAGTATGAAGGCAGCCCAAGAAAAGTTTGGTGGCAGTTTTTCGGGGATAATGGTAAAACTCGTGAGACCTAAGTATGGCACACCTTTCAATTACTCAAACAATATTTCCAGTGTATCTAACCATTGATTCATATTGGCCAGTGGGAGAAACAGTTGAGGTTGGGAACTTCGACCCAAAAATCGCTACCTTCTGGATTGAATCTGGTAAATCAAACTTCTCCTTTTTCCCACTTCAGTTCCTACTCTTGAACCTTGCATACTTACACAGCTTAATAATTAATAACATTGATGATAACTAACATTGATGAGTAAATTGTCGCATCAACAGGTAGGTTGAAAGGTGTTCTTGTAGAAAGCGGATCTCCTGAGGTAAGAGTTTTTCTTAGCATCTCCCTCATTAACATTCTGAAATTAGCCATTCTTTAGAACATCATATGCTTCGTTTGATCTGCAAGAATAAAATTAGAATATTTTGGTAAGAATTTTGAAACTAGACCATTGCAATTACACATCAGAATGGATTTTGTTTTCATGTATACTATATTGAAAACTGTATTGGATTTTAATTGCTTCCATTGTTGTGTATATGTCTTAAAACAGGAGTTCCAGCTTCTTCCTAAGCTAGCAAGAAGCCAGCCTATTGTCGATAAGGCCAAACTCGCAAGCGCATCCTCAGTCGAAGAAGCCCTCGAGATTGCTCAAGCCGCTCTACAGAGTTAGAGAGAGAGAGAAACTTCACGCAGTTTTTTTTTAAATAGCTTTTTGGGGTTCAGAGAAATCAACAGCTTTGATTCTCGGTGAGAGTATTCATCTTTCCATTGGAAAAGTGATTTATAGAGAGCACTGTTGTCAATAATCTCACGCAAATCATCTATAGCCTGTTATTGAGATAATCATAATTTGCTCACTAGAGAGCTTGTTTCTAATAAAAATCCATATGAGAGTCTTGACATAGATCGTTCTGTCGTATTATGATTGGTCTATGGGTTTCATGGATCGTTAAAATATGCAATCATATCTCTTACAAACAATAGTCAATAGAGGAGACTTTATATATAAAGTAAAACACACACGTCACAAGGTTTTGTGGATAGGTCGGTGATTGCGACCTGTAAAAATATTTTTGGCTTTTTGGAATACAGAGATAATAAGAGATTCATACAGTATTAAGGTTTAATTAACATAATATTTGAAATTAATTTTACTTTTAACACCCTGAAAACGCGTTTCATATGCCACAGAATAATTTTACTAGCTAGATTAAAAAAAAATTACTGTCCGTGATATATCAGCTTAGAATAATATGGATTTGCAAAATCCTTCAGACAAGATTTGAACCTTATCTATTTATTCTCTTATGTGCTGTGATACACATAAGCCATTATAAACTTATGACCGTATAAACTCGTTTTAGACTTTAATGTGACATAATTGTTGAGAAATATTACAAGAGGCCATTGTTTATTACTACAAAGCACCCTATGTTTTTTTTTTTTTGGGGTTTAAACGCGTAATTTTGGTTATAGAAAAATTGCTGAGTTTTCTTGTTTTCGTGTCAGTGTTTGTTTAATGGAGGAGAAGGGTTTAGTATAATGCAAACAAACGTGTAATGTTGGTTAAAACCCAATTCATGAACTTACCACACGAGAAAAAAAAAGGCATGAACTTTAACAAAACAGAAACTTGATATGGTATATACTTTTTTTTTTTCATACGTAGAGAGCTTGAGACGATTGTATATTTACTTAATCGAGCGTCACACATCATCAGCACTTTTGGGTTTAGAACTTGTAGAGCAATCCAAAAACCAAAAAAAAAAAAAAAGTGAAAGGTGAAAAATTCCACACGCACTTACATGAGAGTGGGTACAATATGCTATACATCACACATTTTTGGTAAAAATAATTTGTTACTAACAACACAAAAATCGAATTCTCCAGAACCTTGTGGTTTGTAAAAATCTATGACCATAACTCGATTATGGCCGTGTTATACTCTTCTCTAACTCGTTTTAAACTTTTATGTCGCATAGTTCTTGGGACCATTGTTTATTGTTCTTATACATTCATGCATGTTTCTGTGTATGCAGTATGCATGATAGGTGAAATATTGCAAAATGCAAAACAAACGTGTAATGTTTGGTTTAGCGACCTAAGTCATTATCGATTAGTAAATATCGACCTAAGTCACACCTCATTAGCGTGTAATTGTCGACGTATAATAGAAACGATTAGTAATTATCGACCCAAGTCACACCTCATCAGCGTATCAGCATCTACACCACTTTACACCCAAAGAAAAACAGAGAAAGGTAAAGTGAAGGATTAAAAAACCATACGCACTTATCGCAATTGAACTCAACGTTTCATTTATTTTTCAACTGAAGAATGAGAAACCATTCTTATTATGTTTTGTCTAGGCGCGTGTAGGTATCCTTACCATAGCTTTCCTTTTATAGAACTATCGCTTGTTTTTGTTTTTTGTCCAAATACATTTCATGTTGCTTTGATATTTTGGTATATAATGCATCGAGTTGTTAGCATTTCAGAATAAAACCATCTACATTTACATTTACTTCTCACCATCTTCTTCTGCTCTGTTCTCTCTAAAAATGATGGTAGCTTTTAATGGTTTTTTTCTTTTCTTAAAACAGATTCATTTAATTTTATACAGAGTTTTGAGTCTTTTTAATTGATGGTGTTTTATTCTCATGCAGAAAATGATCGTTTCGGTGGGTGTTTATGACCAGAAATCCAAGGATAAAATCATGAAGATTCTTATTGGCTTAGCCGGTAAAATCACATCAAATTTATTAACACCTTTTTCTTTCTTTCTTAAGCATTTTTAAGAAAGATAAACAAATCTAGAATCAAGAATCAAGAAAAACCCATTTAAAAGATTTGATCTTTTGTTTTCAGGGATTGACTTTTCATATATAGATTTGAAAGAAGGCACACTAATAGTGATTGGAGATGTTGATCCAGTGGCGATCGTTGCCAAACTCAGAAGGAAATGGGGAAGAGCTAATTTAACATTATTTGTACCTTGTACGAATAGAGAAGTGAGGGAACTTGAAGCTCTACTCAGATCTAACTCCAATGTTTTTGATCGTCTTCATGTTCCTACACCTCCTCATTCTAATCATATTGTCAATAGTCTCGGGCAAGGTTGTGTCATTTGCTAAGAGAGTTACAAGGAACAAAAAAATACATAAAGGTAAATTAAACTATAGATATAGTTCATCTTGATTACTGTATAAAGACAATTACATTGATGAGAATAAAGGATGAATTATTGTTGATCTTGGGTGCTTTTATTTCACCTTTTATATTAGCTGTGTTCTCTTGCGTGATATTTTTTCTTTGCTTAAGTCAATTCATTAATTTATAATTTTTCAAGTAATAACAAAAAACCAAATGTATGAACTTGTGAGAAAGTACTGATAACTGTCCTAATTAAGATGTTAATTTTTTGGTTGGATTTAAAATAATGTATACATGATGAGAAAAAGAAAGGAAGTAAGGAACTATTGTGGTGAAAATGAAAAGCAACTGTGATTATGCTTTAGAAATAATCATAATCGCTCTCCTCTACTCAACATATTTGAGTATGCTTTAGAAATAACCCTAAGAAAACAATGAGAATTCTTCCATACAAATATGTAATATGTCTCATTTTGTATTCTCTGAACTTACATACATTTTAAATATAAAATTACAATTTCAGTTCTATAATTAAAGTGTTAAGCAGAAAAAAACTCACATATTTGCACTTTTGATGACATTATAATAAGAACTTGATGCATATGATGTAGTGTAATAATTTTTTTTGGATAAAGATGTAATGTAATTAAAAAACCAAACTGTTACACCAAAAAAATATATCGTTTTCCTTTGTAACTATATTAAACTTTCATGTGACTTCTAGCACAAGAAATCATCGTAAACGATTGATTAGAGGTTATGGAATGAATAAAATCGTTATAGGAAAAATGCATAATGACTACATATTCCAAAATTCTTTTATAGAATTTTCCATCTTATATTTCTCATTGTTTATTATTGGAAGAAGAAGTACAAAATGCAAACACAAATATGGATGTTGGTACTTAAAAACAATTGATGAACTTACTTACGATAGAAAGGGACATTTGGAAGAATCTTTGACAATATTAAAAAAGCTTTTGTAATGGAAGTTACTAAATCTAGAAACGATCAATGATCGACGGACACACATCACAGGACCATTAAAAGAGAAGAAATGTGCCAAAGAACCACAGAACAACAGAAGAAAATAAGTAAAAGATGATGAAAACTTCCACAAGCCATTTCTCACGACTCTGAGTGAGCTCCACGCTCTTGTCTTTATGCACAAACCACTCTCATAGTTTTTGTAAAATAACATAAGGAGAGTGTGAAAACTCCTGATATGGTAATATCCCTCTGTTTTATTATCTTATAAACCCCATTTACTTTATTAATGTGGCTGTCTCTTTGTTAATTTGGGAGACTTGGTTTAGGTTTTGGAATAAGCAACTTTTTAACTGTTCCCATCTTCTTCTCTGTTTCTACCCGAAAGAAAGAAATAAAAAACATGAAGGTAGGTAACTGTGTTATTTTAGTGTTCAAAGTAGTAAAATGATGAGTCTTTTTGTTTTACTAGACATGGATGGTTTTTGATGAATGATGATTCTTTTCTCTACAGAAAATGGTGGTGATGATAACTGTTTATGATGAGGGATCAAAAGAGAAAGTGATGCGTGCTGTTGCTAGCTGCTCAGGTGATTTTCTTACCTTGCTCATGAGTTTTTAACTGAAAAGACAAAGCTTTAGTTTGATTTGATTACAAACAATACACTCTGTTTTTTTTTGGTATTGTTCTTTGTTGAAAAGACAAAGCTTTTCATTACACGCATTCCCGGTTTCTTGAGATTCATTTTTGGGTTTTGATTTGAAACTCTCAAAGGTTTGATTCTTTGTTCTGTTCATGAGTTTTTAGTGAAAAAGCCAAAAGCTTTTGATTTTTAACATTGTCTCTGTTCTTGAGGTTTATTTGTCGGTTTTGAATTGGAATTTACACCTCAAAAACTGAAATTGGTTTTCGTATTAATCAAAGCTTTTCCTTTTCTTTTACTCTCACATTCTCTGTTCTTGAGCTTCTTGATGGGTTCTGTCGTTTTTGATTTGAAACCCTCAAAAATTTGAACTTTGTGTCTGTTTATGAGAATTTATTGAAAAGGTTATCGTTTTTGATTACATTAACACTCAGTTATTGAGATTCTTCATTTATATGATATGATAACTCAAACAAAGATTTTTGAATTTTGTCTCGTTCAAGGATTTTTCTTACATATTCACTCTCTGTTTATTAGGATTCTGTATGGATTTGAGTTTGAGTGTGAGTTTGAATTTGAGGTTTGTCTTGTTCATGAGCTTTGAATACACTCATACGCTCTGTTTTTGGATTTTTATAAAGGTCATGAATTGATATTTAAGAAGGGAACATCTTACATCTTCCTCAGTCTCAAAGCCCTAATCTTTACGTTTTCTTTTCAGGGATTACGAGTATCAACGTTGAATCTAAAGAAGGGAACTTGATGGTGTCGGTGATTGGTGATTTTGATGAGATGCAAATTCTCACAAAACTCAAACGGAAATGGCGCAGTGCCAAAATGGTGACTTTCGGCACCTACGATCCGAAGAAAGAAGCAGAGGCAGCTGCAGCTGCGGAGAGGAAGAAGAAGGAAGAGAGTGAGCGTGCGACAATGGACGCTCTTTACCGCTCTCACCACGAAACGCCTCACTGTCCTATCCATCACCACAGCACTGTGGTCTGTGAGCATGATCACAATGGCTGTGTAATTCTCTGATGTGTTCCAAGTGGAAGTTTATTTTTACTTAACTCAAAGGATTCATAGTTACCTTCTCTATCTCTGGTTTTTAAAGTTTTGTTAACTCAAGGATTCATAGGTTACCTTCAATGTCTACTTCACTGTCTGATTTTAGTTGAAAATGTTGATATAGATAAGAAAAGCAATAAACACAACACTACAACAGTATCACAGTTTTCATGTGGTCAATGTCTGAAGATGAAAATGACAGACTACGAAAATTGCGTCACAAGGTACTTGCAGTCAAATGAAACAAGGATTCACAATGAATCATCATCATTATCTGTAATCGATGGTGAGTAAATTTACAATCAAAAGTTTGTTTTTTCTTATAAGATGAGACTTTTTAAGAAGATGTTACAGAGGTAACATGAATTTTGACTTCTATTTCTTCATGAGGAGAATAACAGTGTGAGCTGCAATGCTTCTATTTTCTCCGAGGCTATCAACTTTCTCGTGGGTTTTGGCTTTGAGGTTTACAACAGAAGGATCAGCTCCAAGAAGCTTGGATAGATTGGTTCTGATGGTCTCTTTATGTGGACTTATCTTTGGTCTCTGTAAAATCAATGTAGCGTCTAGATTTCCTATCTCGTAACCTGCCTCATCCATGAGTCTCACCTGAAACACAAAGACAAGCAAAACCTTGTTTCAAGCTCATTGAATCACCTTCTTCATTTGACATTTCTTCTGTTATAACTTAATTAACTCATTACAAGTGATCCTCAATTAAATTTCAAAGCTTAATTCACACTAGCTTCCCAATACACTCACAGTCAATAATGGTTTGAAGTTTGAACTTAACAAACACATTAAGGTAAATCTGACCCCCTAATCTAAAAAGCCGGACAAGGAAAGAAACTCTCTAGCATTAGCCTTGAGTATCCATAACTAATATCAATCATATATGTTGCCTCCAGGGAAACGTTATAACACAAGACTTGTAATATAATTCCTACGGGGAACTTAAATCTAAAGTCGAGTTATGCCAGGCATTTGAGAGAACTTATGAATGCAAATGCAAGAGCGATAAGATTATACACAGCATTGCTCAGTGTCACAACCGTTAAAAAAAAGGCAATGCACAACAATTGAAAAACCTATTTGATCTCCACATCTCTTCTGCTTTGTATGGAAAAAAGAAAACTAAAGTACTCAAAGAGTATTACAGAGCCTTCATCAACTTCTTGGAAACTGAGTAAATTCCATTAACCTATGGATCTAGCTTCAGTTCTGAATGATTAACGCATGCTTAAAGACAGAGCTACACTTAGCTGGTAATGCATATTAAAAATCTCTACATGCACAATTTAACACAAAATGGAACATTTCAAGGTAACTACGAAAAAACTTACAGCTTCTTTGATGAATACAGATGAAGCAGCTCCTTTCCATTTAGGATCAGAATCAGGGAAGATTTGACCTATATCAGGAAGCCCTAAGGCTCCCAAAATTGCATCCACTACACAATGAAGCAACACGTCGCCTGCACCAAATCAAACATCACCCAACAAGTTCAAATCAAAACCTAAAATATATCCCAACTTCAACAGATTCAAAAAGACGATTTCACAATTCGAATTTTTTGAGAATTTTTTTTTACCGTCGGAGTGAGCTTCGCAGCCTCTATCATGAGGAATATCAATCCCGCCGATGATCAGAGGGTAACCTGGCTCTAACCGATGAAGATCGAAACCGTGACCGACTCGAAACGGAAGAGTTTTGGTTGATTTCTTCGAAGTCGCCGGTTCATCATTGACGCCGACGGCGGAAGTTGCCGAGATTGAAGGACGACATGATAACGAGAGAGACTTCTTCGTTATCCGAAGACCTAGTTTCGTAACCGGGAGAAGTAGTGGAGTTTTGGTAATTTGAGGATGAAACAAAGAAGAAGACAGTGGAAGCTGAGTAGAAGAGGAAGTAGCCATTGCCATTCTTCTCAGCTTTGAAGTCAATCCTCAAATTTTAATTTGTTGTCTTAAAAATCATAAATGTTTGTTAGTGGACTTTTATATAATTTTATTGGGCTTTTCCTAAGTATAAAGCCCATTTAAAATCTGATTAACTCTTGGCCGTCGATCAGATTGCATATCCACTCAGTTTACTAAAGGGCGCGTCGTAGAGAATTATTACTCGTTACTTCCATGCTTTAGGTTTTCTCCTCCAGCTTTCCCTAAACTCCCTCGCCCACTCTTCTCTTCCGCACCGCTTTTTAAAAACGGCGACGCATTGTCTTTAATCGATCGCCGGAGAATTAGAAGAGAAGATGGCGGCGCCGGAGGCTCCTGTTAAGTATGTCGGAATCTGTAAGGAATCCGCTGCTTTCCGGCTTATGAGATCGATGGTGAGTAGAATTTCTCTGTAATGATCTGGGTAGGTGTGTGGAGAATTTTATAAAGACCTAAGTTTTTGGATTGGTGATTTTCTTAGGGTTGGGAGGAAGGAGAAGGACTTGGTAAAGATAAGCAAGGCATCAAAGGTTATGTGAGAGTTAAGAACAAACAAGATACTACTGGTTAGTTTCTTCGTCTTCTTCTTCTTAGTAGAGATTAGAGAATTTGTTTTATTTGATTTGTTGAATGTTAAGTTTTGGAATTTAGATTAGAGGAAATTTAAATGGAGCTGCTTTGCACTATTACCCTGGAAAAAAACATTAATTTCTGGTTTTTGGGAGGAAATTTGTGTATTATTATTTTAGTTTAAGCTAATAGGTGTACGTAAATTGGTGAATTTGAAGTTGTGGATTTAAGATAGAGCGACTTTATCCTTGGACCCAATATTTTCTGTTTTTGGGGAATGTGTTGTATATTTGTGTGTATATGCATTATAGTATATCTGTATATGTAATTGGACTGAAATTTTGAAATGTTGGAGCAGGTGTTGGTATTGATAAGCCAAATCCATGGGCATTCGATACAACTCAGTTTGATAACATTCTGAAGAAACTGAAAGTGGTAATGCTTGTGTACATCTTTGTTTTTAACTAATCCCTTTAAAAATTTTTGGAAGTAAGTTTTAATCTTTATATTGTTTTGTTTGTTGTTTGTAGCAAGCAGCACCTACCAAGACTAGCAAGAATGATGATGGTGAAAACTACTTCTTAGTAACTTTAGTTCTTTCTTGATTATAGAAGTAGTTTGTTTAGTTATCCTAATGATGTTTGTTTCTGTGGCATAATGATAGGTTCGGATAAGGAAGATGAAAGTGAAGACGATGCAGCCAAATCTGAGCCTGTTAAGACAGTTACTAAAGTCACTCGTCCTCAAGGAAGGTATAAACGTAGAGAGAAAGGGAAGCTTGTCAATTCATACTCGTCTAAAGATCTTGAAGGAATACTGGTAAGCTTGCTTTCCAATCAGTTCTCTCATTCTTTCATCTGCTCATGGCCAATATTCATGTTGATTAGCATTGTTCATAACTTCTACATATTGTTTATTTATGCATAATCCAGGATTTTTTTTACTATTACTATTATGCAAACAACTTGCGTTAGGAAAGTAGCTTGGGTGAATTTTTTTTCTGTTTCGTTAGGTTAAGCGAACTGAGGAGCCTTCTCCTGCGGTTTGTGACATAGCCGATACTATGGAGATTGAAATTATATCTGAGGACCAACATGCTACTGTTAAAGGTGATTAGATCGTACCAAATCTTGAATTGGTGTGACTTTCTGTTGTTTTTATTTTCTTTGAGCTGAAGCGTATGGATCTTTTGGGCTGAGCAGAACAGAAAATTGAAGAACCTTCTTTGGACTGGTGGGGTTTTAAATCCGGGTTTGTCTCGGGTGGTCTTCTTGGAGCCAAGTCGGGCAAAAAGAAATTAAAGGCTAGCGAGAGAAAAATGTTTAGTGAGAACGATCAAGAGAATCTTTACAACCTGGTTCAGGTATGTCTGTCTCCGTCTACTCTTCTTTGCGCTGTTCGTGAAAAAGAGTTTGGTATCTAACATCTTGATGCCGTGAAATGTCTGTAGGATAAAGCCACAGCTGGAAAACAAGGACTGGGTATCAAAGACCGGCCAAAGAAAATAGCTGGTGTTCGTTACGAAGGGAAGAAAACATCTTTCGATAACAGTGATGATGATGATGATGATGATGATGACGAAGACGAAGAAGAACAAGAAGAAGAAGAGAGTGAAGATGACAACAAAGACTCTGTTATTGAAAATGTTCTTCCAGCAAAAAGGAAGCACAATGAAATAATTGAACCCAAATTCAAGTTAAAGAACCTCTGCAAGCAGATTCTTAAAAAGGTTTGTTGCCGATTTACTTTGCTCAGTCACTTTATTCTTCTGTAACTTCCCACCCATACTGACTTATATGTTTATGTGCAAAACCATTCTCAGGATGCTGGTAGTGGTGGATCCATGAAGCTGAAACAGCTAAAATCTCTGATAGATGAACAAGCACCATCTGTTCTTTCAGAGTTCTCTTCAAGAAAAGATGCTATTGCTTATTTAAAACTCAAGGTATATACAAGTCTTAGGTTATCTTATGTCAAATCCTCTTAACATCTTTGCCTATCTACATTGAGCGTATGAAATTCATTCGATGTGAGATTAAAGGAATGTAATGGTCGAGTTAGTAAACGAAAGTTCCGTAGTTATTGTATTTACTGATGTTGTTCTAACGTATTTGTTGCAGCTGGAGCGAAGTGGGAAATTTGTTGTCGAGGGAAAGAAGATTAGTCTGGTATCAAGCAAGAAATGAGCAGACATTTTTGGTTGGAATATACTTGCATAGGAGAGTGGAGATTAGGACAAGTTTTGTTACTAAATCATCACCATGCCATATGTACACAAAAATTATCCTTCAATTTGGGAATTTTGATTTGTTTGTAATCTATTTATACATTCTATGAGTTTGCATAAAACTTTCACCTAATAAGTGACTTTATCTCTTATATTTAAAACTGATACGAGGCAAACACATCTGTACTTGGTAGAAAATCTTAAATGTTTGAGGTGTTATATGTATCTGCCTTGAACTATCTTGGTACCTATATATTTACCGAGATAATCATAACCATGACAATACAAAGCTTCAATTTCCGCTCTTTTACCAGTTTGAACCATCAGTGACAACTCGTCTCTGTAGTTATCCTGGTCATCAAGTAAATTATCAAAATCAATTATGGTTATATTATAGATATCAATGTTATTGCTTCCACTTATCTCTGCTTATAATGTTCAGTTAGTTTACCTGCAATATTTTGGAGGACAATAAGCTTTTAGCAATCTGTGAGTCCTTTGGCTTTAAGGGAACCAAAGACTCTTCTGGTATCAGATTCAGATCATCTCCTCGGAGCCCAATCCACTTCACATTGCAAGCTAAAGAGGGTGCACAAACTATCATTACAGGAGACTTGGAGATTATTTGGTGTAAACAGTTAAGTCTTTACCGTATCTGTATGCTTCAAGACCCATCCCTATGCTTCCAAACTTGAAGGTGCATAGTATAGCTAGCCCAGCTGGATTCCTTACATTTTTAACAGATTTTTCAGTTATGAACTTATGAGGATTCCAGACAAAGAGGAGGATGTTTATTTATTCTTACCAATCTACAAGAGCAAGAATTGGCAGATCAGGAAAAGTTGTGCTCATTCGATGAACGAAAAACCTGGAAGATTCAACTTCCAAGTTACTCAATATCAATGACTAAATTGCAAGCATGGTTTTGTAACTAAGTGAAGAGATTTTACCTTGTGGCAATATCCGGATACCCTTTCGCAGTGATGAACACGCAAGGAATGTGATTGAACAAACGATCTTCCACAAGGCGATGAAATATCGCATGCTATAAACAGATTCTGGGAGTGAGTTATGGACAATTTTATGGTATCTTATATGTGCTTGATTAGATCAAGAAGATACCTTTTCCACAATAATGATATACCGCGCATCACTTCTCATGATGGTGTTGTCTAGCAAATTCAAGTCTCCAGTTATAGCAAAACCTGAAGAACCACAGGTCGAACAATCTACAGCTTCCTTACCTGGTTCCTGAGTTTGAATAAAGAAATAGTCAGAGATGACAATGATAGCTCGAAACACAAGAACTTATCGAAAAACCGACACAGAGCAACAAGATTGATTAAATTACGCACTTGTAGAAATAACCTTCCCGCAACAAGGCCTCTACTAGAAGCCATAATCCCAAGACTGTATCTACTACAACGTAGAAGTGCTACCACATCTGTTAAACCAGCAAGCAGGAAACAAAATCAAACCCTAAAAATCTTCAATCCAAATGAAAAACAATCATAATATCTGACTTTGGATTGACCTTGCACAGTTCTGTTAACTTCAATCTGAGATGAAAAATAGTCAGGTGAATCACAAAGCAACTTATAGAAGAGCTCTCTTTGAGTCACTCGTTTCTCTTGAAGCAGAATCTGAAAGCATATCTCCATTACTTTCCACACTGTTTTCAATCAAATCACAATACATCACACACTCATACCATTTCAATCAAAGAATTAGAATGAAGAACACAAAGATACATTAATCAATTACCACGAACAAAAGCTTTAGCTGTTTTAGCATTCGTCAATGAACTCTTAGTAAACGAAGTAGAGAGGAATATATATGAAACATCTGTGAGTACGCCTTGGTTTATACAGCTATTGCTTCTCTTCCTATTGATCTGTTCTTCCCAATAAATTTCAAAAAGCCCAGAAAAATCTCAGAATTCGAGAAAGTTATAACACGACCTAAGAAACGCGATTAAGTAGTACCAGAGAGAGATCAAAGATAGCTGGATCTGGGGAATTCAAAATTCGGAGGAGATTGAGTACAGAGACTTCGATTCTAGCTCGAGCCTGTAAACAACGAGCTTCGATTTCAATCAGACCGAGGAGGCTCGACAAGGAAGAAGATGAGTGATTCGATAAAACTTACTTCGTGAGGAAGAAGGATATCAGCGTAAGAGAGGTGTTGATCGGAGAAGAACTTCATCGATGAGAGTCCTGAAGGTTCCTCCATTTCCAGAGCTTTTTTCCCGATTCTATTATTATTATTTTTTTTTTGAAATTTGATTTGAATTTGATTGAGAGAGAGGCGCGCTATAAGTTTCAGGATTTGAGATTTGAACTGTCTGTCGTTTCATGTATAGGAAACGGCATGCAGTTCATGAATCTTTCCACGGAATTTCAGAATTCATCTCATGTGGATCATATAAGTAAAATAAATCATACAATAATGTGTAATTTCTTTTTTAATGATACTTTTCTTATTGTTAAAGATACATAATGTTGTAAATCTCAATTTTTTTAAAGCTCAACTTTCTAATACTTGAGATTTACAACTTCTTTTCTTTTCTTTTTTATATGATCACACATTATGTATCCTTAAAATAAATAAAGTTGTAAATTCTTCTAAAAAAAGCTGTAAATCTCAAATTTTAGCCTAATAAGTATAGTCCACGGTTATTTTAATTTTTCAATGGACTGGTTTATTTTATACAGTAGCGAAATGAAAAATATATATAATTTAAGAAAATTGATGTGTTAAAATTTGATTTTATTATATAGTTTTTATATAAAATGAGAAGCTTCCACGTGCATGGATATACGGGTTTGCATAGGTTAATAACTATGCTGATTTTATTTGGGTTTATAAGTTTATTCGACCGGTCAAAGCAAAAAGATTCTTAACAACCACAACCACAATAATTTTGCTTAAGGTTCGTTTATCCGTATTTAATGTCCATCATTTTAAGCCACTTCATGGTGTCTATAAGTTTCATCAAGGATAAATAGATAATTAATCTGAAACTACATTTATTTATTTATTGTTTTATATCATATCACAACTTAGTATATATGGGTGGATGACGAACAAAGATGTAACATGAAACTTTGCAAAAATAATATTTGAAAACCAGTTGTACGCACAATATGTGTATCAGTTATCGTATTTTATATCATTAGCACAATGCAACTAATGTCCTAATTGATGTGCATAATTTTGATCGTATTAGTTCATTATCGAGCATTAAACAAAAAATAATCTCATAGAGAACATGGACGATCCACGTAAAGCTATTTAAAACCAATCTCAATTTTAGCTTAAGTTTTGAATTCAATCAGACGTCCATTTACGGCGTAAGACGTCATTATATACAAGTATGGGTTTGGTGTACTATATTTAACCACACGTATGAAATGAAACCTATATAAAATAAAAAGTAAAAATATTATTTTTTACCTGTTACATGAAAATTTATAAGCTAATTAAGCCTTTACCAAACATTCCCTTTGTCATCGGAAAACGTCAACAAGAACTTTGAGTCTTTGACCATAAAGATATAATGCGATTTCAAGTACTGATTGGTTTATATATATGAGTCATGAGACATGGCATATGGATAGTCTTTGACATGAAGTTAAAATTATAACTAATCTTCATAAAACTTATTAAGAAAAAAAGCAAATACATAATACAAACTATCCTCAAATGTATGTATAAGACCATTTATATATACCATCGTTATCAATATTAACATTTCAAAAGTTAGACTTAATCATTTAAGTAAATTTGATATATAACATGCATTTTTATTCAGGTTTTAATTAATATATGATTCTGTAGTTTATAATATATAGGTCCAAAAACGTTGTAAAGGAGAAAAAGAGATGTATAGCTAGGAAAAGAAGGGAGAGACTAAGGCAGTTGAACAAAAAGTTAGGTGAATATAGTTGGCCTCAATATTATATCCTTTTCACTCATTCTTCCTCTTTCTTAATTCCCTACAAATATCCTTATAACCTTCTCTTCTCCTCTTGATCTCCTTCTTCCTCTTATGCAACACACATATATACATATATAGTGAGAAGAGAGATCTATATAGTGAAGAGCTTCATAATCAATGGAAGGGGTAGACAACACAAACCCTATGTCAACCCTAGAAGAAGGCGGAAACAACAATCCTTTTTCTTCCTTTGATGACAAAACATTGATGATGATGGCTCCTTCGTTAATGTTTTCGGGCGATGTAGGTCCATCTTCTTCGTCCTGTTCTCCAGCGAGTTTCCATTTATCTGCTCAGCTAGAGAACTTTCAAGGAGGTGGAGGAGATGTGGGAGGATTAGTGAGTAATAATGATAGTGATCATATAAATAAGAATTGCAATAAAGGGAAAGGAAAGAGATCGCAGGCAATGCAGAGGATAGCGTTTCATACGAGGAGTGATGATGATGTTCTTGATGATGGTTACCGTTGGCGAAAGTACGGTCAGAAATCTGTAAAAAACAATGCTCATCCCAGGTTCTTCTTTATTTTACTAATTTATTACATGTATACTATTACTAGCTTGTGTGTTTTTTTTTTGTTATATAAAAAGTATGACATCGTAAAAAGTAGATATCGGAATTGACCTAAACTTATATATACACATACACACTCTATTGGTCACGTGGAATATATACACTAGTTGGGAAACATTAGTTTAACAACCTAAACGATTGAATTTAGTCATCATTTTGAGTTAGTCCGGTTCCAAACGTTATTGTTTGTGTTTAAACTTTTCTGAAACTTTCGAATTAACGAAAGATACATATAATTTACCAAGGTTTTTGTTTAAATAAATTTTACATTCATACACCAAAAAAAAACGTTATCGCTTGTGTCATATATAGACCAACAACGTTTGCAACCGGACTGAAAATTACAAAATCTAATACATCTGAAATTATCGCTGATGAAACCTCGTGATTAGTATCAACAATTTCCCATACGATTAATTTATTTATAATTTATACCCAAAAAGGCAAAAACTTAACTCTGATATATATAAATATTATCTATGGAACATGGATTGATTATTCATTTGTTTTTTGCAAAAATAATAATGGCAGGAGCTATTACAGATGTACATACCACACATGCAACGTGAAGAAACAAGTGCAGAGATTGGCAAAAGATCCAAGCGTTGTTGTAACAACCTACGAAGGTGTTCATAATCATCCTTGTGAGAAGCTCATGGAGACTCTTAGTCCTCTCCTTAGACAACTTCAGTTCCTCTCCAGAGTTTCTGACATGTGATTTGAATGTTAATTAGTGGTGTAATTATTTAATTATGCTTTAATCGCTCCATTGACCCCTCATCTCCCAAGAGATAAAATGTATAGAACAAATCTGAGATCATTTAGATGTTTATGTTTATTGCGATGATTTGCGTTTTCCTTTGATTTGTCTAATTGTCTCCTTGTTGTAAATTGTTTGTTTAGTTTAGGTGAACGATCATCATACATATTTAGGCACTTACAGGACCAGTTTTGAATTAAAAAAAATGTTCGGGGTCATTTTCTGAATATCAAAACCTTATTTTTTTTCTTTTTCAAAACCTTATTTTTTCAGAACATTTCGCGCTAAAAAAAGAAACAACAAGAATGAACCATAAAGTAAAGCAATACCATGTTTAATTAGACCGGTCCAACTAAAGAGAGCTGTTGAACAAATGCAATATACCTTTGCTAAAGCACTACACCATTACCGCATGTCCAATAAAATAGAAGGAGCTACTTAGTTAGGCTACTTTTGTGACTTCCACAAACCCATTTCTTAGTTGTATTTCCTGATTCCAAAGACATGGTCTATATATCTTTCCATTGCGCTGTGAAAATTTGAAGCCATTTCGTTGAGGATTCTCGGTTAGTTCGGTCATAGGTATATTAGAATCTGATGGTGGATAAATTTTGGTTCCATTGAACTGCCGAATCATTACTTATTGTCTATATATCTTCCACTGATTTGTTTGGACGTCGGTTAACAGAAACAGGCTACGTACTTATATATGTAAAATGTCATAAAATTACTATGTGTCAAATTTGTGTGAAGATTCTCTGTGGTTGTACACTTGTACAAGAATGTATATATATGTCCCGTTAATCTCTTTCGTCTTTTCTTGATGATTGTTGAATCTACGATTTTCCTATTCAACGTCAAGATTACTAGACTGAGGTGATGAGTAGATTCTATATACTCTCATAAATTCGTAAATTCTATATATCGATATTTTAAATGTCCAAAATTACATTTTCTAATTAATGTAACAAATCACTTCTACATTAATAAAAAAAAATTCAAAATAAAACAATTATCTCTATACCACCACTATAAGTTTGTTATTCCGGAAATATCTACTTTAGTTACTGCTACTGTATCTAATTAAATCTTTTTAAAAATCTTCTAATGGTAATGGTTTGTGGTAAGTCATTTAATAGTTTACCTAAAAAGGAAAAGGATATTGATTGTTAAAATTAATGCAATCGTGGGAGAGTAAAGAAACAATGATGAGGGAATGAAGAAATAACGTAATCGTGGAGAATCAAGATTGACCATAAAGATGGAGCAACAAGAAGAAAAGAAAATGAAAGTCTACGAAAGAAGAATAAGAAGAAGAGAAAGATCAAAACTGTCACTTCCTCTGGATCTAACCTCGGAGATACTCATAAACCTGCCTACGAAATGTATAGTGAGATCTCGTTGCGTATCGAAGCTCTGGTCATCAATCACCACAGATCCATATTTCATCAGCTCATTCAAAACTCGAACCTCATCGATCAAAGCCAAGTCTTCTTTTATTCTTCAAGAAAGTGGCCAAGTTGTTTGTTTTCTCATTTCCACAACACCATCAGAACTCGAGCAAGCGGTATGGTAATGAAACTTGTCAGCCTTTGGATATTTATCAAATCATTTGCCCTAAATATTATTCCTTGTCACTCACGGAATCTGTCCACGGCTTGATCTGCTTTAGAAAATCATCAGCACCCATGATTTGTTAACCCTACTATGAGACAGTTGTTAAACTTTCTCAAACCAGACAAGACCTGGAAAAGTATAGCTGTCTATTTAGGATACGATCCAATAGAGGGTAAACACAAAGTATTGTGTTTGCCTTGTGTTAATATGTGGGAAGAGGAATACTGTCGGGTTTTAACGTTGGGATCAACTCAATGGAGAAGCATCAAAACCATCCCTTACCATGTTGCTTGCACTGGCACTTATGGGCGATGTATCAATGGGGTTATGTATTATAACGCCTTTGTTCGTGATCTGCCCGAAGGACCGCGATGTCGGGTTATAATGAGTTTGATGTCAGATTACCAACAAAAACGATTGGAGGGTTGCTGTTAGCTTATAAGTGAAGGTTAGCTTTAGTTTATAGTGATTATGAGACCAATGGTATGACGTTTTCGGGTTTGGAGGATGCAGAGAAACACAAGTGGTCGGCTAAATCTTTTGTTGCAGCTTACAGTCACACTGATCCGGTTTTGAACGCAAAATTCAAACTAAGTGGTGTAAATGATGCTGGTGAGTTTATTTATCTAACATCCACGTTTCTTAGAACGTTTTACATTAAGTATTATGATCTGGAGAGAAACAGCTTCAGAACGGTCGAATTTAAAGGAGTCGGTGATCATGAGTTTAGGCGCATCAATGGACTTGGAAACGATCGTTTTTATTCCCTCCAGACTTTCCCAAATCACATGGACAGTCTCTTCTCTCTTTCTAACAGTTGAAACCATTTCATTTTGTTTTGTTTTTTTCCTAAGTTTTATGCAATTAATCTTATATTTGAATCTTTTTATTTGTAAACTGCAAGCTTTCTCATTATGTTATCTTTCATTTGCCGTTTTCATTACAAGTTATTTTTTCTCACAATTACAAAACATGAATGCACAAGCATACATTCTTAGTTCTTTATATTAGATGAAGCTTTCATTGAATCAAAAAGAATTTGGCCTATTTGAGTAAGTGTCACCGATTGAAAAGTTTAATATTTGTGCTTTGACTTCAACCACAAAAATATCAGAACATGAAACATGTATGAGCTAGGTGAAAAATATATATAGCGATAAACATTGTTTGATAAGACAGTTTTAAGAACATTTGAGCAAGTGTAAAAAAAAAATATTTTCTGTTTTATTTTGATCATAAATTAAAAAGTCGAATAAACTTTTTCCGAACCGAACTAATCAGACCACCTTAGACTTAAGTTCTAACCGAATCAAACCAACGAACTGTGACCTTCCAGTCTCCACCACAGTCTAAGAAGATTAAGAAGGATCAAAGATCTGACCAACAAACAAAGCGGTTCCTGTTTTGTCTTCTCTAATGACGAAAATAAATGGATGGTCAGCAACAAAATCTATCCTATTCACAAAAGCACATCCAAAGACTCCAACAAAAGCAGTTGCAGTAGCAGCTTCAGCACCTTCTTCATCGATCTCAACATAAGCTTTTTGGTACATGTCCACATAATCTAATCCGAGTATATTGAAAACCTGTGTAGCCAAGAATCCGAATTCGATCTTAAACTTTGGGATTCTGAATTCACCAACCTCAACTTTTTGACTCGGGATATGGCTATCCAAGAAACCAAGACCTGATGCCATTTTCTCGACAAGATTATCCAAACCATCTTTTTCATTGGGGAGATAGATATACATAGAGAAGCTTCCACTGGTGTCACCGTGGCCTTGTCGAAATGGGAGCTTGAGGACCTTGAAACCATCATAAGCTTGTATGTATTGGTCCTTACGGCTTCTCATGAAAGGCACAGAAACCGAGGTCCCGTCGAGAAGGTGGAAGTCTCGGTCGTTCGTCATTGATCTGTCGAATTTGTCTTCCCAAGCTCCCTTGAAGTACAATGCGTTTCCATAAATCCAGATGGTTTCGTCTGTAACGGATCCTTGAGGAAGAAGATCTTTGATGAAACCATTCGTGTGATGTAAAGCCCAAGAGTTCACCTCCTTACGCAATTCTTCAAACTGCAAAACAAGAACAAAAACAAAAAAAAACCCTAAAACAATCCATCATCCAAAACCAAAAGCTACTAGACTAGACTTGTTTTGTCAAAAACAGAGTATTGTGATATAGTATTATTACCTGTGTTTTGAAATCCACCGAAGCCAAAACAGCTTTGAAAAAGTTGTCAAAGAGACTCTTGGTAGATGGATCTATTGATAATGATTGGTCGATACAGGCGCCATTCACCACTTTGATCGTCGGGCCGCCTATATTACTACCGTCAGCGAAGACGTAGGTAGCAATGACACCGAAGACGGAGTTGAGTTCATCGATGGAAGAAGATCTGAGGAAGGATAAGATTTTATCTGCGATGATAGAACTGCCGGGACCAGAGGCCATCATGGTGAACGCTGCGTTCATTGACGCCGGCGAGAAAACGCTGTTAGAGTGTTTGGCTATAGTTGAGAAGAGATGCCTCGAAACCATCATCGCGACTTCGTTTTGCCTCTTCACAGCTTCTTTCACGTCCATGGCTGAAGATGATAATAATGATGAACCATGGACTCATATATATTTATAGTAAATGTATGAACTTCACAATGACGCTACTCTTTGAAAGCTTCAATATTACGCAACTTTTTTTTTTTTAATGTCGTCAAAATAACGCTACACTGTTTTTTTGTTTTTTTTTTGGGCGTCGTTGTTGTGATGGATTTGACAAACACAAATAGGCCATTATTGGGCTATACGAAATTGACATTGAAAAACAAGAAGAGAAAGTTCTAGAGAGCCCAATACACATATATATTGTTGTGTCGTTGGGATATGAAGAGAAAGAGAGTAAGCTGAGAAGAAACGCGTAAGTAGTTAAGAGAGTTGTTTCTTCTTGTTGATTCTAGATCCTTGAGAGAGAATCTGGAAAAACAAAATAACATCACAAGTAAAAAATAGCTTATGTGTAACCTCTTTCATATAGCGAAGTTTGGGAGCAAGAGTTCTCCCCCAGGCCGTGGACTCCGTTACCAATTTCTGTGTATTATCTCATTTGTTTGCAATAGTAACTATAAAAAACATAAGGAAAGAGTTTGCGTGGAATGCAAGCAACGCAAAGACGTTCTTTCCAGTCAACAACAATGGTAAAGACTATTTGTATCATATCAACTCCATGCAAATTAGATAAACCATTAACTTGAATTATTATCGAAAGAATCAAACCGAACGAAATGGAAAAGATCTTCCAGAACAATTAAAGTTTTTTAATAGAACTAGCTCGAAGCCTAGAACTATATATAGTTTTTACAAAACCTGTGAACTTTGCCAAAACCATAACGCGGTTAATAATCATCTGAGTCGGAATTAGATTGGGAACAAGATTCCGAAGGTTCCAAGAGCTGACCGACGAACAAAACGGTTCCAGTTTTGTCTTCTCGAATAAGGAAAAGAAATGGATGATCAGCCACAAAATCTAGAGGCTCACAGTCACAACAAACATCATCATCATCATTAATAGCAGTTGCAGCCGCAGCTTCAGCACCTTGTTCATCAATCTCGACACAAGCTTTATGGTACATTGACAATGAACGCAGTCCCAGTCCATTTAAAACGCTTGTAACAGTAAAACCAAATTCCATCTTAAACTTTGGAATTCTGAATTCATCAAGTTCATCTCTGTAACTCGGAATGTGACTATCCAAGAATCCAGGTGTAGATGCCATTTTCTCCAAGAGATCATCCAATCCATCTTTCTTGTCCGGGAGATAGAAATACATTGAGAATCCACGATTGGTATCATCGCGCGCTACCTCTTCGGTAAGGGAGCCTGAGGACCTTGAAACCATCATAAGCTCTTACGTATTGGTCCTCATCGCTGGTCATGAATGGCACAGAGACTGATGTGCCATTGACAAGGTGAAAGTCTTCGTCTTCAGTATGGTTCTTTTCGAATTGTATTTCCCAATCTCCCTTGAAATACAATGCGTTTGCGTAAATCTCGTTGGTGTCGCTTGCCACGGATCCATGTGGAAGAAGATCCTTGATGAGATTGTTGGTGTGATGCTCAACCCATGAATTCACCTCTTCACGCACTTCTTCAGCCTTCAGAAAAAAAAAAAAAAAACACAATGTATTCATCACCAAACGTACTTGCTATATATATATCAGCAATTTCGTTTTTGTCACTATTAGATCAAAAACAGATTTGACTAATTTTGAAAATAAAGACAGACTCAAAATTCGTAATTAGGGTTTCAATTTGAGTCCTTGTGTTTGTTCTTCAATTTAAACAGCTCTTGTTCATCAAGCAAAAAAAAAAAAAGAAGAGGGACTGAAGTAAAAGAGTACCTTAGATCGGAAATCTACAGGAACGTAAAGAGCCTTGAAGAAGTTCTCGAAGAGATCCTTGTACTTGGGATCAACCTCAAGTGATTTATCAATCCAGAGGCCATTCACGGACTTGATCTTTGGGCCGCCACTCGCGCTGCTATCAGCGTAGACGAGGGAGGATAGTTCGCGAAAGACGGTTTTGAGCTCATCCATCGAAGAAGATCTGAGGAAGGAAAGGATTGCATCGGCAGCTGAATCACCTCCGGGACCAGCGGCGATCATGGTGATCGCAGAGTTTATGGACGCCGGTGAGAAGATGACGTTAGAGTCTTTGCGTGCGGAAGATAATACGTGCCCGGAAAGGATCATCGCGGCGTCGGTTTGCTTCTTTGTAGCTTCTCTTACATCCATGTTTTGAATCTTTTGATTTGTAATGAAAGAAAAAAGAGGACTCAGAGAGAGGTCAGACCTTGTCAAACAGTAAAAGAGAGGTGGATGTGGTTTAATATTGAACAGTTTATTTTCTTTAAAAGGAAACTTGAAATTCTTATTAGAAATGTAGATTTGTTTTTTAATTAGTTGAATGAAAGAATCCGGAATGGTTTGATTTTGATGAATTTCTTATTTTCTATAGAGCTATTAAAAAAGAGAGTTAATAAATAACGAGAGTAATTTTAAAGTTGAAATTTTTAATTATTTTTATTATATAAAGATTAAAAAAAAAGTTAATATTCTTCTAATTTTATTTTCAAAAGGGAAAGTAAAAACAAAAAAATTCAAAGAAATCAACTGAAACTATAGTTTCAAAGAACTTGTGAACGTTGCCAAAACCATTAACCTCAGTTGACTAATCTAACCATTCCACCAAACCATAACGGCGTTATGATATGATCCATGGGTGTGCTTTTTATATATGAATATATGATCCATGGGTGTGGTTTTTATAGAGAACGGTTTCACTAGGGTATTTTAAATTACTATTTTTAAATGAAAAATTTGGAGATATATATACGAACAAAAAATGTTCCTTTTTCTCTCAGATGGAAAAGTAATTGATGACTTTCGAATGGGCTTTTTAAAGTTAGGGGTGTAACTCCAAAAATAAACCAATTCAGAGTTGATATGTCTCTTTCACTGCCTTTTGAGTTACTCTTTTGTCTTCAGAGTCTTGCCTTTTGAGTTTGAAATCTGCAGGAGTGGTACTCTGTCGTCCAAACAGAGAACTATGTTGGAATGATGGATTAGAACCAAACTCCGGAGACGACTGACTGTTGTTAAAATTTCCATCAATGCTAAATGCTGGAGTTGAACCATATGGCTGCCATGTGTTTGTTGCAAAAGAGTTTGTGGCTGTTGAGCTTGAAAAGGGGTTTGCTGGATTTGCAGGTGTCTGACCAAACGCTGATGGCTGAGAACTTCCAGCAGGAAATTCTCCACCTGCAAACAATTAAACAACAAGAGAATCAATAGTTTGGTAAATAAAGTAGAAACATGTAATAACAAAGATTTGTTTAGCATATGACCTTTATCTCCTCGCTGGTAGTCCTCCCACCTAAGCTCCTCATGGTTTTTTTCAATGTATGGAGGCATATTGGCAGATATAGATTGTAGCCTCTCAGCAGGCTCGTTACCAGTGCCCCACTCTGCATAAGGGAAGACACTTCTACCCCCAAATGCTGGGGTCCAAGCCTGTGCACCTGCAAAGCAAAACATGTCAACATATAAATTAGTTACCATTTATTAATGGGTGGGAACTTCAACTTCTATTCTGTAATTGAATAGGATTAGCTAGAGAACCTTGCGCTCTAAAGGGAGACTGTGTATAATCAAAGATACTCCTACCAATTACTGAGGTAGGCAATCCAAAAGCAGGGGAAGAGCCAAAATATGTGGTATTTGATGGCACCAGGGCAGGAGTGTTAGATGCACTAAAATCACCTCCAGTGTCAGAGCTACCAAAGGCTGGATCGAAGACTTGACCACCGAACAAAACTGTTCCGGTTTTGTCTTCTCTAATCAAGAAAAAAAATGGATGATCTGCCACAAAATCTATCGGTGGAGGAGGCATATAAGCGCTGGATCCAGAAGCGCCAAGTAGAGCAGTAGCAGCCGCAGCTTCAGTACCTTCTTCATCGATCTCAATGAAAGCTTTTTGGTATAGTGACGCATTAAGTTTAAAGTCACTGAAAACTCTGGAAGCTTCAAACCCGAATTCAATCTTAAACTTTGGTATTCTGAATCTACCAACTCTAACTCTCCAACTTGGAATGTGACAGTCCAAGAATCCATCAGTAGATGCCATTTTCTCCACAAGGTTATCCAGTCCATCTTTCTCGTCCGGGAGATAGATACACATTGAGAATTGGATATCATTATGGCCTTGTCGGTATGGCAGTCTAAGGACCTTGAAACCGTCGTAAGCCTTTACATATTGTCTTTCATAGCTTTGCATGAAAGGCACAAGTACTTGTTTGCCATCAACAAGGTGAAAAGGTTTGTGTCTTGTCATTGATTTGTCGAATTTGTCTTTCCAAGCTCCCTTGAAGTACAAGGCGTTTCCATAAATCCAGATGGTTTCGTTTGAAACGGATCCAGGAGGAAGAAGATCTTTGATGAGGCCATTGGTGTGACGTAAAGCCCAAGAATTCACCTCCTTACGTACTTCTTCAAACTTCAAAACAACAACAACCATAGTTACAAAACCACAACCAAACCAAACCAAACCAAAGATCGAAAACATTGAGTAAGATATGTAGTTTCTAAGCTCTTGACCTAATCTAATCAAAGCAAATTCAAAACCTAAAATATATAATTTTTGCAGAAAACTTATAGAGAAAGAAATCAGAAACTAACCTTGGATCGGAAATCAACTTGAGCAAAGTCAGCTTTGAAGAAATTCTCAAAGAGATCCTTCGACTTGGGACTACACGGAAGTGATTGCTCTATCCACACTCCATTAACCGACGCGATTTTTGGCCCACCTTCTTTGCTTCCGTCGACAAGTACTGAAGCGATTTTACTAAATATGGCGTTGAGTTCGTCGGTGGAAGAAGACCTAAGAAAGGAGAGGATGCATGATCTTAGTGTTTCATTGTCGGAGGTAGCAGCAGCCATGGTGAGTACGGCGTTGATAGATGCCGGAGAGAAGACGAAGTTAGAGCTTTTGGCTTCGGCAGAGATTACTTTCCCCGCAAGGAACAGAGCGAAGTCGTTTTGCTTATTCATCGCTTCTTGCAAATCCATCTTTTGCTTTTCCTTCGTCTATGAGAGAGAGGGCTCTGCGATTTCTTGTGTGCTGAGTTTTTGGTTCTTCTTATTAATTTTTGATCTGAGTCTGAGCATACATGTGTATATATAAAAAAAATATAAGATGCCTAGTGCTCTCGATGCATCGTCGGTTAAGGGAACAAAAAAGTAAAAAACTTATTGAGATTTAGGTTTGGAAAATTAACTTATCCTATATATACTTTGAAAACTATGACAAAGCATAATTAATTAGGATCATCAGGTTTTAATTATATCATATATATATATATATATATATATATTAGTTCTAATATATGATTTTAGTTCTAAAGTATGATAAATCATAATAAATATTCATAATAAGTATGTGTCAAATTTTTAGTAATAATATTATATTATATCCAATTCATAGACTTATAATATTAGTTTTTAATATATAGTATCTCTTCACTTTTTGTTACATATTCATTTTTTTTTGCAAGTTGTTACTTCTAGTATTTTTAAAATAAACAAAAATAATTGTTACTTAGACTAGTTATATCCAAAGTCTATCTCATATATTGATAGTACTTTAACCAAAAAAAAGTATTATGATTTCTGTTAAAGTATTTTATTTCAAGGTAATTGGTAGATGAATTAAGATAAGGGTTATCACATTAAACTAGCTAAATAGGTATAGTTTTTCATTATAATACCTTTAGTTTTTCTCATATATTAATTTCTATGTGTGTTATTATTCTAAACTTAATATTTGAAAAAATTGTGCATTGTGCTTTATAACCATATACATTAGCAAAATTGTTATTAACTTTCACGGATATTTTATGTTAAATAAAGTGTGCTTGATATTTATATCAATATGTAATTTTGTTAATGTATTTCAACGTTTCTGCATCTCAAATTGAGTTGTTCATCTTCTTTTACTTATGTGATGTTTCTTCGGTCTAAGTAATTGTTTATAACAGTCAGTCATCTCACATTTTCTGATAATTTTTTTTCTTAAAGTTTCTTTATTCCTTGTAACAAGATGTAACAGCTATAGCAGAGTCGACTAGAGCTATTGTTTATTATCAAAAGTCTACTGATGAGGCGAACAAATCAGAAGAATAGCATATTCATAATTGGATGTTTGTTAATTTTTGAGTGTATATATATGCGCTATTATGTTCGCAACATCCATGACTGTGGGGGGTCGTCATTTAACCACAACGAACATCACTAGTTTAGGTTCCGTATAAACCACATGTAGAGAAGTAGAACACAAGTCTGATTCTTTAGCTAGGTGGTTCTCAGTATGATGAATTTAGGAACATAATTGTTCTGTTGCTGCGTTGCCTTGAGAAAAGATTAGTGCTTACTTGTTCCCATTAGTCTACCTTTGTTTACATAGATTCAGCTACTAGTTACGTGTATACCTTTGTTATGACATGTTATATAGAGATATATATTTTGTACAATTTCTCAATATAACATAAAATTTTATATTTTTGAAAACAACAGATTTTCTCAAATACAATAAAATGCACAAAATAATGATAGAACAAAATACAGAAAAAATTACAAATAGAAAAACAATTACAGCAAATAAATTACATCTGATTTTTTTTTTTAGCCAAACTCGGGTACCTAAAAGTTTACCCACAAAGACAAAAACTCATCGGTTTACCCAAAAAAACTCAAACCCATTCGCTTTTTTTTTGAATCTGGTTTTTACGGGTTCGGACCGGGCTGGATTGTTTTTAAAATTAAGGCCCATTAATTTAACATATTACTTAGAGCCCAATATTACTTAGTTTTCACTCAGTTACTATTTCCGACCGGTTGATCGAACCATTATTCGATGTCTGGTCCGGTAGACAAACACAAATCTGAAACACGCTGATTTGTTTGGAAACTGCGGTGTCGAATTACCGCCGGAATCTTCGCCGCAGTGGGTATCCTCTCGACCCTATTGAAGCTTTTCCACTTAAGGAGAGAACGGTGGGAACAAACTCGAGAAGAAGAATCTCGTGTTACTCACTACAACTGAAAAAATTGGGATAATCTTGATTTCGTGAACCCATGAAGACTGAATCACATCAATAAAGAAGATATTCTGCGCCGGAAGATTCAGGTTTTTAAAAACAGATTCCGACTGTCTGAGTCAGTGGCGATTGAGTTCTTCATCGACTTGACCCTAAGTTTAAAGTTAGGGGCTTTTCTTATTTACCAGCTACCTATTCAATCGCAAATGATGACGATGTTTGTAAAAGCCCATTATAAAATGAGGAGTCAAGCCATGGGTTTTTGGATTAGATCGTTTTTGTTCCCATCTTAACTCAAAAAAACTTCTTTTTTTTTTTGTTGGTTCAGAGTTTGAGACTCAGAAACACGATGAAATTGGCGTCGAGCTTGGTTCCTCATCAATGGCGTCTCTTAAAATCACCACAGCTTTGTCTACAAGCTTTCATTTTCTCCACAGGTACTTAATCTCTTGCTCCAATACTTTATTTTGTCATCCATGGTTTCGTTTTTCTCCTCTTCTGACCCCTCTCTCTCTGTCACTCTTCTTTAGCCAACACCTCAAAGTCTCACACGTTCTGGTCTCCAACCTTGCGTCAATGCCGGAATCTTCAGACGACTGTCTCTCCAATCGTCAGTTCAAGCTATTTGCCCACTTCCTACATTACTCAGAAGCAGATTGAAATCCCTACCTCCCCTGTATATTCATTCATTCCCCTTTAGCACCCACAAGTTTCGAGCTTTTGGTTTCAATTTGTGGGGAAAGTTTTGAAAAAACGAATTTGGATTTGGTTTTGCAGGAAAAACAACCGCCACCGGTGCAGGAAGGTTTGGGTGCTTTTCAAAAGCTGCCCATGGTGATGCCGTCTATTGATTTATATTGTTCTGCACTTAGGAAATCGAAAAGAGTTCAACCAACAAAAGGTTATTTGATTCTTTAATCTTCTTGTTTTTGTTCGCACATTCACTTCTTGGAACTCTTTGTCAGAGTCTTTGTCCATTTTTGGTCTCAGGCATTGCTAATATTGCAAAGCGGGAAAGAAATAGAGGTGCTAAACAGCTTGATGCACTCATGAAAGTTAGTTTATTTCATCCTTCGCTGTGTTTTCGATTGAAATTCTGATATGTTACTTGTCTTACCAAATCAAAAATTGCTTTTGTCTTTTAAGGAATTGGCTCTACCTTTAAAAGGATACATGGAAAGTTTTCCGAGGAAGAGACTCTTACATCCATATGAAAGGTCTCTTATTGAGTTGACACTTGGTGAAGGAAAGTACGAGGAGGTATCTATTATGTGCGCCCTCTTAGTCATTTAGCTCCCCTGCAACTGATTTTCAGCATTTGCTTATAAATTATATATTTAGGTGTTAGGAAAAGTTGATGTTCTGAGGAAGAAGGTTCTGTCTGTTGGGAAGGAACATGCTTCTCTCTGTGCTAAGGTCAGACTCCTCAATTCTTTCAAGATATATTGTATATTTCATTTTAGTTAATCTCATATTCTGTAGATTGTGATTGGTACTTCATCAGTATGGGCCTTTTAAGCTTCTTCACTACCCCATTGTTCCATCATATATCAGTGTAGGAAAATTTAAACGTCCTTCAATTTATTTTACAGGCTTTGTCAAAGAAAGAAGCAGAGGAACGCTTGAACGAAGGTGTGGAGAAGCTTGAATTGGTTTTCCAACAACAAGGGAAAGCTGTTGATGATTTGCTAAGTATAGCGAAGGTTTCTTGCTAGAATCTTTTATTTGTCTCTTCCAGTGGTTTGACCAGTTTGCCTTTATTATCACAACTCTGTGTATGAAAAGAGTTACGCCATTTTGCAGGTTTTGAGGGCTATGCCAGTTGTTGACTTAAAAATGCCAACTCTTTGCCTTGTCGGAGCACCAAACGTTGGGAAATCATCCTTGGTCCGCATTCTTTCAACAGGGAAGCCTGAGGTTTGCCTTTTGTCCCAATCTTCATATATGTGATAAAACTTGCATTGTCTATGCTTATAATGTTCTGGTTGTCAGATATGCAATTATCCTTTCACTACCAGAGGAATTCTGATGGGTCATATCGATCTGAACTACCAACGATTTCAGGTTACACTACTTGCTTTGTTTTGTGAATTTTGTTCTACTCTCACATTCCTCATGGTTTAAATTACTAATCATCGTGAAACGCCTTACAGGTGACAGACACCCCTGGGCTTCTTAGGAGATGTGATGGTAAAGTCTACTTGTTACAAACTTTCTCGTGGATGCATGATATAATAGTATGATATCTGATGAAGTCTTGATTGTTGTTTGTTTTGGTCATTATAGAGGATAGGAATAATCTAGAGAAGTTAACTCTTGCTGTACTCACTCATCTTCCAACTGCGGTTTTATATGTTCATGATCTAACTGGAGAATGTGGGACTTCTCCTTCTGATCAGGTATAGTACTATAAATCGAATTCTTATGTTCATTGTATCAGATGGGCCAACGAAACACAAGAATGCATAAATGTGAATATCTGAAGAAGACAGAACTATGTCAAATAGACAGGTTTGATATTTCCTGATTCAATTGTCTGTTTGTTCTGAGGGCTTTGCAGTTTCAAATTTATAAAGAGATAAAAGAAAGGTTTAAGGATTACCTGTGGATTGATGCTGTATCCAAATGCGATTTGCTGGGAGGCTCACCGGTGATCTATGCCAAAGAAGATAGAAGCAGCGATGATGCGGAAATAATTAAGTACCGGGAAACAGGACCTGATGAATCAATTCATGTCTCGGTGAAAACAGAACAGGGTCTCAATGAGGTATGGTAACTTACCAGAAATATCTGTTTGTCGAAAAGAAAGCAAGAGTGTGTTTTGAGTGGTCTGTTTCTCTGTATGACTTGCAGCTAAAGAGCAGAGTGAAGGAAGTACTGAGTATTGAGATGGAGAAGATCAAAATTGGAGAAAATGATGATCAAAGTGTTGTTGTTAGTTTTTAGATAGAGTTTTTGCCCATTTTAGCTTTTTTACTATTGATGTCTTTGTTTTTATAGTCCTTTAAGAATAGGACTAAAACGTTAATGCATTCGGACAATTTCCACACGGATTGATTGTATTCGGACGTGGCTGCAGCACAAGCACTCATGCCTCAAAAAGAATCTAAAACTATAGGTAGAACATTTAGGACTAGGATATATAACTAATACAAATAAGAATCAAAATCTTAATAAAATATCTAAGAGTACCATAAGAAGATTTGGAAGCTTGGTCCTAGCTAAGCAGAGGAAGATTTGGAAGGATCAAACATTTGACCAGCGAACAAAACAATTCCGGTTTTGTCTTCTCTAATCAAGAAAAGAAATGGATGATCTGCCACAAAATCTATCCTCTTCGGCACTTCACGGCTACCTCGTCTACCTCCTTTAGTAGCAGAGGCAGCTTCAGTACCTTCTTCATCTATCTCAATCAAAGCTTTTTGGTATAATGACACATTAAGCTCAAAGTCATCAAAAACACTTGAAGCTTGAAACCCGAACTCAATCTTAAACTTTGGGATTCTGAATTCGCCAGTTGTAGCTCTTTGTCTCGGAATGTGACTATCCAAGAATCCAGGAGTAGATGTCATCCTCTTCAAAAGATTATCCAATTCCCCTTTCTTGTCCGGAAGATAGATATACATTGAGAAATTGCGTTCGGTATCATCATCACCTTGTTGGTAAGGAAGGCAGAGGACCTTGAAATCATCATAAGCCTTAATGTATTGGTCCCTATAGTTGCTCATGAATGGCACAGACACTGAGGTTCCACTGAGAAGGTGGAAAGGTTTGTGTTCCGTCATTGACTTAGGGAATTTGTTTTTCCAGGCTCCTTTGAAGTACAATGCGTTGCCATAAACCTGAGTGGTTTCATCTGAAACGGATCCAGGAGGAAGAAGATTTTTGATGAGACCATTGGTGTGACGTGATGCCCACGAATTCACCTCCTCACGCACTTCTTCATACTTCAAAAAAAACAACAACCATAGTTACAAAACCACATGCAACCAAAACAACATTGATTAAGATATGTAGTTTATCTCTAATTAACACTCTGTCATACAGCTTTACACAAACTCTTGACCTAATCTAATCAAAGCCAAAATTCGAAAATATATATATTTCTGAAGCAAACTTAGTAGAAATAAGAAAGTAACCTTGGATCGGAAATCAACTTGAGAAAAATCAGCCTTGAAGAAATTCTCAAAGACATCTTTCAACTTAGGACTACACGAGAGTGATTGGTCCATCCAAACTCCATTAACCGCTGCGATTTTGGGGCCACCTCTATTGCTTCCGTCGACAAGAACGACTGAAGCCACTTCGCGGAAGACGGCGTTGAGCTCGTCAGTTGAAGAAGACCTAAGAAAGGAGAGGATGAAGGATCTTAGTTCCTCGCTGTCGGAGGTAGCAGCGGTCATGGTGAGAACAGAGTTGATAGATGCCGGAGAGAAGACCAAGTTGGAGTTTTTGGCTACGGTAGAGATTACTTTCCCCGCAAGGAACAGGGCAACGTCGTTCTGCTTATTCATCGCTTCTTGCAAATCCATCTTGATGACCTTTCGCTTCTTCTTTGAGAGAGAAGAAGGATCTGCTGCACTTGCGATTTCTCTTTTGTTAAGCTGTTGTTTCTTACTTTCTGAATCCATCTCTTTTGAGTTTTCTTCCCCTAATGACCTACCTACACATGTATATATATGTAATATATAAGAAAGTCGGCATAATATACTCAAACAGATCGATCGGGATTCAGTTAAATTTATCAATATCTAATTAAAAGTATTATTTACATTTATGTTTATTCTAATATAAATATTAATACATACATATATACTTTAATGATACATAGAAAAAGGAAACAAATTACTAAAAAAAATAAGCCAAGTTTATTAATCAAAGATTTCGATATATTATAAATGATTTAAAAAAGGAAAAAGTTCAATGAGACGTGATCTAATTTGTATGGTTAGTTTAATTGAGTATCCTTGTTTCCATTGTTGGTTTAAGTTGACGATCCGGTGGACTCAACAGCGTATCGTTCCGAAAATCAGCAGAGATAGGGGAAAGATCAAAGGCTTCTGACATTGAAATTATAGCTAAGGAAACAATGGCTAGATAATACTGGTTAAATTAAACCCCAAATTAAAGATTATGACTCTCAAGTTTAGGTCGTCTTAATACCAATGGAACAAGATCGACTGCACAATCTGTCTAGAAGAACACTTATCATTAGGTGGCCAATAGAAGATTATGAAATTGCGGATGTGAGTTTTATTGAGTAGTGGGTTACGTTTAGTTAATAAAAGTCTGAACCGAACCAAATAGTCCCTCATCCTTGAAACAAAAGTCATATGTGGAATCATCAATCATCCTTGATGTGCATATAGGAAGAGAAGATATAAGATATAAGATATAAGATATAGAGAACTAGGAAGATGAAGATATAAGGTTTTCGCGAATCATTGACTTGACATATTATAAGTTTCCGAACGAAGCACCGCGCCGTTTTTTTCCAAGTGACGTGGAACAGTAAGATTTTCATTTAAATGTTTTAACAAAAAACAACATAAAACTGTATCTCACAGAGAATACTGTATATCTCAGGATTCACAGAGCTCAAAGACACAAAAGTGATCCAGAGTAGTCAAGGGAAAAGACAGAAGTAACCCCTTGCCAAAGTAAATCCATCGGAGCAGAGGAAGAAGAAGACAGTTTTTATAACACTTCAGCTCAAGCAAGTGTCTTGAACCACGAAACATGGAACACACAAAACAGAGTTTATGGGGTTTTTTTTCTTCAGCCTTTTCCACCCTAAAGAGAAAACATTAAAATAATGCGATGCGTAAGAGTAAGAAGAAAGGCACTAATAAAACTGAGTACATCTTGTATCATTCGATGCTTTAACGAATCTCACCTTGCGAGGCGGGGTTCCTCTCCTTCCTGCATTTTTGCCAAATCCGAAACTTCCTTTCTTCTCAGATGCTTTCAGGATCTGAAATGAGCACGTCAAGGAATCATCCACACTCATCATTGCTCCTGCGTTATCAAACTCTCCACAGTAGTTTGGGGCCGAGAATATCGTTACTAGCTGTCTATTTGCAAAGAATTCATACCCGTCTTCCACAACCTAATGCCAAAAACAATCAACTTCAATGGTTTCAAAGTAAGACATCATAAGTACTCTGCATTACTTAGAAAGCCACCAGCTTGAGTAGCCCTATGATGAGAAGTTAACAATAGAGACGTGCACAGGTAGATGTCTAGAAGGGTTTTTCTCAAGCAAAACATTACCTGATGAGCTCTGCAAATTAAGTCAAGGTCATGTGTTTGGAGAAACTCCTCGACTTTATCAACCCCAAAAGTGTAAGAGACACCCCTGTCATTCTCTCCCCATCCTTCAATGTCCTTATCAGGATCAGCCCACAACAAATCACATAGTAGTCCATGGTCAGGAATGTCAATAGGACGGGCAATGTTCCTGATCTCATCCAAGTGCTTCAACTCAGGCGATAGCCCGCCGTGCATACAGAGGATCTTTTCATCGATAAGAGCAGCAACAGGGAGACAATTAAAGCAGTCAGTAAATATCTTCCACACTCGAACACTATATCTCTTCTTGCACTCGTCATAGAATCCGTATATACGGTTAATAGAAGCACACTCATGGTTCCCCCGTAGAAGGAAGAAATTCTCTTTGTATTTGATCTTGTATGCAAGAAGAAGGCATATGGTCTCTACACTCTGCTTTCCACGATCTACATAATCCCCAAGGAACAAATAGTTTGCAGCCGGTGGGTAGCCACCGTACTCAAACAATCTCAAAAGATCTGAGAACTGACCATGAGTATCTCCTGTTAAAACATGAAAACGAAACCATTATAGAAGTAGTACGTCACCAGAAACTCAATCACCACACAAGCATAGGTTACTCTCTTGTGTGGAAATACATTTGCAACTTGCTGATACCATTCTATATCAAAATGATAGAATATATGCACAGAACAATTATAATAGCAGCTCTGAATCTTTTGACATGGAGAGAAAATAGCACATTAACCTAAGAAAGACCAATGATCATTTCTAATTTCATTTAGTATCTCAGTGATGATCTAAACAGCAGAATCTCACGAGCTCTGCAATCAAAGAAACACAACTTTGACCAATATCGTAATATGCATTTCTCTAAATTTCAACAGCTCTGGTAAGCTGATCAATCTCCAGTTCCATCTATAATCAAACATAATCTACACAATTCCTCGTACAAGAGGAGAGAAGAACAAAATCGTAACGATTGTGCATAAAAAATAAAATTTCGAGATAAATACCACAAATCTTGATAGGAGCCTCGAGTTCAAGAAGATTAGGTTGACTAAGAAAGATCTGCTTAGCCGTAGAACAAAGATGTTTAATCTCAGCCTCCGTCAACTGAACCTGCTTCGTGGTCTTCCCGTTCTTCGCTCCCAGTAACCTCTTTATAACATCATCAACCACACCATCTTCCATCAAAATTAATCAAAAACTTACAAAAACCCTTCGAATTCGAAACACCGGAGGGATGAGATAAGAGTTGTTTCCGTCTCCGACCTCCAGTTTCGAAACTCCGTTTCCGATCAAGATGATTCAGAATCACGTCCGTATCGTACAGAATCAATAGAGAGAAAGAGAAGAGAAGAGAGGGTTTGTGGTTTGTGAAGAAGGTAAGAAGAAGACGGAGGAAGAGCCCTAGACAGAGAGAATCGGCTAGAGACGGGGAAGGAGCAAAATGAGAAAGCACACGTGCGGCTCGTGTGTACCGGAAGGGACGGCTCTGTCTTTTGACCAAACTTTTTATATATATATATATTTTTTTCTACTATTAGAAAATAAATAATGCCATTTTAATCATTTTGTTTGTAGATTAGCCTATTGTATGTTTAAATTGTTTTCGTCAAATGCGGCTGAGTATTAATTTTAAAAATTAATATTTCTCTGTTTTTGCAAACAAAATGAAAGAACTCCATTTTTATTCTATACTAAAATAGTTGTTATTAAAAAAAATTAAAGATATACATTATTTGATTTTAAAAGTTAGGTTGACCAAAAGAATATTAATACTATTTTTAATTTAAAACTGATTGAGTTTTAAGTGGATTAAAAACTCTCCCAACTTCATTTTGGTATAATCTTTGCGTAGACTAGTGTAACAATACGTCTCTTCAACGTGTGTATGTTATTATTATTGCTCTCTTTTTCCCAATTACGATAAAAAAATTTAGAAATATTTTTTTTATCAAAAAACGTAATGAAAGACTCTGCCAACGCTTATCCACAATGACACAATCCACAAACGCATATGTACAAAACGACGTCGGGCTCAAACTCATAAGCACTATTGGGCCTTTATAATTGGTTCTCTTCGGCTAGGCCCAACTGCTATTCCAAAAATACACATAGCGGGTTTGCACAAATCTGAATTATTATAATTAATTTTTTTCTTTATTTTCTTACAAAAGATGCTGGTAATACTTTTTTTGAAAAAAGAAAAAACTGTCTCATTCAGTTTTCTTAATTTAAAATTATTCAAATTTTGAAGCGAATTAGTTAATTAAAACAAAAAGAAAGACAAAAGAAAACAATTATTTAACGGAACCCACACAATCTAACGGCGTCCCTTTCTTATATTCAGATAAGGGGCAATTTCGTCAAAACTGAATTTTACTCCCGACACCCCCCAGCTCCTAGCAAACACCTGAGAATCTTTCAGTGGCATTTTTGGAAACTTACATAAAACAACATGAACCAAGTGAAAATTTTCACTTGCGTACGTGTCACTCCACTAACCAGCTAGATCACAAGAACACCCGTCATCGGTCCGCATCCAACGGCTATAAACCACTCCGCCTCGCAATAATGTGATTGCCACGTCAGACTTACCGGTACGGACGAGCTCACCGGAACAATCTCACCGTCGACGGCTTATCTAAACAAGGCCAAAGTTAATTTCCCGAAAACTATAAATACTCATCTTTTTTCTCCCCTCTTTCATTTTCTTGCCCTAGATTAAATCATCCCTCGATTTACGCAGCCGCTCCATTTCGTTTTCTCTCTTCTTCTTTCTTCTTCCTTCATCGAGAGAAAAAAACCCAAATCAATCGCACTCTTTTAGCTCACTCTAAACCTAGAAATTTCTGCGATTTTAGCTGCTTTAAAGCTCGATCGAACTATCTGGGTCTGTCATGATGAGTTCGTCTCGCAGCTTACACGGTTGCGATGTTTTCGATTTGGGTTTGTGATGGATGGTTTGAAGATTTCTTGTCCCGTGGATGTTTCTGTGCCGGCTAAGCTTATGGGATCTGAAGGGTGTGGTGGTGGAGTTAGGGTTTCGTCGAATAAAGCAGATAACAACTCTGACAAGGCTCGTGTCTCTCTTGGTGTTAGTTCTTCGATTGAGCGTTGTGGTGCTTCAATCAACAAGAAAGGTGAGCTAATTGCTACTTCTTGATTGATCTCTCTTTTGACTTTCAAATTTCATTTGGGGATTTTAAGCTTTAATCGATTTGGGGGTTCCTTGGATTAGAAAGTGGGGATTTGAAATTACTTCTCCTTACACTGAGTCAGCTTATAGTCGTAGATCCAAATGTGTGTGTGTTATAAGACATATATCAGAGTTTGATAAATTTGCAAAGTTTTTGAAGATTGGTTGGATACTTTTCGATTTACTCGTCTACTTGATCCAGTTGCAGGAAGTAGCAGTGGGGCGTCAGATTCATCGTTATGGCGCAAGTTAATGCATTCACACGACTTTGTACATGATAGGCTTACCAAACTTCGGGTTGAAAATTCATCCGAGTCTCAAAACGGTTATTCACCAATTGCCAGTCCAGAAAGTGCCGAGTCTCCTAGGAAAAGAGGAAAACTTTCAAGAAGTAGTAGTAATGGGCCTTCGAGAAGGACTACTAAATTGATACTTTTAGATGACACGGTGAGCACACCAAGAGATAACGACACCAAGGAGATATGTGGACAAGGATCTACTACTTACTTAGGTAACTCTCAGCCAACCACAGTTTTACTCCTTTTTTCCTTTAAAGAGGTTAAATTGAGTATATGAAACTGCTGATTGTCATGACCATCTGGTGCGAACTCTCTTGTGATTTCCTTATCTGCAGTGTAAGCAGTCATCTAGTCAATAGCAAGATGTTTTTGAAGAGTATGTAATATGTTGGTGATAGTTGATTGGTTCACCCTCTGAAAAATGTGTCGTTTTGTATCAATTTGGCTTGGCTTAGGTCACTTATCACCTTCTGTTTGATTGCTAAACAGATAAACCGTTAGTGGTGAGACAGCGGACCAGTTGTAACGGTAAACGAGGTGATAGGAGGTTTTCAAAAGTTCCCACAAGAACTTTTTCAACAATCAATACAGCGACTGGCGAGAATGCATTTTTTGGTATGTGGCTGCTTCTGAATTAGTCTCTTCATGTGGTATCCAATAGAGTATTGCTAATTCAACAGTTGACTCCTCAACCTGGTCCTTCTACTTTGGCTAGTTATTATATTTTTTTTTTGTATACTTTCAGTTCTATAGATTTGCGTAAACCTGAATTTTGAAGTGATTTACAAGTGAACCTGGTCTGAGGTAGCTTTAGAGGTTCCCTCGGTCACTTGGTCGTGATTTTGAGTTTATTTATCTTAATCCTCTCTGACATCAAATTGAAAAGGTTTCATTGGCTGACATATTCCTTGCATCCCTAAGGTACCAAAGGGACAGTGTGAGAGTCATAGCACCTGTGCATTTCAGTACTAATTCATTAAAACGCGACCTTGTTGATATAGCAAGGTCTTGTCAATATATCCTCCTCACATGAAATGCTCTGAAAGTGTTTTTGTCTACCTCTTAACTTTCCTTACCTGCAGGTGCCTATGGCCTGAAGCCTGCAATAAATGATGTTACCAAACTCATTGAAGATTTGTCATTGAAAAATCTTCTTGAAGGCTCTTATGAGTGTCCTTCTTTGGGCAAAGACAAGATGAAGAAATTGGAGAATACTAATGAAACTCTGCTCAGTGTGGTCAGAAATGTTTGGTCCATTATACCAACTAAGAGGCCTGTTCAATCACAAAGCTCTACTGAATTAGACACTTGTCGCAGCAGAACCCTGAGTTCACCACCTAGCTCTGTCTCTGTTACACTACCAAATGGTGAAAACACCGATAAAGTAATCTCCCTGGATGGAGATCTATCCTCATCTTCCAAGGTAGATTTCTTAATTCAACATTTTGAAGTTTCATATTTATTATGATTTGACTTGTAACATGACTTTAATGGTTCTGTTGCTTTAACTTAAAAGTGAGCTACTCTTTGTTTGCTCAGGATCTTTGTATCAACTCTGAAATTCCTTCCACTCCGCTTAATTTTCCATTATGCCACGCTAGTGATGTATTAAAAAGATTAGGCCTTCCGCCGCCGAAAGATTTAGACTCCCTGCTCCAAGATGCATCAAAACCTTCTCAGAACTCTAAGAACAACTCAGGCCAGCAGCGTTCTGCTAAACAACTACCACCTCGTAGTGGATTGCCACATTTCCCTTGGTCACAGGCTTTTAATGGGAGCTCTAGAACCAACTCAGAAGCAGCAAAGCTTGTAACCGGCAAGACACTTTGTCAAGGACGATGGCTAAGAATACCTGACACTATGGGTTCTCCGGTAACTGATAATTTCGCAAATCTGGAATCACTCACTTTCAACCAAAAGTTAGTCCCTCCACTACAGAAGCAAACTATTGTTGGAACTAAGACCTGCCAAACAATGTTCGCTAACACCACTTCGTGCCACTGCCCAGAAGCATCTGTTTCTACCCTTCAAAAAAATTCTATTGTTCCCAAAGGTAGAATCTGTTATCCTTTTTTTCTGTATGACGGCCCTCTTTTTATACTCTTAACTAAACTATACAATATCCATTTATCTCTCATCAAATGCAGAACCAGAGGGATCCCGAGATGTTCAAGATGATGGTGTGTTTTCACAAATGCTATTACTTAATTTCTCTTTACCTCAAATTTTATCAAAAATCCACTTCTGATGATGATATCTTGTGTACAGCTCTTTCGTGTCCACAGCTATTAGCAGCGGCTCAAACGCTCTGTGACATTGCAGTCCAATCCACAAACCACAACAACCCAAATGGAATCCTCAGATGGCCAAAGAAGCTTTCTCAGAAATCTATGAAAGCCCGCAAATCCAAACAAATCGAAAAGCCTCCCGAAAAGCATGCGGCAACTATTTCCTCCTTAGATCATAACTCAGTCAACTACAACAATAACAACAACCATGTGAGAAAAGATTCAGCAGCAGAGCATCACCATCATCATCTCTATCATCATCTTAAGCCTTCAAAGAGACTGAAACTATCAACAATGGAGAACAAGAAAGGAACATTCACAAGCTCCTCATCATCATTCCCAATAGAATCAGAAAGAAAACATTCATCTTCAAGCAAGTTCAAGAATCACTCCCGTATGATGCCGCCCCCTCCACCACCAACGAGAACCCTCCAAAAGTCATCCATGTATCCTCAGAGAGCTCGGAAATTTTCATGAACCGGCTGAAAATAAGAGTGGTGGATCCATATAATCCAATCTTGTTTACTCGAAAAACCGGTCTGGTTTTACATGGGGACATACGGCGTCATAGAAGTCGTTTGTAAATATGAATGGTATCACGGTATAAGGTAAGTTCTTCTCTATGTGCACAGTTTAGGTGCAGAGTACTATATATATATAGTTTATATATGTATCAGTATTGCCTTCAATGTTGTAACATTTTTCTTTCAGTTGTAGTCTATTGTAGCCACACAGTTCTTTTAAGGTCTGTTGTGTTTAAAGCTTTTTATGATGAGGCTAATGATGAAAATTAAAAATCCCAACTTCAAAGAATTTGTATGTTAATGTACACCATACGGCCAATATAACCGCTTGGCTCTTGCGTCTTGAGTCTTGACTCTCAACTTCAATGTCTTTGTAACGCCCTAGCTCTGTTATAAATTCTTCTCAAGTCCTAACAAACACTTGCAAAAGCATCATTGTTGCGTGGTTGTCCTCTACATGAAGTCTTGCGATTGTCTTTCTCTCATATTGTAGTAGAAGACGTGGAATGGCACGGCTGGGCAATGTTTGTACTTCGACCTTCTTGCTTATCATCATCTTCTAGAACCCACAGTTCAATACTTCCACTTCTTCTAGTGATAAAGCTAGACTTTCTAGACATAAGTGTAGCCACTTTACCCATTGTAGTTTAGAATTCCATCACACTCTTAAATTCAAGTTCCCACAACTTGAATAAATCTGAACTTTCCAGACCTATATATATAAACCTAAGCAAACGACCATGGAATCAACTAAAAACCTAGTCACGTAATACAAAACACCATTGATGCATACTCCTTGATGTGAAGAATAACGAGGTCTACCATTCTCCATGACGACAGTTTTCTAATGTGAGAACTTGATGCTCATCAAAGCTAAATGAGTTGACCATGTCATCAACAATTTGACATACAAAACCTTGTATTGTTTATCAACCGGATCAAACCCTATAGTGTATGTTTTACCGCTGAATTATCATGGTTGATAGATCAGACGAAAACACATTTATCGCACTTTCTATAAGTATAGGTCACTAGCCATGGCTTGAGCTTCTGCAGTAGCAAGGGCAAACCAGTTGTATAGAGCTCAAAGGATATGAATCATATTTGATTGATTTAAGGGTTTTTATTTTTTTTGTCAATGAGAAAAGTTTTTGTTTGTTGTGGAGATATAAAAACATACACACCACACATGTGTAAATGTGGTTGTATATTAAAATAATTGTTATATTCTAAGATAATGTATTAAATTTTGAAAGCCATCATGAAGTCGGTTCTAGTTCAAACTATATTCAATCGCTTAATTTTTGTGGTGTCACACCGATCACTCAACGATCGGTTAAGCTTTCTATTATTATATACTTTTTATAAAGATTTGTTAACTTTTGAATATATTTTTTCACAAAGGAACAGAGGAAATTAGTATACGAGTTCGATTAGCCAACAAGAAATTTAAACAACTAAATTTTACCAACCTTTCTCTTTTTTTTCTCCCAATAGTGCATGTTGATTTTAAATCAATTTTTAAAAAAAAATATATGCGAACTATATAAGAAAATCTGCATTTTGGTTTAATTAGAAGATGTCACATCTCATAAATAGTGATCTATCCATATAATAGATACGTATATAGATTTCTACAACTCCTTCAAATGAATAATCGAATATGCATATTCTAATGGACGTTAGAGCATGTAACATATTGAAACTTATAGGCAATCATTAATAAATGGAAAATATGAAACATAAAACTCCATAATGTAAAAAAGACATTGAACATTAGATAAAAACATTAAAACCAAAAGCGTTTCCACACAATCAGAAGATGATTCATAATAATAATTTTGTTCTCGCTTAATTAATAAAATTTTATTGCTTTATTTCATTAGTGTTGACGTGTCTTATTAAATTTAAAAAGAACTTGTTAGTGATCTTGTTGTCACGACTCGAGTTTAATAAGAATGTAGTTAACAACCAAAAGAAAAAAATGAGTGTATAAAAATTATGTTTTTCTTTTCTTTCATCTAATTAAGAAGTTAGGGAGATAAAGAGAACTTGATGATACATACTTGAAAGTCAATTAAGCAACTAGAGTAAAATAATTTCAAGGAGTAGATGAAAACAAATAAATAAAGACAAAACAAAAAAAAAAAGATGACATAGATTCTCTGACTATATGTTGTACAAAGAAGTGGTTGTGTTTGTGTCATTGACTTAGGTAGATATATGGTGGGCCCATTTCTCGCACTGTATTGGGCCTCATTCACTTAATTTTCTTCTAGAAGCCCAAAAGTTTGTGTGTTACTACTTACTACTATATACATGCACGAAAACGTAATTTTACTATTGACTTTGTGATTACAATGGAGAGAATTGAACCGTTACGATCAATAATAGAAGTTTCAGTACCTTTGAATTTAAGTACTATATAATCCTTGGCGTGATATAAGAATCGAATGTAAAAGAAAAACAAATTTAGGCTATCATAAAATTTTTACCATTAAGCAACGTTTGGTATTAACTGATTAGTGAATATAATTAACTGCTGTGAAAAGCAAATGATACGTCATGTTTGAAAACCTGAAAAGTCAAGAAGGTGGGTTAAACTTTCCTTATATTTGATAGACACTGATGTTATATAGTATTAACTTTAAATAGTTTCTTACTGTGAAGTTCAAATCTATATATAATACACAAACATAAAAAGTGATTTGATGATTTTTGTAACTTGGGTTGGTAGAATATTCATATCACATTCCTATTCTTCAAGAATAACTTATGGGACAAGTTACTTTCGTTCGAAAACTATAAAAAGTAGCAGAAGAAGATAGTGAAAAATGCAAATTTCTCAAATTATATTATACCATATATGTTATAACTAGTGTATATATATACACATTTATAGACACTTTTCCATGAAATACGAGTTTGCTCATCATAAAACCTCTGACTTTTGTTCATCCATATAAAATATTGCACGAACTTTTCCTACTTTCTATTGAATATATCTCGTCAATTTGAAATTGATGCCAAAATTAGGTGTAACGTGAAAAACGTAGGTGTTATTAAAAATGAGATTAGTTACGTATGAAAAAAAATAAGGTTATGTCCATATATATAGCATCTAGAATCAAGATTGACTTGTACATCAAATTACTTTGACAATCTATATCTTAAAACATATTGATACAGAATATTAACGAAGATTGCTTTTATGTTATAATTTACTAGTATATAATAACGTTTTCAAAGCGTTTGCTCTATGTCAAAGAAAGATGAAATTATGCATGATTTTCAGATGGCAAATAAAAATGAATTATAATTTACTCACGTATTATATTCTGATATATTATTATATAAATTATAACAATCTATTGTTTCTTTGTCCTTCTTTTACGATATTGTTTTTTTTTTCTTTTGAACTTACGGTAAGATCAAGAAATGAATTGTACAAGTTAATTATATTGGGTCTAAGGGACTCTAGCTAGTATGAGATATGCACCAAAGCATTTGCGACTAGATTAGTACTCACGAATTCTAGTAAATATGAGTTAAGATAAGAATGGTTTTATTTATCTGAAGAAGAAACAAAATCCTTATATCGAAAGGGTCGAACACAACATCAAAAGTAAATAGTTTTCAAAATATCCTGCTTGATTCAATTTAATAATCAACAAATATAAGTAATTACTTGGTAGATACGCAAGCATTTCCGGAGACTAACGAAATGAAAGGAGACAAACTTCATCAAGAAAACACCATGTTTATATATATATGTGTATATTTAAAAGAATTCAAAGTTTATAATGTTTACTATGACTATTTTAGTTTGTTGGTAAGTCGCACTCTTAAAGAAGTTCTCATCATATGTGGTATAAGTGCATGAAGATGTTGAAACAATGCATGCATACGCAATCATAAAATTTGATATATATATCAAATTATAACTTTGTAAATAGTTGTTCATATTCATTTGTATTCTAAAACAGCGGATATACATTGTGACTAGACGAAATATATATCCCATATATATTCATTAAAAATAAGTTGATTGATCGAGTAGACTCTTAATTAGACTCTTCTGTTGAATAAAAAAAAGTAAAAAAACTTCTTCTAATTTAAGCTAAGCACTAATCTATAGATTTACTGCTTAACTACCTACTATATAAAATGGTTAAGAAAAATTAGCTACTATATAAATATCGTAAAATTTAAAAATAAAAACCGGAATTACTTAAGTCTTAATACCTACTTGCAATATTTTTAGAAATCTTTGTTAAGCAATAGCCGTCGCAAGCTTTGGCATTTAGCTTAAACATATATAGTCCAATATATAATTTTATATCTTTAGAATTTAACGGTCTTCTATGATCATTTTGGAATTCAAAAACACATATCTAACTCAACCGATTTAAATAAAATCTTTTAGTTTAGTCATATTTGATAATCTTTGACCCAAACAAAAAAAAACCTTATTCGAATTGGGATTCAGTGTAACGTTTGGAAAGTATATGGTTTACACAAATATATGATCAAAATTTTCAGAATACACGGATTGATAATAAATTTTATATCAATTATATATATAGATATTTATTTTGTTAAGTATAAAGTTATATAGAAGAAGATGCTAATTAATTATGTGATGGATAGTGTATGAAACCTCTAGAAGAATAAGGTTTAATTTGGTTTGATGTTTTTCTAACGTGTGATAATTACATACTTCAAAAATATGATTTCTTATCACTCATGCAATAAAAATAATGAGCTAGGGACTCTTTACAGTATAACACCAACATATTTTTTAGTACTAGGTAAAATATAGGTTCAACATTTTGACTTCCATAGTTTTGTTTTGTTTACTACTTATGATGCTTTACGACCAATGATATATACACATAATCAATCTAATCTAACATCAATATATGTATTACCGAAGCACTCATGCAACAAAATGCACCGTTATCAAATTCGATTTGTTCTTCTTAATTGTTTTCAAAATTTTGAGAAAATAATAATTTGTAGTCGTGCGACTTAAAACAGCAATAACGCTTGCATCCACAAACACAAATGAACTAGGTTCGGACCCGCGCTACAGCGCGGGGGAAAATTATTGGGTTTTTAGTTCTTTGTACGTTACGGGATAATTTATTTGTGTTTGCTGTACTTTATTTTGATTAATAATTAAATTCTATCACTTTTAGATCATATTTTTTGTGTTGGTTTCGAATATGTTCAAAATTATTTAAATTGTATGATTTTAGTTGGATTGTTAATTTTAGAACAATATGTGACATATATACATGTA